TTGACGAATATGGGCTTCCCAGGCTTCCTCTGGCGTCATCTTGGCCAAGTGTGGCTCTTCACCCGCAGTTTCATCGCCTTCCCGTTTGAGATGTCGGTGAAGCGCTTCTCGGATGGCAGCCCTTAATCCCGGTGCCCATACCGCCCAGGTGGACGACAAATGGCAACGGTCTTTGATGTCCTTTGGCAGGGCCTCGGAGTGCTTGGTGCTGCGTTGATCTTCCAAGTCTCTCATGTCCTCCAGGTTTGTGAGGCACGTGGTCGGTTTCCGTCGTGAGTGCCCAAAGCACCCTTGATCAAAGGATACCAAACCCATTCCTTGGTAGCGGAGCAGCTGCATTAACTCCGGCCATGCCCAAAAGCTTGGACTTTCTTCTTCGCGAGCTTGTGGAACATACGTCAACGGATCCTGTGGGCTCTCCAAGAGGAAAGCGGTTCTCACACGATGACGCTCGCGGCATTCTTCAGACCTTATGAACAGGCCAATTTGTTTCAGCAGCAGTGCTGCATCTGAATCAGCCAAGTTCTTCTCCCGGTCTGTCAATCCTGGTAGACCATACCGGTCATGGAAACGTCCACGCAATGGTCTTGGTCCCGGTTGTTTCTGCCTCAATCGGCTGACCGTCCGACAGGGAGGTCCCCCGATGATAGCAAGAAGTTTTCCCAGGCTTGCAAGTTTCCAAAGGAAACTCCATGTTCCCGGATTGTGTATATCTTGATTTCGACCTTCATTGATATCCAAAGTGATGACTTCAATCCCATTGATGGGATTCTTTCGCCATTCCTTCGCCCTTTCTCCAGCAAAAAGGTGGACTATAACCCCTTTTGAGGTGAGCAGCCTCCTTCTTTTGTGCCGGTTCCATGGTAAATCATGGTTCATTTGCGGACCTTCTTCATCTTGACCCCGCATGTAATTCCAAATTCTGTCCGGTGTTTCCGGAAATCGTGATCCCCACCACTTCTTGGTCTTCTCCGTGGGCTCTTCCAAGGTGAGCCGATGGTTGGTCCTCTTTTCCATTTCCATGTGCTCAATCTCAGTGATCAGAGCCAGAGCGTGGTCCTTTCGAACCACTGGACACCCAGACCTTAACCAACATTCTATGTTTCCCAGTCGTGGATGTTTCACAACACATCCTGCACGGGACCAAGTGATGGTGTATCCCAATTCCACCAAACCTCGAAGAGGTACAATTGGTTCCACCGGTCCCTCCGACAAGAGGGTTCCATTCACAGGATTTTGATAGAGCTGAGCAGCTCCATGTGCGAGTTCCACAGTGACCTGCACCGCGTTCTTGATCTCCTCGGTTGATCCCTGTCTCAAGGGGTGTGTCGCCCCACCATCCAATAAACCTGTTCCATCATCAAATTCAACTTCGAGATGATCCCCACCATGCCCCACCGATTTCAAGACCGGTCCATTGAGACCCTTCAAAAGGTTGGTCACTTCTCCCACAACCTTGTTGGCCTCCTCTGGTACAGGGGTTATAGTGACCGTGGACTCCTTCATCGGATTGATCTTCACGGTAGGTTCAGAATGTTCTTGAGCAGCACCTCCCTCTTTTCCAGGACCATTTTTCCTCTCTTGAGATCTTGAGCGGATTCTTGTGGTTTTGGCCACCTTTGGTTCCTCGGATCCACCTTGTGGACCTCGTGACTCACTTCGTTTTCCCGCCGGACAATCACGTCGGGAGTGTCCCCTTCCAGAACAGTTGAAACATCGGCCATCTTTGGAGTCCAGGACAGTGTGCGTGAATCGGCACCGGTCAGCATATTGGCATCCCTTATCTGTCAGCCAGTTGATGCACGCAGTCTTGTGGACCACATTAGCCGCGTTAATCGGCAGCTCGGGCTTTTCTCCCCTCCTTCCGGTGGAAGAACCTGCTGCGTCTTCTGGTTTTCCCCTTGAAGCGCCCTTTGGTGGGTTTCCAGATGAATCCGGCCCACTCATTGACTTCACCCCTACCACATTATTGGGTTTAGCCGCTGGGCCCTGTGTTATGTTCCCCGGTTGACGGAGAGCCATTTCACCAGCTTCAGCTTGAAGAAGTTCAGAAAACGTTCTGATCTCTTGCATTCCCGGCCGGAGATCTATGCCCAAATGCTGTCTCACCGAAGACAACCGGTAGGCAGCTTGAGCTCCCCCCAATCTGGCCAAGGCATCACTCATTTTTGCGACCACTCCGGCCAAAACCAGAGGATCGGGCAAAACCAATTGAAGTTCTTCGGCACGAACCACCCATCTTCTCCACTTCCGGATGGAGTTGACCATCTCTGCAGCATTATTAGATGGACATTTCCAGTCCACCAACATTTGCAGCAGGGCAGTTCTTTCCACTTGTCCCCCAGGTTGGAAGACGGTGTACAGCTTGAACATGACTTGACCCGCTGACATGTGTCTGTTCGCCACAAGGTCCTCGTAGATGTCCTTGGGGACGGCTTGAAGCAGCATACCCACCACCCGTTTCTCTGTGCGAGGCCACCTACGGGCCATGTCAGGTATCACAGGCGCCATCCGGAGCCTCATGAGTGGATCCGCTTGCAACCAGTGGTGGTATGCTTGTTCAACAGCAGTCATCACTACTTCCCACCATTGCTCTGAGGTGTAGCTCACATCCCCAATCATCTGTTGGGCAACTGTCAGCCAGTCTCCAAAGTCCAAAGATGTTGCATTCCTGTCCAGCTTCGGCAATTCGACCGATCTTAGCGTTTCGCCTGGTACTTCTCCCCCTGCCTGAGGTCCTGCTTGGACTACAGCTTGTTGTTGTTGTGGCGGTGCAGCTTGTCCTGGATTTCCTTGATGACCACCTGGGAGACCGGGATTTCCCTGATGACCACCTGGCGGACCAGGTGCTTGTCCGGGATTTCCATACTGCCCTGGCGGTGGACCCCCTGGCCAACCATAACCACCCATAGGTCCGGTGTTTCCTCCCGGAAATGCAAAAACCCCTTGAGGTCGATGATCTTGTCCTGCAGGTGCTCCTCCAACATGGACTTGAGGATTATACCATTGATTAGGTTGGTCACCGATGAAAAAGTGTTTTGTGTTTTCCGTGGCTCCCATGCAAGGAACTCCCATCGGTGGTCTTGACGCCGCTCTCTGCGGCATACCTCCCGGTGGTATTCCAATTAGCCACCCTTGATTCATATACACATCCATCGGCCGAAAACCTTGTTCGACCTTGGGCGCAGGAGGAACATTCCACAACTGACCTCCCGCCTGCATTTGAAGATCTTGATCATGGTGATGTTGAACTCCTGGAACTGGTTGATCTTGCACATGTTGTACCTGGGGTGGAACACCTTGAGGTGGCCCCACAGGAAAACCCTGCTCGACATTCTTCAGCTCCGGCGAGGCGGTTTGATAAGACCCCCCACTTGACTGAGAGCCCTTGTGACCTCCTCCGGCTTCTCGGACCCGTTCCAGGGCACGTTTCTCTTCCCGCGTGGCTAACCAATTTTCTCGATCTTGTTGGATCTCGGTCTTGCCCCGTTGAAAGAATTCCATCATTTGCTGTTTCAACTCCTCATACTTTTCCTTCTCCCTCGCGTCCGCCTGATCAATCAGGTCTTGCGACACTATGGGATAAGTCAGCTCTTTCACTGGAGTTTGTGGACTGCTCATTAGAGCTTCCACTCGCTTGGCAGCACTCCATGGATTCGTTTCCTCTGCAGCCATGACCCCGGTTACAATCCCAGGATCCACAACCGCCGTTCCCCACTGAGGCACCATTCCCGTAGGTGGCACTCCAGCACACATGGATTGCTGGGACATCCCAGCTACTTGCGAACCCTGTGTTCCACCAGTTGCGGTATACACCACAGGTGCTCCCGCTGGCTGGTAGATCACAGGTGAGCCTGTTGGTGCCGCTGGCACCGATTGTTTGACGCGTGCATCTTCAGGAGACTCAACAGGTGAACGTCCCGGTCGCTCCAAAAGAGCAACGGTTTCCACAACAGCAGCCGCACCTCCACTCACTTCAGTTGAGCTTTGGTGTTTTCCACCCTGTCCTTCTTCTCGATTACCCACAACAGGTGGTTCACGAAATCCCTCAGACATCCGGGCAACTACTGGTGTTTGTGTCATAGGCACTCCCGAAAGAGTTAGACTATTCACACCTGGGGTCAAACCAGACAACAGACCGCCACTCCCATTTCCTCGTACCACTTCAAGTCCAGGAGGTTCTTCAGGTGGTAAGGACACTGGTCTTGCGACTTCTTCCGCAACAGCCGGATTCTGGGCGATTCGTTCGCCCGCTCCAGCCCGGACCGCCGCAACCTGCACTAGGGCTCCACTTCCCCCAGCACCGGTCAGTGCCATCACACTTTCTCCAACTTCCCCTTCCATCAGTGATCTTCGGGTTGAGTCTGATGATCTTGTCCCTGTTCTTTTCCCCATGTGCTTGTCCAGGTGCGTCCATCTCCTCCAGAAGCCGGTCCAGCATTTGGTCTGCCGTTTCCGCGCGTTCTTCTTTTCCATGTCCATGGGTCCCATGTTGTACTTCTTCAGCATGAGCAGCCGCTTGAACTTGGCGTTCTTGTCGACGACGCTGAGTGAAGTCGCTGCTCGACATTGCTTCAAGGCAGCGTTGGGGTTGGGCTCATAACCCACGGGTTTCAGACTATGACCGAGACCCTTCCCGGAGGTCCCCACCAAGAGGCAGATGCAAGTGCACCTTTTCACTCCAAGTTGGGCTCGGTAAATTGAGCCAGTCAGTTGATTGGCCCTTGAGCCAATTGAATGGCTTGAGCCAAAGTTGCAACAGTCGGAGGACGTCTCAACGACTGTGAAAAACTTTAAAAAGACCTTAGTGGGGGTGCAGTGGTATTCTGTGCATGTTTCCCAAACCGCAACATCAATTTACCCTCAGAACAACCATACATACTAAAGATATGAAGAACCCATGGGATTTTGGCAAGGATCTCTCTTTTAATGGTGGATGTTTCCACATTGAAATCCAGGGTGACCACGGTGAACTTTCAGCCCGTTTCTTTCAGCGCCAGGTGGCTATTATTCCCCCGAAACCTATGACTGGGTCGACCTGGCCGAGCCTTTGGAACGCTGCGTGGAGGGATCCTTCGTCGTGCATGAGGGCGAGGATATCATGCAGCTCGGCTCGGGTGGGGCCTTGAGAGCTGCGGCGGTGATCCATGGCACTGAAACGAAGATGGGAAGATTTTTTTCCATCTGGTTACTTAACAGTTTGCCATGGAAAGATCCACCATTTTTAATAGGTAAAGCATCTTAATAAATGGGCCATTACCCATAGCTACGTTAAATAACCAGAGGGTATAGGTGTTTGCAATTGGAAGTGACTGTTTTTTTTTGGGATGACGTTTGGTTGCCGAAAGTGAGAACTGGAAGATGAGTTTGTGGCGATTGGACATGACAATTTTTGTTGGGGTTCATTGAATGAACATCCTAGGCTGAAGGGTGTGTGGCATTGTGTACATTTGTGTACTGTAGCTGTAAGTTGTTTGCATGAAGTTGGATCAATGGGAATTTCAGGATCCTAAAATGGAGGTACTGTACCATATAAGGCCATATTTTGGGGGAATATTCCCTTACATAGGCCTATTGGATTCCTATTGATTGGATCTTCCTATTGGATTCCCCTTTGATTTGGAGGGTCATCCAAGTGATTTTGCGGGGCTTGACATGTCTCGACGCTGAGGCCGGCCGGTAGCAGCCAAGTACCGGCTGGAGATCAGCTGGTGAAAGTGGAGGTAACCAAAGAGACTTCACTGGAAGCTTTGTACAGACTGGCTGAGGAGGAGATGATGGGAGAATATGAGGGGATGGGGCCCAATCACTTGCCGCAAGGAAGGCGTGAAGTGTCAAGTTTGTGTCCTGAAATTCTGTAATTTATTGCACAGGCTGCGGTCTGATGATTGCCGGCGAGACATGGGGATTGATACTTCGCGATGTCAAAGTTGTTTGACAGACTCACAGGCATCCGAGAAGTTCAATAGGAGACTCATCTTGCATGATTTCTTTAACATTTTTATGCTTTGCTGAATCTCAGGGGTGTACACAATAATTATGCAAAGTCAGTCGTGCACTCAGAGTTATTGATCATATGCCAGCCACAGATTCCGGTACAAGGTTCTGGCCCACCCTGTGTCAGCTCAGCTCATCAGTTTGTTTTGAAAGATGCGGCATTTATGTATGTATATATATATAGAGAGAGTTAAACAAGAGAATGATGGTATGAAGTTCTGAAGTCAGGAAATGGTAACAAACCATATCCTATCATATCCCGTTTGCACCCAATGAACCATTAGGATCCAGTTGGGAGATACAAAGAAAACATCGCCCTCATAGGCTTTCTCTGACAGGATGCTGGCAACATCGTTTTGCTGAATTTTGCAAGTGCCAAGAATCCAGGTAGGGCGCGGGCCGGGCGCTCGATTTTTTGATATCGGCAACTGGGCACCACACCACAACTCAAGCAACACTTGATTGGACTTGATTGATTCCTCCTAATTTTGATTAGACTTGATTGATTCCTCCTAATTTTGATTAGACTTGATTGATTCCTCCTAATTTTGTTGATTGTTTTTGTGTATTGACGATTGATGAGCTCCCCATCTTCCTAAAACTGTTGTTGCCCTCAAGGTTTGACCTGGCTAGGGACGCCTAATCAATGCCTTGATAGATACCACTACCATCCTTTTTTCGTCCCATGTTTGCTCAAGTCCCATTTTGTATTTTTTTTTATTGGTCAAGTCCCATAATGTCCTGCAATGTCACCTTGTGACCAACCCAATACATTCAATAAACCATTGCACACTTCTCTTTTTTTGCTGGTCAAGTCCCAAAATTCAGAGAGGAGCCCCCCCCGAGATGAAGGGGACTGCCTCATGGGACTGCTGTAATCAAGTATCACATCAAGGATCCATCATAACTATGCCAGATTATCCATCATTATCAATAGACATCAGTCATAATCAACCAGATGATGACGGTATATAAATATTGATAGCTACTGAGAACATTCCCAGTCCCAATCTACAATAGCAATAAGATAATCACACATGATATCCAAGATGTTCTATGATAATCTATGATGCTAGAATAGCAAATTAATCCCAATATTCGATGATAATGCGGTTATACATTATTATACTATATTGATCTATATTGATTAAACTGGTTAACCGCTGCTGCCAAACATCAATCAACAAAAACCAAGTTTTTGGATGATTCATGGTTTAATGATGACACCCCAATATAACTATTGGGAATACAGAACAAGCTAAAACAAATGTATGATATTATGATATGATGATTGGTAATAACTATTGGGATATGGCAGTGTGTCAAAACCTTGTACCCCTGGCGAAGATCAAAATAGCTGGTAAATGGATGGTCATTCCCCTAAAAATGGTATTAATAGGTATTGATCCATACCCATATAAATATAGGATAGTAATTAGATCATATCCCAATAGTCCTAAGAATTTAGGATTAATAACTATTGTTATATTCCAATTTCATATAGGATATAACTATATAACTATCGGGATAGACTGTCCCTATATATCAAAACAATCATCATATCCCAAGAATTTGTCCAAAAGTCCTTCCTCGTTAGGTGGCAGCTTCCTGGGTGGCGCTCAAGCGCAGGAGGAGTCCCTGGCGCGCTCCTCGGGGCTCTACCCGTGCCTCACGAAGTTTCAGGATGACATGTCACCTGGTCGAAAAGGTGGATTTAACCATGATTTAACCATCAAAAATGAGGATTTAGTGGGACTTAACCATGAGAAATGAGGATTTCATGGGATTTTCATGGGATATAATATGATAATTACAATTATAATGGATAAAAGTGAGGATTTAGGTCGATTTGACCAGCATTTTTGCGCACTAATGGGACACATGGGATGGGAATGGGGATATAGTTGTGGGTATTCATGGATGTTAATGGGACATAAGTTGGATTTAACATGATTTAACCATAAGAAATTAGGATTGAATGTGCTTTTCAATGGATTTAATGGGATTTGACATAAGTCATATAAACTAAAAAAGGTGATTTAACTGGATTTGAATGGAAATATAAGGGGTATTAATGGGAAATAAGTTGGATTTAGGCACTAGTTTTGGCGATCCGAACCTTGTACTGCAATTCCGATTGCTGACCCCTTTGTTCATCTCATTTTTTATTTGTATATCATGGTTCCTGTTCACCATTAAAGATTACAGCTGGAAATCAATGCGATATTATAGGATGGGATTTAATCAACTACGATCAAAGTTGGATCATATATCATAATTATTCTAGTGGTTGGGGTGAACAGATACTGCACATTCAGACCGAAGACTTGGGGGCAGATCTTTCAAAGAAATTTCAGTTCCTCAAAAAAAACAACCAGAAACAGGTAGAACTGGTGCATTATTAGATTTTATTAAGAACATTTAAGAACCTTGTCCAACAAAAACTGCCTGTTTGGTGGAGGAGGAATGCTGTTGTTGTTGTTGTTGTTGTTGTTGTTGTTGTTCCTGTTGTAGTGGCGATGGCCACGTGGAGCCTCACAGCCTCACTTTGGGCTCGCGCCAGGTATGCGGCCAACAAGAAGGATCCACGAGGCGGCTTCTACTCAGATGACATGATCTTCTCATCTCACGTGTGCCTAGGCGGATCACCACAGGTGCGACTGTTCAGCATGGTAAAGCGATGTTGAGACGATGTGGCCATATACCCGAGTGTGAGAGGCGATCTGTTCACGAGTTGAGTCATGGTATCGATCCGTGGATTAGGGCGCATCAATGAAAACGGGCACTTTCAAGATTTCGTGAGGACTCTTGCAAGTTGTGGGCCATGGGGTTGGGCCCGGTTTCATGGAAATTCTGGGTGATGGGAGCCATCGCCTTCTCCAAGGCCCTTCTTCCGCACTGACCAGGGTTCCCTGCTGCCGTCGCCCATCTGTTGTTCGGTGATCACCTGCCCCGCGGTGAACGCAGGGGTGGTGGCGGAGGGCACTTGCCGGCGAAAGGGGGAGACGCCCGTGATGCAAGTCATGGAGGCTGGATGGATCAGGGGAGCCCTGGTTTTCTTCAGCTTTCTGAGGTGGACCTAGCAGGGGTAGCATCCTTGATTGGTTTTCTGAAGCAACAAGAAAATCAAGAAAATGGGCAGATGACACTAGAACCAGGCACATCTTGACATTCTCGCTTGTTCAGTTAGGTTCTCTGACACCAATCCCGTTTAGAAATGGGGATGGATCAATACCTATGAATACCATTTTTAGGGGTTTATTCACATCCATATACCAGCTATTTTGATGTGAACTACAGGGGTACAAGGTTTTGACACACTGCCAAATAGGGATGGGTGAACATCTTTGATTTTCCATATGACTGCGGGGATGAACACTTGATGAACATTTGCGATTTTGATGTGAACTGCGCCGAGCCAGGGTTTGATCCATATGCCATAGCCATACTTCCTCCTTTTGAGGTCTTCCATTTTGGCGCTGAAGTAGTGGTTCAAAATCCATTTTGGTTAGCTAAGCATGTATCCTTTGTATCAAAGCACGGGCAAAAGGGGCCCAGAAATGCGACCAGAAGCCGAGAAGCCGAGAAGCCCGACACAAGCCGAGAAGCCGAGAAGCCGAGAAGCCGCGAAGCCGCGAAGTACGACACAAGCCGAGAAGCCGAGAAGCCGAGAAGCCGAGAAGCCCGGCACAAGCCGAGAAGCCAAGAAGCCGAGAAGCCGAGAAGCCGAGAAGCCACCGGACAAGCCGAGAAGCCGAGAAGCCGAGAAGCCGCGAAGCCGAGGAGCCGCCGGGCAAGCCGAGAAGCCGTGAAGCCGAGAAGCCGCCGGGCAAGCCGAGAAGCCGAGAAGCCGAGAAGCCACCGGACAAGCCGAGAAGCCGAGAAGCCGAGAAGCCACCGGACAAGCTGAGACAGTAGTCAGTAGCCCTGGAACCCCCTCTGAACACTATGTTGCATCTTCACCCTCACAAGACATCAACCCCCCAACCCCCTCTGAACAATACGTTGCACCTTGAGACATCAGCCCCGCCACCCCCTTTGAATATATGTTGCATCTTCGAAGATCAAGCCAGCGACCCCCTCTGAACACTACCTCGCCCCGTTAAACTTCTACATTCATTGAAGATCTTCAATGAGGGTTTAATTCTCCCAGCCCTCAAACTTCTACATTCATCGAAGATCTTCAATGAGGGTTTTAATTCTCCCAGCCCCGTTAAACTTCTACATTCATTGACGATCTTCAATGAGGGTTTAATTCTTCCCAGCCCCGTTAAACTTCTACATTCATTGACGATCTTCAATGAGGGTTTAATTCTCCCAGCCCCGTTAAACTTCTACATTCATGGACGATCTTCAATGATCTTCAATGAGGGTTTAATTCTCCCCAGCCCCGTTAGACTTCTACATTCATTGACGATCTTCAATGAGGTTTTAATTCTCCTCAGCCCCGTTAAACTTCTACATTCATTGAAGATCTTCAATGAGGGTTTAATTCTCCCAGCCCCGTTAAACTTCTACATTCATGGACGATCTTCAATGAGGGTTTAATTCTCCCAGCCCCGTTAAACTTCTACATTCATGGACGATCTTCAATGAGGTTTTAATTCTCCCCAGCCCCGTTAAACTTCTACTTTCTTTGACGATCTTCAATGAGGGTTTAATTCTCCCCAGCCCCGTTAAACTTCTACATTCATGGACGATCTTCAATGAGGGTTTAATTCTCCCCAGCCCCGTTAAACTTCTACATTCATTGACGATCTTCAATGAGGTTTTAATTCTCCCCACCCAACTTCTACATTCACTGACGATCTTCAACGAGGGTTTAATTCTCCCAGCCCCGTTTAACTTCTGCATTCATGGACGATCTTCAATGAGGGTTTAATTATCCCCAGCCCTGTTAAACTTCTACATTCATGGACGATCTTCAATGAGGGTTTAATTCTCCCCACCCCCGTTAAACTTCTACATTCATGGACGATCTTCAATAAGGATTTTATTCTCCTCAGCCCCGTTAAACTTCTACATTCATGGACGATCTTAAATGAGGGTTTAATTCTCCCAGCCCCGTTAAACTTCTACATTCATGGCCGATCTTAAATGAGGGTTTAATTCTTCCCAGCCCCGTTAAACTTCTACATTCATTGAAGATCTTCAATGAAGGTTTAATTCTTCCCAGCCCCGTTAAACTTCTAAATTCATTGACGATCTTCAATGAGGGTTTAATTCTCCCAGCCCCGTTAAACTTCTACATTCATCGAAGATCTTCAATGAGGGTTTAATTCTCCCAGCCCCGTTAAACTTCTACATTCATTGACGATCTTCAATGAGGGTTTAATTCTCCCAGCCCCGTTTAACTTCTACATTCATGGACGATCTTCAATGAGGGTTTAATTCTCCCGAGCCCCGTTAAACTTCTACATTCACTGACGATCTTCAATGAGAGTTTAATTCTCCCCACCCCCGTTAAACTTCTACATTCATGGACGATCTTCAATGAGGTTTTAATTCTCCCCAGCCCCGTTAGACTTCTACATTCATTGACGATCTTCAATGAGGTTTTAATTCTCCCCACCCCCGTTAAACTTCTACATTCACTGACGATCTTCAACGAGGGTTTAATTCTCCCAGCCCCGTTTAACTTCTACATTCATGGACGATCTTCAATGAGGGTTTAATTATCCCCAGCCCTGTTAAACTTCTACATTCACTGGCTATCTTCAATGAGGGTTTAATTCTCCCCAGCCCCGTTAAACTTCTACATTCATGGACGATCTTCAATAAGGGTTTAATTCTTTCAGCCCCGTTATATAGAAACTTCTACATTCATTGACGATCTTCAATGGGGGTTTCCGTGTCGCGCAGCGACGCAACGCCGTGTGCACTCTTGCAGAAGGAAGCGTCGCAGCGCCAACAGCGTCGCAGCGTCGCTCCCGCGTCGCAGCGTCGCAGCGTCGCAGCGCCAACAGCGTCGCAGCGTCGCTCCCCGCGACGCAGCGTCGCAGCGTCGCAGCGCCAACAGCGTCGCAGCGTCGCTCCCGCGTCGCAGCGTCGCAGCGTCGCAGCGCCAACAGCGTCGCAGCGTCACTCCAGCGTCGCAGCGTCGCAGCGCCAACAGCGTCGCAGCGTCACTGGCCCAACGGCAGCGTCGCAGCGTCGCAGCGTCGCAGCGCCACCCGCCCCCCGGAGCGTCGCAGCGTCGCAGCGTCGCAGCGCCACCCGCCCCCGGGAGCGTCACAGCGCAACGTCGGAAACCCACGCTTCGGCCCCCTTTGCCCCTGCACTGCTTTGTATTCTTTTATAGTGGAACAATGTTTGACATCCATTTTTGGTGTTTACCCTCCAGTTATCAAATGTGGCATTTGTCTTTTACTACAAGTATAACACACACACATACATATCATATATGTATATACTATATAACTAATTGGATAACTTTTCCTTTATGTAAAACCTCCATTTAGTTCGGGGATTTTCCATTGCCAAGTTTGACTATGCAGAGGGTAACCATGGTGTTTTGCCGCAGGGAAGGCTGCGCCGTATCCTTCGTCTAGCGCGGGCGCGGGGCGGCCGCACATTGATCCTGGGCGCTTGGGGCTGCGGGGTCTTTCGCAACACGCCGGAGGCACGTTGCCCGCGCTTCCGTGGGGACTATACATCAAGGCCTCCCCCAAAAAATAGGTCAGCTGGTTTACATACACACACACATATATATATATTTATACATACATATATATATGGTACCCCCCCAAAACCTACCTTTTTTACATTTGTATTGGTATTTACAGTATTTTATGTAGATTATTAGCTGGAGTGAATAAAGCTGAAAAAAACTAAAAACTAGAGTTGAAAACACTGAAACAAAACTATAAATTTTAGGAACTATGTCTAGCCCCAAGTCTAAACTAAAAAAACAGAAAAAATGAAAAACTGAAAAAACTGAAAAAACTATAATTTTTGGGAACTATGTCTAGCTCGAGGTCTAAACTGGAAAAACAACTGAAAAAACTGAAAAAACTAAAAAAATGAAAAAACTGAAAAAACTATATTTTTGGGATTTTTTGGGTAACTATATCTAGATCTGGGTCCCAGCCATAGTTCTAGAAAAATATAGTTTTTTCAGTTTTTTCGGTTTACGGATGGAATCCGCAGTATTTCCGCGAAGAGGCCCCTTTTATTTATCTCCTGCTGGTTCCCGTTGCCATTGCCTCATGGCTGCGGCTTCTCGTCCGGACAGTCCGGAGATCCAGTATGAGGATGATTTTTGGGAGTGCCTTGGACGCGAACCATCCTGTTAATACTTTCCAATGGCATTTGTAATTCTGGTCTGCTTCATCCCTTTCAACGGCTGTCACTGCAATCCTGCCTTTCAAATCTGCCCATTGCTTCAACATTGTTCCCATCCAAGGTCTGCGTGGACTTTGCCACCTCTCACCGACCCAAGCTGGTGGGAGTCACGTCCTTATGAGGAACGGCCACGCGACCGATCCCCGAACTCGTTCGCCACACGTCGGCACAAGGGTGCCGATGACACCGCCCGAGCTGCTCGGACCGGCGCTTGCGACCAAGCACTTGCGGGACCGCATCGTCGTTCTTCACACAGATGCAGCCAAGTCGTACAAACTCAAAATGAGCGGGGTTTTGCACGACCATGTCCGACACTGCAAAAAGCGTGTCAAAGTCAAGGGCAAGTGGATGTGGAAATTGCCCACCTATGTCCGCGTGACCACACACAAGGATCCCAAGACTGGTCGCAAATTTAAGACTAAAGGTGGCACGCAAATTATAGACCGTGCCTGGCGCTTCCTCAAAGACAGGATTCATTTAAACCAACATTGCCGAGTTGGAACGTCTCTGCTGCGTGCCAAAATTCGCAGTGCCCAATACGAGTATTGGCACAGGAATGCGGGTCTATGGCTTCAAACCGGCATTGTGTGTACATGGCATGTCGCCAAAAGCTTGGCTTAATCTCAATGCTCCATCCATCGCAGAAAAAAAATCCTTCTGTCAATGCTTCATTGTTTGCTGCAACTCGCATTATCATGCAAATGTCATGAAAATATAAAATTTCACCACCACAAACAGTCTGAAACATTCTTGTCTGCAATTCCTTTACTTACCACAAGTCGATAAATATGAACGAAATTGTTTGCATGTGTCTGCCTCTGACACACAATCAAAATACAGTATTTCCTCTTGTCTGCAATTCCTCTGCCTATCTGCATGTCCCTGCCTCTGACACACAAGCACCAACATGAAAACCAACATGAAAGTCATAAAAAAGTAGGTTTGGGGGGGGCTAGCATATATATATATATATTTGTTTCATACAACATTATACAACTATATATCTATGACTATATTCGGCCCATGACATACATATATGATTAGGTCACGTGTTTTTTCCCCAGATAGCTGGCAAGCTATTATAGGGGTTCTTACTTCTCAAAGGTGGGGTCTTCGGTGGCGAACTCTTGAGCCTGGGTGCTGTGCAGGGTGCTGTGCAGGGTGCTGTCCAGACTGCGGTGGCGAAGTCTGGCAAAGGTGCTGTGCAGGGTGCTGTGCAGGGTGCTGTCCAGACTGCGGTGGCGAAGTCTGGCAAAGGCGGCTGTGCAGGGTGCTGTGCAGGGTGCTGTGCAGGTGCTGTCCAGACTGCGGTGGCGAAGTCTGGCAAAGGTGCTGTGCAGGGTGCTGTGCAGGGTGCTGTCAGACTGCAGTGGCGAAGTCTGGCAAAGGTGCTGTGCAGGGTGCTGTGCAGGGTGCTGTGCAGGGTGCTGTGCAGGGTGCTGTGCAGGGTGCTGTGCAGGGTGCTGTGCAGGGTGCTGTGCAGGGTGCTGTGCAGGGTGCTGTGCAGGGTGCTGTCCAGACTGCGGTGGCGAAGTCTGGCAAAGGTGCTGTGCATGGTGCTGTGCAGGGTGTTGTCCAGACTGCGGTGGCGAAGTCTGGCAAAGGTGCTGTGCAGGGTGCTGTGCAGGGTGCTATGCAGGGTGTTGTCCAGACTGCGGTGGCGAAGTGTGACAAAGGTGCTGTGCAGCGTGCTGTGCAGAGTTTTGTGCAGGGTGCTGTCCAGACTGCGGTGGCGAAGTCTGGCAAAGGTGCTGTGCAGGGTGCTGTGCAGGATGCTGTCCAGACTGCGGTGGCGAAGTCTGGCAAAGGTGCTGTGCAGGGTGCTGTGCAGCATGCTGTGCAGGGTGCTGTGCAGGGTGCTGTCCAGACTGCGGTGGCGAAGTCTGGCCAAGGTGCTGTGCAGGGTGCTGTGCAGGGTGCTGTCCAGACTGCGGTGGCGAAGTCTGGCAAAGATGCTGTGCAGGGTGCTGCCCAGGGTGTTGTCCACTGCGGTGGCGAAGTCTGGCAAAGGTGCTGTGCAGCAGGGTGCTCTGCAGGGTGTTGTCCAGAGTGCAGTGGCGAAGTCTGGCAAAGGTGCTGTGCAGGGTGCTGTGCAGGGTGTTGTACTAGTGCGGTGGCGAAGTCTGGCAAAGGTGCTGTGCAGGGTGCTGCGCAGAGTGCTGTTCAGACTGCAGTGGCGAAGTCTGGCAAAGGTGCTGTGCAGGGTGCTGTGCAGGGTGCTGTGCAGGCTACTGTTCAGGGTGCTGTGCAGGGTGCTGTGCAGGGTGCTGTGCTGTTCAGACTGCAGTGGCGAAGTCTGGCAAAGGTGCTGCAGGGTGCTGTGCAGGGTGCTGTGCAGGGTGTGCTGTGGTGTTGTCAGACTGCGGTGGCGAAGTCTGGCAAGGTGCTGTGCCGGGTGCTGCAGGGTGCTGTGAAGGGTGCTTGTCAGGGTGCTCGTGCGGTTCTGTCCAGCTGCGTTGGCGATGTCTGGCAAAGGTGCTGTGCCAGGGTGCTGTGCAGGGTGCTGTGCAGGGTGCTGTGCAGGGTGTTGTACTAGTGCCATGGCGAAGTGTGGCAAAGGTGTTGTGCAGGGTGCTGTGCAGGGTGCTGTTCAGACTGCAGTGGCGAAGTCTGGCAAAGGTGCTGTGCAGGGTGCTGTGCAGGGTGCTGTGCAGGGTGCTGTCCAGACTGCGGTGGCGAAGTCTGGCAAAGGTGCTGTGCAGGGTGTTGTTTAGAGTGCAGTGGAGTTCTAACTTTCGGGAATCAACGGATCCTTCCGCTGGTAACGTATGCTTTTTCAGGTTTGGAACCATGAGTTTCAAGCTTTGGGAATCCGCAGTTCCTTACAATGATAGCCGCTTAGCTTCGAAAACATAAATTCTAACTTCTGGGAACCGGCAATTCCTTGCAATGGCAACCTCTGGTTCCCAGGTTGGGAACCGTAAGTTTCAAGGTCTGGGAACCGGCAGTTCCTTGCCATGGCAACCTTTGGTTTCCACGTTGAAAACATCAGTCCCAACCTGTAGGAACCGAAAGTTCTTTGCAATGGCAACCTATGGTTCCCAGGTTGGGAACTATCTGTTCCAACCTTTGGGAACCGGCAATTGTTTGCAATGGTAACCCATGGTTCCCAGGTTGGGAACCAGGAGTTCCAACCTCTGGGAACCGGCAGTTCCTTGCAATGGTAACCTGTGGTTCCCACGTTGGCAACCATGAGTTCCAACCTTTGGGAACCGGCAGTTCCTTGCCATGAACCAAACGCAAACATTCCGGTACCGGTCCATTAAGCAAAACAAAGCGTTCTGTACCGGTCCATTAAGCAAAACCATAAAGTTGTAAAGAAAATGTTTTCATATCATTTCAACATGCACCCTTTTCGTGCGAAAACATTTTTATGCCGGCCCATCAGCCAAACGCAAACATTCCGCTACCGGTCCATTAAGCAAAACAAAAGGTTCTGTTACCGGCCCAGTAAACAAAACAAAACAACATTAAAAACAATGAGTTCTAACTTTTGGGAATCAACAGATCCTTCCACTGGTAACGTATGCTTTCTCAGGTTTGGAATTTGGAGCCATGAGTTTCAAGCTTTCGCAACCGGCAATTCCTTACAATGATAACCGCTTAGGTTGGAAAACATGAGGTCTAACCTCTGGGAACCGGCAATTCCTTGCAATGGTAACTTTCGTTCCCAGGTGGGGAAGCATGAGTTTCAAGGTGTGGGAGCCGGCAGTTCCTTGCAATGGTAATTTTTGGTTACGAGGTTGGCAACCATGAGTTCCAAATTTTAGGATTTGGTAATTGCTGGAAATTATAATCTATGGTTGGGAAGCATGAGTTTCAATTTCGTGGAACCGGCAATTTCTGCAATCGTAGTCCGTTAATGGTTTTGTTCAGTGGCAGGCGTGGAGAACCTAGTCATATGAAAACATCAAAGCGTGATGAAAATAGGAACCTAGTCATATGGAGGCGTGTGCGTTTACCAAGGACTGCCGCGTGTTACAGATAAGCAACTTGATGCCGGCCCATTAAGCAAAACAAAAAGGCTGTAAAGAACATGTTTTCATATCATTCTAACATTAAGCCAAACACAGCGTTCTGTTACCGGCCCATTAAGCAAAACCAAGCAATACCGATGCATGAAAGTTGCCCGAATTGCTTGAATCGTTGGGAACCAGGATTGCCTTCAAATGCGATTTCAAGGTTCCAAGGTTGGAAATCGTGGGCGGCAAGGAAAAACACATTTTTTTTGACGCAACCTCTGTGATGTCAATCCGAAACGCAAATCTTTGAGTCCAAACGCATCATCATTTTGATCATTCAACAAGACAATACAAAACGCGTTTTCACAGAATATTTGCTCATGTCAATTGAGTAAGCAGATGCTGTGAAATTTGCTTGTCGAGACATCCGCTATATCACTGACCCATTGACGCGGCATGAAAAAGCGTTTCTGAAATCTTTTCTATCTGGGGTCTATGCCGGTGTAATTTAATGAAGAAATGTGCAGCTGCATGGGCTTATACACTAAACACCTTACTTTATAACTTGGGGGCCTCTTCCGCCCCAGTCAACTTGATTATAACTGTTGCTTTGTATGTATGATTTCGGCTTGATTTCGGTCAATTAGATAGATCGATAGATAGCTAGGATAGATGAATAGACGCATAGACGCTTAGATGGCTAGATGGCTAGACAGCTAGATGGCTAGATGGAGAGATGGAGAGATGGAGAGATGGATACACGGACAGATGGATAGATAGATGGATGGATGGATGGATGGATGGATAGATAGGATAGATGGACAGATGGGCAGATGGATGGACAGATGGATAGTTAGTTAGTTAGTTCGTTAGATAGATCGATAGAGATAGATTAATAGATCAATTAGATATATAACTAGATAGATCGATAGATAGACAGGTAGAAAACCTAGATAGATAGGCAATGATAGACAGATTTCGTTGGTACAGTAAATATTCTTCGCTTGGCTTTCTCTTTCTCTCTCTCTCTCTATGCATGTATCTGAATGAACCCACGCACACTATATATATATATGTCCTACTGGGTAGGTGGTTGACGTCCGAGTTTTCACTTTGTAAAGTTGTGGCCGTCTTTCACCTCAAGTTCTTTTGCTAGTGTAGTTTTTCTTCCATGGACATTCAATCGGTTGGCTGTGCGATTGCTGGATTGATCTCTGGTTGGTACCTTAAGGGTTTTTTCCCAACTGTCGAAGAGAAGACCCCCTGCAACTGCCATTGCCAGTGTGCACATCACGTTCAGCAAGAGGGCACATCCACCCCGTTCTGGCCTGGAGTGATCTTGGCTTTATTCGTTGGCATCTTGGGTCTGGCTGCCAACTTTGTTTTGGCTGTAAGGTTCACAGTTAGCGACAAGGGTCAAAATCGAGAAGTGGCAATTTCTGTAAAGGGAAAATCCAAAGGGGTTTACAACCCGTCAAGGGCTTTGCAGATCACAGACTAAGTCAGGATGGCGGTGAGTGTGGGCAATGTAGTCTTTTTAGACTACGGAGAACGACCAAGGGTTGTGCATGCCCGTTTGGTGCTGGCCGAAGTTGACAGCAGTACATTCGAGTTCACGATTGCAACGCCAGATTTGGATGTGTATACCGAGATCTTAGATGGTAGCAATCCAGATCTCCAGCACTTTTACTTGGGGGGTCCAGGCGGGGGGCTCCCGAGAGGGGTCCCTGCCAATTGCATCTATGGTTTTGCACCCATGACTGCTATGGAATATTCTAGACTGATGCGAGAGGGAGCAGCGGTAGCATTGGCTGAAAGAACAGCCAGGGGAATGGTTGGTTTACCTCCGGTACTTGGTGTGCCTGTTGCAGCAGCAGCTGCTGGGGCAGCAGCCCCACCTGTAGCTGGAGGTGCAGGGCCAGGACCTTTAGCCGCAGCACCGGTTGAAGTTTGGGTTCTAGGAGGGTGTTGTGGTGGTCGCAAAATTGGTGAGCAAGTAGTACCACCTGCCGGACTTCCTACGCTGGGTGACTATGGGTTGATGAGCATGGTTGATATGGATGGCAATTCCAGAGCAGTTCTGATTAAGAAGATGGCGATTGATCAAATTCCTGCATTCTGCGACGAACGCATCCAGTGTGCCAGGGATGCAACCGCTGTTGACGGGGAAGAGAGATCAGCTGCCGATGACATCAGGACATTATCTATCAAATATACTGCCAGCGGTGAGAGACGAAGGGTTTTCAAAGAGTCCATTGGGGAGCTCATTCAAACGGAGATGGAGGATTTTCCGTATGAGCCAAGGACGTGTTTACCCTATCTGCAGGCCATTGTCAATGTCTCAGAGAGCGCTTACGGGCAACATCTTCAATGGATACAACAGGCGAAGATCCCGGAGAAGATCCCGGAGGGATCCAGGGCGATCTATGAGGATGAAACCCTGGCGCATATATTAGATGTTGCAGTGTGCTATGATGGATTGGCTGTCTGCAACCTGGCCAGCTTTGAGCTGCTGGTGCGTAGGCGCCAGCTTCTGGCAGAAGCACACAGCTACAGTCCAAACGCCCCCAGTTACGAAGGGGCCGAATACTGGATGGGAAACCGTTTCAAAACTGGAGGCGGTATAGTCATTCCATCGCTTACAGAGCATGTGGCGCGGAGGTTACATGCTGATGCTCAAATCCTCAAAGAGCGTCGCAAGTTGGAGGAAAACAAAGGAAAAGCTAAGGGCAAGCCGTCGAAAGGAGGTCCAAAAGGGGCCCAACAGGCGGCGGAGACCACAGCTTGAGCACTGGCTCAAGGTCCCTTTTTTGACTGCCGGGGGCCTTGACTTTTTCTTAGGTGGTCGCATTTCTGATTTTGTTTGTTTCTCCAAGGGCAACTTCGTTGGTCTGGGCTGGGTAGTGGTGCTGCCGTTATGGTGGGGCATTGGGAGAGTTCCATTTTTCATCCTCCTTCTGACAAGTCAAAGCGGAGACGAGATATCTTTCCTTTGCCTACCATTGCTGATGAATCAGTTTCGAACGCATCGCTGTCCAGGGCAGTTCGGCGTAGACTAGAAGCTCGGAGTTCAGTCAACAAGCGAGTTAATCTGGCTGTAAATTCTTTGAATTCAATGTGGTTTGGTGGATCCTCCAAATATACTAAGTGGGAAGTAAGTAGTCTTTCAGGTCTGCCTGCTTGTCAACGTGATGCCATGCAGAACATATTGCAGTGCGTCAAATGCATGGGAGCTCCACTTGAAGCAAGCTGCCAAGGAGCCTTGTGTGCGCTCCGGGCGGCCGGGTCAGCATATGAAGATGGTGCTGACATCGGCGTGGGATCCGTTGTCAACATGGAGCTGTCCAAGTTGTCTCTGCCTTCAGGTGGGGTCGCTGGCGTATCCTTGGTTGACAGCTTGGAGGGTACCACCAAGAACATGGTTGAGGACTTTGAAAATTTCATGCTTCAGGATGCTGATGCGTGGACGTTCATTGAGGATGAGTCATGCAAAGTACCCCCATACAATGATCAGCTTCTGTCCGCTAGAAAGGGCTATCTCACTTTTCTTCGCCGTTTGTTTGATGCTGGGGTCTTGGGTCACACTTCAAGATGCCGTGGAAGAGTTGGGGCCTTTTGTGTTTCGAAGAAGTCTAAATTCATTGATGGTGTGGAACATAAAAGACAGCGTTTAGTGCTCGACTGTCGACAGACGAACTTGCAATTCAGAGAGCCACCAATGACGGAGTTGGGGAGTTTGGCATCTTTAGGAAATCTTCAACTTCCAGAGGGAAAGAAACTATATGTTGCAACAGCGGACATTCGTGACTGTTTCTACGCGGTGAATTGTCCTATTGGCATGTCTGATTTCTTTTGCCTCAGAAGTGATATTACACCTGCAGAAGCCATCTTCATTTCCAATGGTGCGTGGAGTATTGAGGACAACACTCCTTTTGTTAGCCCTTGTATCACCGTGTTGCCCATGGGTTTTAGCTGGAGTTTCTATCTTATTCAGGTGTTACACGAACAAGCCACTATGAAAGCTCTTGGTATACCTCGCTCTTCTTTGATCCTAGAAGGTCAGCCTGCCCCTGATGTGGATGACAAGTCATGTTTGGCTATGCCGTATTGTGACAACGTTCATACTATGAGCACCGATCCTCGTGTCTGCCAGGTTGGATGTGATGACGTCCAAGAGAAGCTCACTTCGATGGGCTTTGATCTGCATGAGGAGACGGAAGCTTCGACATATTGTTGCACTTTGGGGGGGGTCATTGATGGGGACAAAGGGCAAGTGAGAGCGAGCAATCAGCGCTTGTGGCGTATTAGTTTGGCATTTGAATACCTTACTTTTGCTAAAGTTCATCCAGCATTGGTGCAAAAGTTGCTAGGCCATGCCATGACTATCTGTGTGTTAAATAGAGCAGGTATGTCTGTTTTCCGACGTCTATACGATATGGTAGAGCAAGGAGGTGAAGCACGGTATCTCACAGATATTGAACGTGAAGAGTGTTGGAATTTTATTGGTATTATACCCATGTTATTTGCAGATCTGCGGAAGCCGTGGAGTACAACAGTGGTATCGACAGATGCCTCTCCCGAGGGATATGGTATGTGTGAATCGACTCTGACCGCAAAGGAAGTGCGAAGCATGGGCCAGTGGAATGAGCGCTGGCGATTTCGTCGCTTACCTGCCGCTGAGTGGGCTCCACGAAGACGTGCCTTGGCTCGGGATGTGTTTGGGGATGTCCGAACAGTGATTGGTCATGCAAATACAATTGGTCATGCAAATGCATGGGATGAGTGCCAGCAACTATTCTCACAATGATGCTTTTCCTGAAATTCCTCCTCGTTTTCTCTCTCCCTCACGTTGGAAAACCGTTGGTCTTGGCAAATGGGGCAACACTCAGGAGCACATCACACTCAAAGAAGGTAGAGCTTTGGTTTTAGCACTTAGGAGACTTAGCAGAACTAGTCGACATCGAGGGAAGCGTCATTTGGTTTTTCTGGACAACATTGCTTTGGCATTTGCAGTTAGAAAGGGTCGTGCTCATACTTATGATATGCTGAGAGTAATGCAGCAAGTGGGCTCGATATCATTGGCTGCGAATTTGGGCCTTTCTGTCAGATGGGTTCCATCTGAATACAATCCAGCCGATGGCCCCAGCAGAGGGCAGATCCGTCCGGGTGCTTTCTCGAAGGACGGTGGCCCCAGTAGCAATGAAGTCAAGCAGACAGCTTCAGAAGTCTCACAAGCCAGTGCACAAATCCGAATGCCGAACTTTGAGAGCAGATCTGAAGGTTCAGGTCGAGCAGAAGAAGAAAAGTCAGAAGAGTGCAAAGAGAGTGATCGCAGACAAGATGGCACCGCTGCCGGTGAGCAAGAGGCAGAAGCGTACCATACAGGCGGCGATAGTGCCGAAGGATCCAGAGGACAAGATGATTGGGAAGTTGGCGCAATCTCGAAAGGTGACCTTGCTGGGGAGCAAGAGTATTTCCAAAGAGAGCAGAGTCCAATACGGCCTATACCTTCAGAGGTTCAAGGTTTTCTGTCAGGAGAGCGGGGTCCGGTGGCCTATGCCCGACATGGACGCAGACCCACTGATGGCCGATTTCATGGACGTGATGTTCCAGGATGGAAGGTCAGCTCACGAGGGCGAAAAGACTCTTGCCGCTTTGGAATTCGAGTTCGTCCAGCTCAAAGGCCGCATGGTGCGCAGCCGTCGTGCCCTTCGAGGATGGAGACGGGTAATGCCGGCAACCAGCCGCCTTCCTCTTCCCAGGATCATGATGCATGGCCTTGCTATGCAACTTCTGGCACAAGGGAAGCGAGACATGGCTCTGATGACTTTGGTAATGTTCAACTTGTACCTGAGGCCTGGAGAAGCAGCAGACCTTTGCAAACGCCATGTGGTAGCGCCAGTGAAGATGGCAGGAAATCAATATGCATGGGTGACTGTGATCATCAGGGACCAGGAACACAAGAAGCCGGACAAGATAGGTGTTTACGACAACAGCTTGCCTTTCGACAAGAGTCAGGATCTTTGGTTGGGCAACCAGCTGCTACAGCATGCCCAGTCAGTGAAGAGCAAAGATGGGAAGCTGTTCAACTTCAAGATGGAGGAGTATCGTCGAGCTTTTGTGAAAGCAGGAGTGGACTTGGGTGTGCCCGGGCTACATCCTTACCAAATGAGACATGGCGGGGCGACCGAGGACCTCACCTCAGGACGTCGCGATTTCAACATGGTGAAGATTCGTGGCCGATGGCGCACAGACCAAAGCGTCCGTCGGTACAACAAAGTGGGACGAGTTCAACAGCTGTTGAATCAACTGAGTGTGTCAAGCCAAAGGTTCTGCCTCTGGAGCGAGAAAAACATGGAGAAAGTTATGTTGGGCATGACGCCTGCTCGATCCATAGTTGGCTGAACAAAGTTGATATCCTTAGTTTGCAAAATCGACCCCATCGTTTTGGGATTGAACTTTTTGCAGGCAGTGGTCGATTGGCCGCTGCAGTTACAGCTGCTGGCATTCCTACTTTTCCAGTTGACACCTGCTTGTTTCCTTCTCACAATGTTTTGGATTTGCACGTCGAGCGAAAGATCATTTCATGGATTCAGCATGGGCGCATTTTATTCCTTTGGGCTGGGATGCCATGCACAACTTTTTCTAGAGCGCGAAAATTGGACAATTTGGGACCCGGACCCTTGCGTACTGATGAGTTTCTTTGGGGATTACCTGACCTTAGTAACGCTGATCGCAAGAAGGTACATGAAGGGAACCTTTTATTGGCTGTTCTTCTACGTGTTCTTAAAGTGTGTGAGCAGTATTCTGTCCCGTATATGGTGGAGAACCCGGCTAGCAGTATGTTGTGGAACATGTCTACGGTGAACCGTTTCTGCTGCAAGTATTCTCCTTTTTACCTCACCCTGGATTATTGTGCCTATGCCGAATCATGGAAAAAGCCGACCAGTATCCTTTACAATTTTATTCACCTTCATCCAGTTGCTAAGCGATGTCATGGGAAATACAACCACTGTGAATTCACACACAAGCCCCACGTCGCATTGCAAGGTCATGACCAGAACGGCGTCTTCCTTACTTTGGTGGCGCAACCTTACCCGTGGATGATGGTTCGCGACATTGCTGCACTGATCAGTTCACTTCGTGGCTAAGGGGTCAGTTTCTTTTTGGTGGTACCTTCCGTCAGTGACTGATCACTGGGGATGGTCCAACCAATGTCACCTTTTGAAGTGACATCTACTTTGAAGTACCTTGCTGCTTGGCCTTCAAGCATCTGGCCGCTTAGTGGTGCAAACAAAGTGCTGCGAAGGGTGAGTCATATGTCCTACTGGGTAGGTGGTTGACGTCCGAGTTTTCACTTTGTAAAGTTGTGGCCGTCTTTCACCTCAAGTTCTTTTGCTAGTCCACCAGCCAACCCCACCACCGCACAGGGGGGGGTCAGTTTCTTTTTGGTGGTACCTTCCGTCAGTGACTGATCACTGGGGATGGTCCAACCAATGTCACCTTTTGAAGTGACATCTACTTTGAAGTACCTTGCTGCTTGGCCTTCAAGCATCTGGCCGCTTAGTGGTGCAAACAAAGTGCTGCGAAGGGTGAGTCATATATATATATATATACATAGAGCAACCCAAAAAATATAGAAATTCGTGTTTCCAGTGATGAAACAGATGATATTTCCTTTATATTTCCAGGAGGTGGCGCAGCTCTTCCGCGCTGCCCTGTCACCGAAGCACGGCTTCCACCACAGCTTTGTGCGGGCGGTCTCCGCCGTGCCGGACGAGAAGATGTGCCGCGGAAAGAGATGGCTTAAAACATGGTTTAATGTCGGATATATCTATAATATTCTATAATGTATTTAATTGTATATATTTTATCTATGATACATATATAATACTGTATATCCATCTATTTATTTATATATCTACAATTAATATTATATATATATATATATCCTAGATTAGATAACTTATGATAGATTAGTGATGTATTGTCGGGATATCATGTATATTGATCAAATTATGTTTCAAAAAAATGTGATGTTTGATGTTGGCGTAACTTAAAAACCAGCTCGTTTGTGCTTTTGACAATGTTTTACCATGATGGAACGAACATTCATAATGATACACCATGTTGAAGTTGTGGTTTCTGGAATCGGGTATGATGGTCACCTCCTTCCTTGCTCTGAATTGGGGATGGTTTATTATTATGGACCTCATTTTCCAGATTCTTCGGATGCTCACAACTATTAGGTGACAAATTATTTTGGGTCTTGAAACCCATCAGTAGCCATCATAGGGGCCACGCAAAAGATGGTGAAAACATGTTTCCAGGATGTGAAAACACGATGTTTCCTGGATAATTTCCAGGCTCCCAACATCTCAACAACAATTTTTGGGGGGTTGGAGGCACAGCCCAAGACATATCATATTAAATTCAGATATATTCAGATGATTTATTAATCATTGATCAAACCTCCTATGATCATATATGTATCCCATTAGATCACACTAGATCCCATTAACCTGCAACAAATCAGCAAATATCAGATTAAGGTTTCCATTGACATCAGCATTATATCATTAATCTTCCATGGATATCCCCATATTTCGTAGGTTTTCTTCTCCCAGGAAGTCCTGCTTCGCCCGAATCCTGCTTCCTACAGCCCCGGGCCACGCAGCTAGCAGCACCTTTCGTCCCAACGACGCGCCCGCCCCAAGCGTGCTGCCGGGCGACAGTCCACTGACCACGCCAACAGCCACCCTAAAGGGCTACGGCGTCTTGGGTGGTCGGCAAAAATGTTGGGAACCCTCTGAAATCGAGTGGTCTATCATCATGTTCTCCATTAAGATTGTTAAAAATGGGGCAGAACCCCTTTTTTTTGTCACAGACGTGCAATTACTGAAGCATTTTCAGATTCTTAGACATTTTAGGATGTGCTGTGTGGGCTAAACAAATTATCTAAGTTGGACCCGTTCATGACATGTTTCCAATCCTTTTCGTGATTTCACCACATACCCTACTTGGGATTGCAGCTACAAACGGCTAGGCTGTAATCGTGGTAAACTAAGCCCCGATAAGTTGGGACATAAAACCCCCTTCTAGTGCTTAGTTGAATTCATGATTCATCATAATCATAGTTAATGGATGTTAATGGAGTTTATAAACCAACACAGATCACTTTTCAGGGCCTCACCTTGTAGCCCAAGATTCGTCGCAAGGTCTTGAAAACCCGACCAGTCCTGAGCTCATCAGCTGTGCAGTGGACCCTGAGAGCCCTCCTGACAGTCCCAAGAGCACCCAGCTGGTGTCTGTGGATGCTGGGACCGAAGCCACGATTGGGATGGATTTTATGGGATGAACTTGTGGTTTGAATGTGTTTGAATGGGATATGTTTTGTTTTTTCTTGGAAGCCCATGGGTTAATCCACCATAACCGAGGAATTTCAGAATCGAGTGGGAATATATGTGGCAATACATTTTCAGCACCAAGGATTTGGATGATGACCAGCCTGCGCAGAGGGCGCTGGAACTGAAGCTGATCTCTTTCGGATATTCCAGGTCTTTAGGGAACATGGCTGGGATCCCCGAAGTCAAGCAGGGTGGTATAGTTCTCCAGTGTCACGTTTGATGACGGTAAGTGCCAGCAAGCAGCGTCACCGGCGATGGGACGTGGGGGGTTTTTCACGCGAGGTTTTTCGGGGATGCTATGAGTCAATCACCAGGGATATTCCCACCCAAAATGTCACATTGGTAGTGTTTCTCTGGGAAGCCAAACCATCAGATGCTGCGAATTTTGATGCTTCCAGGGGGCCCCAAGTAGAATCCTCCAGATGTTTCTGCCAGGGGTGGTGGAATTCCGGCAGCCAACCATGTCTTTGATGCCAGACACATCAAGAATCCCCAGAAGGGGCCACAGAAGCATCTCACAGGCACAGCGGCAGATCATACCCCGATGTATGGGACCGAAATTTGCTGACCAGATGTTACCCTCTGGTAATGACTAACATAGCTATGGAAAGGCACCTTTTTTAATGGGACAACTCACTATTTCAATGACCATTTTCAATAGCTATGTAACAGTTTACCAGAGGGTACCACTGCTGGAGAGACATTAGCAGTGGACATTCTCAGGACATCATCCCATGTCTGGATTGCCGTTTTGCAAAGCGAAGAAAACCCAGGAAGTTAGGGCACAGTGCCCCAAATAGCCATCACATAACTATTGAAAATGATCATTTATAGTGGATTTTCCCATTAAAAATGGTGATTTTTCCATAGTTATGAAACAATGATAGTTACTGCATATACGATTCAATGATGAGTTCCTGGTTTTTGTTAAACGCATAGCATTAGAATGCGGGTTGTTTGCGTGTAGCAGGAGCAGTAAGTAATGAATTACATGTGACTGCTTACACGCTAAGACACCCCAACATTTGGAGGTCTCGACGCCCGGCTGCGGAAAGAGATTATGGCCCACGATGGGGCGGAGGAACTCTACGAGAAGGCCACATCGTTTTTTGGGGCACCGCAAGGGAACACCTGGCTGCAACAGAGGAAATAATAGGAGGCAACAAAGGGGTTTCAATCTCTACAAAGGTAAAAAAGTGTGGGTTTCAAGCTGTTCAAATGTTTCAAGAGCAAATGTTTCAAGGGCTTGAAGGGTAAACATGTTTTTAAAACGAAGAGCCAGTGCATCCAGGGACTTGATCACTGGGGAGTAGCCAGGACTCATCACTGGGTTTTGGTGATTTTCTTGTGATTTCAATGGCCATTTCAGGCAAGCTGAAGGCACCGGGCAGTATGAAGCCCTATATTTTTTTTGGGAGTTATATCCAGTTATATCCCCTACCCTTGCATAGACCTATAGACCTGATATATGGCCACTTGTAGTTGGGACAAAAACCGCACATTTAGCGCTTGGACTTGCGGACCGTGATGTGGTGATTTTCCGAACAGGAGATCCACTACCTGGAGAATCTATAGGGGAATATTCATATTATATTTATATAATTGTATTGGTGGGTTCCTTAAGCAAATCCAAGTGATTGATCCTCAAAAACCATAGGTTTCCTGTAGAGTCTGTGGAGTTTCCCCAGCAAATCCAGGAATCTCATCACTTGGACCTTGGACCATGCCCTCGCCCCTGAGATGCTGCAAGTGGTGCTGAACGACCTTGCAGAGGAACGAGCACCGGTGGTGGCAGTCGGCTGCACTCATGGGAAGCACAGGCGCCCAATTGTGGGGGTTGGGGGTGACTACACCAGAGATGACCCATACATTTGGCTTCCGCGCAAGGTTTCTGAGGAGATTGAGGGGTAAGATGAAGACAAAGGAACTCACTGCTTCATCGATTGTGGTGAAAAAACAATTTTCATATCAATTAATAATATTATATAAAATGGATCATTAGAATCATTCGAAACCCTCAAAAATGAACTCGCTGCTTGATGTTTTTTTCCATGTTTTCTTAACGCTCACCGTAACAGTTCACCGCGTCACCGCGTCATACGAGGAGCGTGACCTTCTGCGAGGAGCTGGCCATGCGGCTGCGAGGCACGGTCTCGCCCCAAGGTGCGTCGGTCGAGGGGATGATCCACCTGGTGTAACACCCCCCGTGACACCTAGCCTGGACCAAAATATCCTTCATGATATGCAAGATCTGTAAATTATTGGTATATGATTGGTTGATTTTTGGTCCACTTGTCAAAATATGTCAAAATCATGTTCTGTCAAAATCATTTGGTCCACTTTGGGACCTAAAATGGAGGTACCGTGTTCCATAAGGCCATCTTTGGGCTACCCGTAATCGACATTTCCATCCCTCATTCCCTTTGGGACGATCAAACCATGCGGCGAGGCCGCCGTGTCTCAGTGGAAGTCTGGCACCGCGAACGGGGCAGTTGGTCCAAGAAGGGCCGATGGCGCCGGGGGGCTGAAGGTCGGGACTTGGGAAAGGGCCTATCGGAGAGCACCTGGGGTGTCATGAAACATGGCTGACTGGGAAATCCCTGAACTAGCCTCTGGTAAACGTTCACATAACCATGGAAAGATTCACCATTTTTAATGGGAAAACTCACTGACTGTAAATGGCCATGTTCAATAGCTATGTTAAATTACCAGAGGGTAAATGGAGGTGGGATAATTTCATCTATAAATGGGGGATTGCCCAGCAAACCACATGTGATTACCAGAGGGTATCTCCTTCATGGATGATTCTTTCTTGTGGATTTACTGTCATATCCAGAAATGATGGTTGAGGGTGAAAATCTGCCCATAGATGTTAGGGAGCTGTGGGGGGGCCGTGGTTGGTATCTCTGTATCTCTACATATGTCTACTATATATCGGGAACGTTGGGGAGCTCAGTCACCCCTAAAGATTCATAAGTGTTGGCTTGGTCATGGGGCAGAGTTTGATGATTGTTGGTATATTGGATGCAACATTTTTCTAGATGAGTTCATTTTGTAGGAACCCAAGCCCGACCCTTTGCCCATATTCCCCATGCATTCCGAGTGATTGTTGAAGTCGAGTGAGAACCTACCATGGGTATATTTACTGTAGACGTTTGTTTGTCCTTTTGAAACTCGGGATTGTTTATGGAGGATCCTGCATTTTTAAAATATAGTTGTTAATCATTGTTACATGTTTTTTTTGACCATCTCTTCATTTGTTCCGATTCTGCCAATTTTATTGGAACACACCTCTGACAGCTGAAAAGCAAGCTTCAATGCCGAAGGTGATCCACCTGGGGAATGGCATCTCTTCGTTTGCAAGATGTACATCCCAACCCTATTCTCCCAGAATCAAGAATCTGAAGAATAGTTACAACAGAGTTGGTTGGTAGATTCCATCGATCCAGCTCCGAATTCATCAACTCTGTTGATAAATTACGAGAAACCACCACACAACACCTATACAAAAGTCATTTCACGTCCTAACAAACAACCAAAAACAACAACAACGCCCCACTTGGCTCTTTTACCCTTGGCTAAACTCTCGGAGATGGCAATGGAGAGAGAGAGAGAGAGAGAGTTAGCTGTGAACTTGGGGGGTGTACTCCAAAATTTGTTCTAAAATGTTCTAAAAACCATTTGGTAAATATTGATGCATGATAAATTACTATGAAAATTGGTAATTACCAGCTCCGCTAAAATTTTCTGGTGGTTTAATCCTACAAGTGCCAGGTCGCGGTGATTTCGAGGTGCCGGGGGTAGGTCAACATGGATCTGTGCATCTGCGATTTCAGCATCCCATACTCTCAGAAGCGGGACTTATTAGATATTAGATATATAATATATACTGATTATATAATATACTAATATAAGATTACAGATTTTGGATGAGTTTCGTCATGTAAAAATGTTCGGAAAGCACCATGACTCATGACTAGTGACTAAACGAATCTCACGGAGCTTTTGGGATTCAGAATCTTGGGCCATTTCCAGGATTCTGCACAGATTCTGATTCATCCCAGGATGTGAAATTTTTTGGCTTGCCTAAAATGGGAGATCCCCCTAAGTCACCATGGGTTTCCAGTTTGATCCAATGACTTGGGTGATGACTGGGGGGTCCTTCGCACTGCCGAGGCTGAAGATGATGACGAATAAATTCCAAGAAGTTTTCCAGTCAGTTAGAGACTGGAACATTCAGTGTGTTGGATGATGGGATTCCAACCAACTTCCCTTTTAAAAGGGCTGAGTTTCTACGAGTTCCGTCGAAGCTCAGGGGGTTGGAAGCCTTTCAGCCTTCAGCTGGCGTTTAGCCCGGCGAGTGGTGGTGGTTTCAATTAATTCTGATGTTCCCTTTCCGAAGGGACAATCATGGAGAATTATGTATTGAATGAGACTTGAATATCCATGCCGCAATCACTCTAATGTTATCTAATATCATTGAATATCATTGAATATCATTTAATATCATCTAATATCTATATGAGATGTAATATCTATATCTATATCTATATCTATATCTATATCTATATCTATGTTATGTAATGGCTATCGACGGTGCCATCTGCATATCTTTGGGCTGAAATTGAAACCACCAAGCCCACTGAAAAAACCGTCGTAATTTTTTTTTCTCTCCCTCCAGGCCGTGAACACGGCCGCTGTGTACAGAACTTGCTCGCCCGAAAAAGAAACAATGTTTTTTTAATCCCGTGGCGCTCGTTTTTTCTGGTGATGTTGGTTTTGAACATGATGACTGGTTGGTGCTTTGGAAGATTTTTCATTTCATTTTTCCATAATGTATGGGATAATCCATGGATAATCCACGAAAAAATCCTTCCCATTGACGAAGTCCATCATGTTTTAAGATGGTGAAATTGCACCACCAACGCAGTTTCCGGGATGATCATCCCAACATATCCCAACTGATCATCCCTGGCCATATCCCCAGGTGGCTGCTTTGGCCATGAAGCGCTTGATTCTGGCAGGGGTCAGGGCCCCAAGGGCGATGGCAGATTTGGAAGGACAGGTTCCAAAGCAAGGATTTTTGTGAAGGATTTCCTGATATGTAAGGGTAAAGTATAGTATAGAATCATTTATAAAACTATATTTCTTATATTTCCCCTTAATGCTTCGATGATCTTCGATGATACATGTTTCCATTTTCCATTTCTTTTTGGATCACTGTAAAGCAACTCCGATTTGGATTCAGGAGATATGCCAATCCGACGGGATTTTTGGTTTCCGGCCGGAGAACCGCACAATTGTATCTTTATACGTTTGGAGATGCCATTTGTGAAAGGATGAAGGGGTTGACCTTACCTCCATAGCATCGCTCCAAGGTGTTTTATGACTTACCATCTGGTTATTTAACATAGCGATGGAAAATGGCCCATTTATAGATGGTTTACCGGTTTACAAATTGTGATTTTCCATGGCTATGTTAGTCATAACCAGATGGTAAAAAAGGACACTTCGATGGTTTAGCATACAACCCCCCTTTTTTTCTTCCAGCTTTTGCACTACATCAGCCAGGTCCACAGCCATATGACCATGTGGCCAGGTTGATCCCGCCTCGCCTGCCGGGGCGTGGAACACCAAGCGCAAGGTGTGAGTCCGTTGTACACACCCTCCGGTTATTTCAGACTTCTCTATGAAACATGGCCCATGTATAGATGATTTGCCTATAACAAATGGCGATTTTCCAATATTTTCCCATAGTTATCTCAAATTAATTGTCCTTCAAAGATGCAGAGAAATGTCGATGAATTTTGACCATTTGGGACCAGGTCTTGAAGATGTCTAGTGTTCTGGTGAGCCATTTGGCTCATGATCAATAGATGATCAATAGATGAATGGAGCAAGGAGGAAATGCCAAGATTTGTAGTGCAAACCCAAGGCCCGGGGCATTCCCAGGCCGCAAGTAGGAAATGAGTAGGCGGCTATGAGGCCCTGTAGAGTTGTGCGCAATGAGAAGCCTGTCTGAAGGATCGCTGAACTGCACCAATTCGGTCAGCAGAATAGTTGGCCGCAGTAAAACCACAAGGAACTCTTGTAACTCACAAGCCTTTCGAAGAATGCCAGATGTCGCTGTCGGACGCGTTCCACAAGGATCATAGGTTCCAGGGTGAAAATCAGCGATTCAGCCAGGATTCTTAGGACCATTCCCCTGACGTTGAACGTAGTTTCCGTGATGCCATGGGGCAATCCTCCACTACCGCCGGGGCAGTGGTCGCACGGCTTGGGCTTTCCGGGAAGGACAGCCACCATACACCACAGTCACATGGGTCTCTCAAAATGGGTGAGCCACAACAGATGGATCAATCAATGGTCCATGCAGTATAATTCCTCACTGCAACATCCGAAATTGAAGGCGAGAAACCTAAGATCCTTAGGATTGCATGCGAAATTCGTTGGCCCTTAAGCTGCCCAAACCAGATCTCCCAGAGGTGTTGCGACTATTGTTTTCGCAATAGATTTTTGTGTTCGTAGTGGCCTGGAAACTTTGCCTGAAAAGAGCTTTGACATCACGCAAGGTCTTCCTTAAGTCTTAAGTCTGGCAGTAAGTGCCCAGTTAATTGCCTACTTTGCCACGTTTCAGGACGGTTTTCGTGTATGTCCGTCTTGAAAAATCCTAGGTCTGGGGCTCCTCCGAGCATGGACAGTTGGGCATTGGCAGCCTACCTACCGAGGACTGGGGGATCAAAGGGATGAATTTCGACTTGTAAAATTGGGTGATTCCTCCAAAAACTCCAAGACCAACCCGGTCCTGGTGAATTGTAGAAGTTGAAGTCCTTGGGATATGTCCCAGTGCCGGAGAAGCGATTTGTCCCATGTTGGGGGCTCAAGTCCAACAGCTATGGTCCACCAGAGGATAAGGCTGTGGCCCCTCGTTTGGTTGAAGGGCTGCGGAGCGTTCCAGTCAAACAGGCGCGTGCCTGTGCACGGAGCCGGGTGGCAGGGTTCACAAAGATTGCCGCCAGCTACGGGGTTGGCTTGCACATCCCATGTTCAGCCGTGTTCAATTTCAGTAAATGGAGAAGACACAAAACCTGTTACCCTCTGGTAAACTGTTACATAGCTATTGAACATGGCCATAGAAATAGTTGAGTTTTCCCATTAAAAATGGTGGATCTTTCCATCGTTTTTTGTATGTTTACCAGAGGGTAATACTTTTTTCTTGAGTGGATGGAACAGCCATTCCGCGGATCCGCTGGGGTTGGATGTTGCCCCAGGTGGCTTCAGGAGGCTACTTCTCTGCCGCGGTATCGGAGAGTGGAGAGCTCTACTGCTGGGGCCATGGCAAAGATGGACAGCTCGGCCATGGCGATCTGAAGGCCTGGATGCTGCACATGGGTTGATGGGAATGCACATCAGCTAAGCAAGGATACCCTCTGGTAATTTAACATAGCTATTGAAAATCACCATTTTTAATGGGAAAATCCACTATAAATGGGCCATTTTCAATAGCTATGTTAACTAAGCAAGGATAAGTAAGAGCTGTAAGTTACAGTAAGGCATCTCTGGGATTCCCGTATTACTTCCGCTCATGCCTTGCAGGATGTGCACATGCCCCGTGCGGTGCGATCCTTGCAGTCGAAGGCACGCAGTCGTGGTGCCAAGTGGTGCGAAGAAACTTGCACCAAGAAAACATGCAACACTATGCAGCAGTGACCGTTAGAATCCGTTAGAACCTCAAGAGGCTTTTTCTGCCTTGGAAATGGCGATGTTTTTCGATTTTGAAAATAATCCGCAACGCCTGGAGATTCACCTCTGGTAGCCCCTTCTTTTCAGGTGGTCCGCACCGTGTCCTGTGGTGAGCAGCACGTGGGCGCGGTGTCGGAGGTGGGTGTCCTCTACACCTGGGGCCGAGGCACCAGGGAACGGTGGTGGCTGGTTGATGTCTGATTGTGTTTCGCTGGTTTCCACGCCTATTGGAAGGACAGTGTCAATCAATTGCTTTTTCCTCCGGGAGGGTGTTATGACTTGTTATTATGTAGTTTTGTCCGCACTCAGAGGCGTAGACTTAGACTAGGATGACTTAGGTGAGCATTCAATGGATCATGACCCATATCTGGGATCTTCGAAAGATAGAATTCACACCCCATTCATTGGCATGACGTTTGGAATGTTTGGATGAGTTGGGTTTGAAGATCCCACCTATTGCATCCCCAAAAAGCCGGGACTCGCTCAGAACACCTCGGAAGAAGATTCAGGGTAAAGGCCATGGCTATGGCACCTTGTATCATTCTACCTATGGTGACCTGCCAGGGCAGAATGGCCGTCTTGGCCACGGTGGACAAGAGAACGAGCTGCTGCCTAAGCCGGTAGAGGCTGGGTGGTCTATGGTGCTCCCTCAGCTTTCCTAATCCCACCTCCCCTAACAGATCCTGACAGTAAATTTGGGCTGATGGGCCATCCAAAATGAATAGATCCAATATGATCCAATGCCAAACCGGGGTTTCGTTTGAGGGGTATTTATAGAGGCCCCCGTTGCAATAGGTCCTGTCCGGCTATCCCGTGGGCTTAGTGGCTTGTGGCGAGTTTCATACTGTCGCTTGGTGGCACCTGGCACACCTGCTGTGGGAACTGGGAGAAACAACGCGGAAGTGAGAACCTCGACAAAGCACTTCAGCTTGTTCCAAAAGGGTGGTGTTCTATGCGCCAAACATGGCAGGAGGTTCAAGTTGCTCTCCTTTTCGGTTGATCCTGTGACCCTTGTTTTTCTTGCTGGATTCTGGGGGGTGGTGGTTTCCATGGCCATGGTGCTAGAAAATGTTCAAAGATTCACAACACCTTTATCATTTTCCTGGGCCTTGGAGTTGGCTCAATGTTCACAACCAGGAGGTGTGATGGGGGTATCTTGATTCATGTCTGGCTTTACCCTTAAAATCTTTGATGCATATACAAAAAATGAAGAGGCGCGACTAACATTTGGACCATCTTTGGACCATCTGTATATATATAATATATAATATATATATATAATATATATAATATATATATAATATAATATATATATATAATATATATATATATTATATATATAATATACTACCGGTAGTATAGACGACTTGTAGCTTCCAGATGCTTTGATACGTTCCTTTTCGTCGATTCAGTGGGCAAGTCGGGCTGGACCTATCTGCGATCATCTTCCTGGACCTATCGGTTTCCTGGAAAAATGAGGCTTCAAAAACGAATAAAACCGATGGTTCCCTGTACATGTTCACAATCAATCCATTAGTATCCATTAGTAAGATTAGCCTCTGGGAAACATACAAAAAGCTATTGAACATTGCCATTTAAAGTGGATTTTCCCATTAAAAATGGTGATTTTCCAAAAGATCAGTTGGATCTCCAATCAAACTTCATCAAACAGTGATATTTCGTTAGATGATGTCAGATGAAAGCAGTTTGCTATAAGGGCTATAAGGCTATGTCCCATCTAGTTGGGTAACTTAGAACGACCGCACGTCGCGACCGAACCCTGGAATGATGGTTAGGGATTGGGCGAACTATCCCAAAATAGCCATGATTCTTTCAGGTCAGTGAATTGCTGCAATTTACCCAGAGAAATGGTGGGTAATGATGGGTAACTAGTAACTATCCCCCAATAGCCTTAATTTGTGTCAGGTCAGTGAATTGGGATTGGGCATGATTGGACTAACTATCCCAAAGTAGCCTTATTATGCTTTGTTTCAGGTCATTAGTTTGCTAATTTCATATACCCTCTGGTTATTTAACATAGCCATGGAAAATCACCATTTTTTATAGGTAAACCATCTATAAATGGGCCATCTATTCCATGGCTATGTTAGTCATAACAAGAGGGTAATTTTCCCATTTCTAGATGGATCCTACCCGCAGCCAACAGCCCTAAGGCCTGCATCCTGCAAAACGCTCCCCACGTCTACACCTGGGGGTTGGGCCTTTCAGGACGCTTGGGACATGGCGATGAAAACGACAGGCGCGGCTCGGTGTTTCGGAGCAGAAAACCGGGTAGGGGATGGTAACCCCGGGTAGACTTTAAGTCAACGCCCAATGAGGTAAGCATTCCCAACAGCAGATCCCAATAGAAATGGGTGTATGAAATTGGTTTACCATGGTTACCATCCCTCCATCTCCAGCTCTCAAAGGTGACCCTGGCAGGAAAACCATCGAACTATTGCCGGTGGATTTTCCAGCAAGCCATGGAGCTGATTAATAGAGGGTACATTGGATGGGAGTGGTCGGATAGCATGCTGATTGAGTTGTTCGTGAGCTCCTCTGCCAATACTGCCACAAGAGATCTCAGCAGAATCAATGTGATCATTGCTACGGCGTATCTGGGTTTGTCTGAAAAAATGGCACCCCCTAATTCCATTGGTAAATCACCATGTTCTGTATTTTTATTTCTTGGGAGTACCGATATCACCGCCCCACATGACCAATTTTCCGACAAACCCAAAGTTTCACATTATCCAAATCAATATATCATGGTTTCCCAGCAAACATCATGAAATATCCCCATGATACCTCCATTGTATACCAATTCTATCTCCATTGTATCCCCCCTTATGTTTTCAGTATACCCCCCATTCAACGATATCCCTAACGTCCCCGGGTTAGACGAAGGCTAACGCCCACCTTCGTTGAAGCCTTGACTGGGATGCAGGTGCCCAGAACAACGGGTTTTTAAAGGATGGGAATGGCTTAAAACCTAAGTGATCACCCATATTTTAGTGAATAAATATCCACTCACCAGCTATTTTAGGGTCAGGGTTTTGACTCATAGCCATGTGATGATATTTCAATACAAAGGAAAGCTTCTGTAGCCACATGTATTCTTGGGACATACTGTATCTGGATATTGGTGAACTGTGAACTATTCTGCTAGTCTATTCAGATGGCTAGATGGATACGGTACTATTATTGAGATATTTTAGTCTATTCAAGTCCTATTCATGTCTATTCTAGATAGCATATTATTCAGATACAAGATACTACCCTCGGGTAATTTAACATAGCTATTGAAAATGGCCATTTATAGTGGATTTACCCATTGAAAATGGTGACTTTCCATAGTTTTTTGTATGTTTACCAGAGGGTACTATTCAGACACTCGCCCATTTGATACGATGATGCAATACCATTTGGCAAAATCCAGCATGGCAATCGGGGACAGTTTCCATTTTTTTGGAGCGTTCCCCCATGAATTTCACCCCTGCCATGGTATTCAATTGCCATGTTTCATGATATACCAGAGGGTAGCATCCTCTATTATATTAAATATATATGGTATAAATATGGTATAGCGTGTATCACCATTAAAGACATCACCATTTATAACCATACAGAGGGTTGATATCAACCATTCCAAATCTACCGTTATCCCGAGTTTATTCGCATTATCCCCCAAAATGGTTGGATGAACGGGGGTCATAAACCTCCAAAGAGAAATTCCTGCCATGTCAAAACACCCATAAACCATCGTGAACTAATGTGAAGCATCAAAAACTTTAATAAACCACCATTTTCCTATCATATCCTACACTGAACCAACCATTTTTGGTGGTTCAACGGTGGTTCTCCACCCGTTTTCCCCAGCGCCCCCTAGGTGAGCACTATGGCCTGTGGCGGGCACCACACGGCTGCAGTGGGAGATCACCTGCAGGTCATGACATGGGGTGGAGGTGCAAGGGATGGCTGGTCGCGAGGCTTTGCAACGTGTTTTTTCCCCCATCCTCCAAGTTAAACTATATAGAATCGAATATGAATAAATTAAACTAAATGTGTATATATATATATATGTGATTATATATGTATATTGTATATGCATATGCATATGTATGTATACAATTATATTTAGATATAGATCGATGGATGGATGGATAGACAGGTATATAGATAGATGATAACTTGACTGACCTTTAATTGGCAATGTATTTGATTTTTGGGGAATAACATGGGGGATTCTGCTAAGTAGGGGGAGGAGGTGGAAGTTGGCTTCTTCAAGTCAAGCTGTGATTGATGTTGAAGTTTGTGTTGCTTTGAAATGGAGTTGGAGGGGGAAGGTGGCTGGTGATTGGTTTCTTTCAATATCTTCCAACATGCTGTTCTTTGCCAATTTTGTCTGGCACCAATGGAAATCATGGATTTATAGATGATCCTTACATGTTTTCCCATAGAAAGTTGTGATTTCACACTGCCGTGTTAGATTCCCCGAGGCTTTTCTGGGACTTCCGCACCTCACTACCGCGCACCTCTAGGTGCCTTTGGCAAGCTTGGCCATGGCAACCGGCTGGCGCAAAGCACGCCCAAAGTCGTGGTGGCCCTGCAGGGTGCCATGGCATGCCATGGCGCAGGGATGGACATCATGAAAACTTGGAAGGTTCAATCAGTTTTACACCATGGGAAAATGGGAAAACCATAGGAAAACCATAGGAAAACCATAGGAAAATGGAGTTTTACCCTCTGGTCATTTAACATAGCGAACTGGAAAGATCCACCATTTTCAATGGGAAAATATCCACTATTTCTATGGCCATTTTCAATAGCTATGTTAGTCATTACCAGAGGGTAACATCTTTGAACCCCCAAAGGTCTTCTGGGTCCCTTTGGTCCATTTTTTGGTCCATTTTTTGGTTCATTTTTTGGTCCGTATTTGTGAACCATCTTCAAATGATGATTGATGCCACTACCACCGCATGTGCCTTGGATCCTGCATGTAAAAGGCATCCAAACGAACATCCATGTTCCAGCCATGTTGGTCTACAAATTTGGAGCGCCATGGCTGGAACTTGTACCCGCCATGTACTTCGATGACTTCCCCAGCGAACTAAACCTCCATGTAGCTCCAGGATTTTCCAGCAGCTAGCCCTGCTTGATGAAACTGGAGGCTACGGAGGGTACCAATCATTCCATGCAAAATCATGGAAATCCCCATTACATCTCCAGTCTCTTCCCATTAATCCCACGATATCCCATGTTTGTTGGTTCAACCCCTGTCCCCCAAACATAGGCGCCACTGCGAGGCAAACGCGTCATCCAGGTGTCTTTAGGGCCTCACCATTCCGCGGCCTTGACGCAGAAGGGCGAAATCTACACCTGGGGTCAGGCATGGTATGGCATGGTGGCGCCGAATGGGGACACCGAAGAAAACTGGGAATGGAACAGAAATTCTGGAAGTTGAGTCCATTTCCCTTCTTACTGGTGCTTAGTAGGGAATGGATGGGCATGGGGGTTGCTGGGATGATTATTGATAGTGATTATGGATCATTCCCTCATTCCCTACGTTTAGCACCAGTAAGCCACCGATTTTCCACTGGTGACCGTTCTCAGCGCTTCGCGGCTTCGCGTGGCCTAGGCGGGTCGCTTGGGCCACGCCTCTCAGGGGGCCGAGGTCGATGAAGCTGGGCATTTTTGATGTTCATCCACTGTGGGGATGAATTTGGCCCATATCATTTTGGGAGTATTCTATATGTATCTGTTGATATATAGATATGTTTACATTATTTTTACCAATCCGGGAATATAGGCGATACGGTGTGTATATATATATATATACACCTATCCAAAAATGGTTGGTTTACACACACACACACGCACGTATGTAGATAGATAGATAGATAGATAGATAGATAGATAGATAGATAGATATATATATATACATGCATGCATGCACACATTACATTACATTACATGACATGACATGACATGACATGACATGACATTACATACATACAAAGTTCAGTGCTTAAGATCACCAAATTATGATCAACCAATGGAACCACATGTTTGACCCATTATGGCATAATGTGGGGAAAGAAGTTCAACTGCCCATTTTGAATTTCCAGTTTTTTTGAGCCTGGGGACGTCTCCATCAGAGTAGCCACTTCTATCCAGTAATGAAGAGATGGGGTGACTTCTTCACCCGTCTCAACCAGTTCCTACAACGTGGTGCCCGCAAGATAGCTAAGTTGGTTTATAACTCTAATAACTAGGAGTTATGGTAGATATATCTATAGTTAATGGGATTATAAACCAACTTATAACTGGGGGGCACCACCTTGTAGTTGGTGATCCTCCAAGCCCTTCCACCCCCGAGGAGATGTTGCCGCGCCCGGTGCTGGCTCTGAGCCACGTATGTGTGGCCCAAGTCTCCTGTGGTCACAGCCACTGCTGCGCTGTCACCGACTCCGGCGACGTCTGGGCCTGGGGCTCCTCTAGGACCTTTGGACATACGGAGCAAAGTGCCTATCCCAACGTGCCCACCATGATCAAGGCGGACTCAGCTCATGGACAGCTGGCGAAGATCCTTTTGTTCTATTTTGGGAGAATGATATATCTGACCAATGCGCCATTGACCTGATTGAAACTGCCTTTTGGAATCCAGTGAAGTCTCAAGATCTCTCAAGCTATTCTCCATTAGTCCCCATTCACCCAGGAACAAGGAGGTCACACGCCCACATTTCAACAGGCCATTGGAACAAGATATTAAATCCCCTGGTGCAACCAGGTGCTGGCTGGTAAGGCCATCGTCCACGTGGCATGTGGGGTGACACTTGGGCAGCACCTGCGGGAAACTGATAGTTTCTTGTTGGTCAACTTGCTCCACCTCCATCTGAGAAAACGGAGGGAGAACAGGGACCCCAGCCATCAGGTAAATTGATGTAAATTGGTAGAACTGTCTCAACTTTTCAGGTTTGGTATTTTCCTGGTATGGTTGTTGCAGCCCGCGATGAGGACGCACAATGTGGCGTTGTCAGACTACCGCCGTCTCAGCAAGAAGGGCTTGAATGCTCCAGCCCCTGGAGGCTCGCACCAATCCACAACAGGTCACGATGGCTATCGAAGCCTGGCCTGTTAATCCTCCCATCATATGGGCCCGAAAGTGGTAAATGCATAATGAATATTAACATATAAAAAAAATATGCCCGGTTTGAAATCATGTTTTTCTCCATTCATGATGACCTTTTTTTTTGGTGCCGAACACGCTAAAGATGACCAGATTTGTGGTGACGTCTTGGCATCCCCTGCAGCTCTAGCGGCTAGGCAAGAAGCCCCGCATGGACGAGGAACGAAGGAGCGCCGCAGGGGACAACAAGAAGGAGGCGATTGGGTGGGGAGTGGTGGGGATGAGTTGGGGAGGCCAACATGGTGTCGGTCTTGATGACAATGTAAGGCGTGTTGTGGATGTTTGTGTGGTTTGGTGGCATTTATTTTTACACCATGAGGATGGAAGAAACTTTGAACGAACCATGTTCAGCCAGATCTGGCCCAACACGATGAACCAGGATTTTCCGTGCGTCAAGCGGCTGGTGGCTGTATACATCACAATAGGTTTCTGTACATTGCACATGACTTTGACAAGAGATCCAGCCGAAAAATTGGGCCCAGGGGGATCGTCCTAAAATGTCCCAAAGGTCCCCCAAGAACCAGTGGATTTCAACAGACAAGGCGGAACAATTCTCCAAGACCCCTCAGACACCGCAGAACCTGGACGAGGCCCAAAGCTCGGGTTAAGTCACGGGAAGGGGTCAGTTTCAATTGTTTGCACTGATCTTGTTTCATCGGCAGTTGTCTTCATGGTTTTTCAAGAGCATTCCTTTTCCAACACACCTTTCAAAAGGCATCAAAAGGCCTAAAGACCTTTGAGATCTTTAAGAATCCAAGTGAAACATACTGAAACCAGAGCTTGAATCGATTCTTTTTGCCTACTTTGGGGCACTTTCTCAGAATACCAAACCTGGGGAGATCCCATACGTCCGCCAGATCCGAGCGCCCTGGGAGGGAAGTGATGGAAGTCCAGAGTGCCTTGGCAGAGACTGGGTCGTCAGCGGTCGCACATGGTCGCATCAACAGACCGATGGGTTCGTTTGAAAATGAGGTATACCAATGTATACTATATACCATGGGTATACCTAGAAGATCGCCATTTTTCCATAGGGCAAACGATGGTAAGTACGTCCCCATAGCCATCCATAGCCCATTTTTCGGGGGAAGATGAGTCGTGCTCTGCTGGAGGAAGCCCAAAGGGCACCAAGCTGAACGGCCGGTGGCATTCCTTTCGAGTGAGCTGAAAGCGTATCAGGCCAGGCTCGGCAGCTGTCGGAAATGATATGACATGATATACCCTCTGCTAATTCAACATAGCTATTGAAAATTGCCATAGAAATAGTGGATTTTCCCATTAAAAATGGTGATTTTCCATAGTTTTTTGTATGTTTACCAGAGGGTAATGATGATAAACCCCATGAAATTCCACTATTCTACCAGACCATCCAGACCTGGGTTTTTGTGGGGCTTGCCATGTTGTCAAGTCTTTGCACGTTTGGCTTCTGTGCATGTTTTCTGGAATCTAAACTCTTTCGAGGAGCAAACCTTGCGCTTGGCCAAGCTCCTGCAAGAAACGAGGAGACCAGCGGCCTGTGGCTTCAGTGACTTTAGTGGTTGGATGCCATATGGTGTCTGACAATGGACACCCATAAATAGTCATTTTATAGGGAAAAATGATGGGAAACCATAGGGGTTTTGGGATGCCTTATTTTCAGACAAACCTATATTTGTTGCTGGATTTCAGCAACATCTGTGTGACAAATTTGAACCCAGGAAGCCATGATGGCTGGCCAAACTTGCAATTTCTCTGAGCTCCCTTGTGGTGGCTCAGGTGCACCAACCGTAGATCGCAATGTCCTCCATCCCCTGGTGTCGGTGTCGGATTTCTTCACCATCCAGGACAAAGTTGGAGACGTTGCAGAATGAGAACTCTTTCCTCAAGAGTCCCTTGGCTGGGGGAAGTTTTCCGGTGCCGCTGGAGTTTTGCTGCAGGACAGATATCCACTAGCAAGTGACTGCAAGACATGTGGTGATATGTGTTTGGAGAAGTTATATGATGTGGATTGATGTGGTCATCATCATCATCATGATGGTAATAATGGTACGAATAGTACTAATATGTATTAATATGTACTATTATGTACTATTATGTGCTAATAACAATGACAATAAACAAATAATGAATAATAATGATGATAATGCTAATCATAATGATCATCATGATTATTTTCACTTACATCGCAAGGATGAGACCAGGATTCACATCCTTGATAACTCCCACCTGATAAACATCTAGCAATGATTTACATACAGAAGGAAACTTGAAAGATCGCTTGTGCCACAACTCCAGAGAAGACACGAAACACAATTGCATACAAAACATACAAAATCTATGTTTAACTGTTCGCAAGCCTATATTTAGATCTATTTGGCATACGGGAGTCCTTGAGCTAAGTCCATCCCAGCTTTTCCCATCGGCTCCACCAGGTGAATTGGAAGTCATGCACCAGTGTTCCAACGACGCGGACGAGCGCCTGGATACCCTGCGGCGCCACTTCAACGAACGCATCCGGGCGCCTTGGTTTTTAGGGCGCAACGATCGGCACTGTTTTAAAGCTCTAAACTGAGGAAAACAATGGAACACGTGCAGGAAACCCATAGGAAACCATATGGAAACCTATATAGATTATATAATTCGCGCTCCTGTATACTTGTTGACGTGAAAGCAATTCGATACCTAGTCTGTCCCCTTTCAGTCAGCCCAATTATCCCAGCTCCCTGTGTTCATTAACCAACACTTCCCACGTATCCCTTGGAAACATGTGCTCTTTCAGAGTCTCCGTCTTTGCTGGCCAAATCAAAAATTCCAGCTGGTTCACACCATTCTTAGATTCTTGCTGCTATTTGCTGCTAGTTTACCTGGTTTGTTGATGTTTGTTGGTCCAAACCACGTTTTTTGTTGCCAAAAAGATCCAAAAAGCAGATTGCCGATTTGTCTGGCTGAGTTATAACGACCTCAAGATGATGGTTGGTGGGAGTATCCTAATACTTGTATAGCGATTTGTAGCGCCTTCTTTCAGAATCTTCAGCTCTTTTCAGGTTAGTGAATTATGAACTATACTTCAGCTGTTGAATCCATTGATGATATTCCGATGATATTTCCATTGCTGTTGGTTAAATCCCCTTATAAATCCCTATATAATCCCTATCCCATTATATCCCCATAGAACCCCCATCAATCCCCAGCTTTTTGTAAGCTATTGGGCTCCTTCAACGTCCCAGGAGATGGAGCGGCGCTACAACGACAAGGAGCGCGCCTGGCGCGACACCTTCAGCCGCCTCCGGCTACACCTTGGAGTAGGCGGGAAAAAGCGGGGGGAAGTTCAGCCGACCTCACTGTTCTCACCATTTTTTCATAGGATTCGGGGAATCATCCCAAAATGGCCGAACTATTGAGGTTAGTGACATATTATAATTTACCCCTGATGATTTAACCATGAAGAATTAGGATGTAAGAATGAAGCATCAAGATAGAACCGTGAAACAAATATTGAAATGAAACGTAATAATTGAACCATAAACACATATCCAGAAATGAAGATTTAGCCATGAAAAATGAAGATTTAACCATCACACATACTGAAAAATGACGGTTTAACCATGCAACACAAAGATTGACCATGAAAAACATTGAAAAAATAAACCTTCAGCATGAATGATGACACAACCAGCAATAATGGTGATATAATAGGGAGTTGTGATCATTTTTCCAAAAGTGGGTTGCTGAAAATTATCATAGCATGGATGGTAAAATTTAAATGATGACTCCCACGATTATTTGCTGGTTGGTGGATTGGAACATGGCTTTTATTTTCCCATATATTGGGAATAATAACCCCAACTGACTTTCATATTTTTCAGAGGGGTTGAAACCACCAACCAGTTTGAGGGATTGACCAGGATGGATGTTTCGACGCCAATGAACCAGGACAATTCATAGCGAGCTCACTTTCGACCAAGATTAAAATTGGGGAAACATTCAATTCTGTGGCTTTGCAGCAATTCTGGGATTTAGTATAGGTATATATATAACATATATATATATAATATGTTTATATATATTTATATATACAATTATATATATATATTTATCTGTATGCATACATATATATATATATATTTATTTATTTATCTCTATATATATATATATATGCGAAGATGATCCAGGTTCTTGGTGGCCAAAGATATGCAACAAACGCCTCTCCCAGGTGGAGGTCTCGAGCCTCCAGAGGAAGAGGAGCCACCCAACGAGGACCAATGGCAGCCACTGGGGGAAAAAGGTCAAAAATTACGGTTCAGACAGGGGTTGGTAACTGTCCCATTTTGGGAATATTGGACATCACCTTATAGTAGCCATTATAGACCATATACCTAATGGTTGGGTGATGTTCAATGGGGACATTTAATGACCCATGTCAGAGGTGGCTATTCGCCCATGGAATGTTAAGGGGTGGCTAGGGTTCAACCATGTTCGAGCCATACCCAGTGAACAATCCGTTTTAGAAAAGGACGAAAGGTATAAAGGTCAAACTTGCGAGAAGATTTTCTCTTGAGATGAGGCATGGATTCCTTCGAACCCCAAACTTGACCGAATGCACTTGCGTTCAGCTCTGAAGCCCATGAATGATTGAAGATGCAAACTTGACTTTGGGATTTTCTCACATGCTGCTGTAAAAGCCTTCAAGAGGTTTTGAAAAGAGATTTTCGCCATTTTGATTGGGGTCTGTAGACATGAACACATGAACAGAGGAAAAAGGATTGTTTCAGACAGACAGACAGACAGACAGACAGACAGACAGACAGACAGGCCGACAGGCCGACAGACAGACATATCAAAAGATTGGATTAGATTGGACTAAATCAAATTAGATTGGAATAGATCAGGTTCGTTTGGGTGCGATTCGATTTGGTTTGATAAATAGTAGATAGACAGAGACTGACAGATAGATGAAAATACACATGCAGATATAGAAATTGTATGACACACATACATATATATATATATATATAATTATATATATATATATTATATCTAAATAATGCTGGATACATATATAATCAAATGCACACACACACACATATATATATATACACCCTATGGATCCAAGTACCTTCTTAGGAAGTACTTGGGGTATGATTTAGGGGGTTAAGTACCTTCTCAGGCAGTATTTGGATCCATAGGGATATATATATATATATGTGTGTGTGTGTGCGTGTGTGTGCATATATACATATATATAATATTTATCCAGGGACCAGATCTCCCTGGTGATCCCAACAGGAAGAAGTGCCAAATGCTGCACATGAGCCCCCCGTGGAGGTGCCAAAAAAGCAACCCGTGGCCAAGCCTGGCCACTAAAGCCAACGGTAAATCATGGGAAAAACATAGGAAACACATAGGAAAACATGGGAAAACATAGGAAAATCATGGAAAATCATGGATAATGATGGTTAATACTGGTGAATCATGGTTGATGCTTACCCTCTGGTAAATTCACAGTTTGCGAACTGGAAAATCACAATTCTTAATCGGTAAATCAACTATTTTCATGGCAATTTCCAATAGCTACGTTAAATTACCAGAGGGTAAATGATGTTAAATGGTTATCAATGATGTTAAATCGATAAATGATGATAAATGTTGATATTTGTATATAATTTATGTTTTAACTGATGTTTAGACATGTTCATTATGATGATACATGATCATACATGTTTGTATTTTTAAAATACATGTTCAAAGATGTTTATACATGATGGTAAATGGTTTATACATGTTTATAATGATAAATGGATAAATAAGTGAATTATGATCATACATGATGATGACAAACATGGAGAAACCTTCGCAATTTTCTTGGGTGCTGATGATGCATTCGAGAAATCAATGTCGAGTGTCTTCGTTCCATGTCGATTAACTTATTAACTTTGCGAGCATCAGTCGAAGATCATTGTGGATGCTCAGGGACATCCATTGGATGTATAGTCATCAGAGAAAAGAGATACCCACTGGTTATGACTAACATAGCCATGGTATAGATGGCCCATAGAAATAGATGGTTTACCGTTCTTAAAAATGGGTGGATTTTCCATGGCAATGTTAGTCATAACCAGATGGTAGAACAGTCGACCATCAGCTGCCGGCTCCTACTCCACAAGAGGGGATGTAAGTCCAGAGGGAAACACATTCAACACAAAGGGTGGTATCATGAGTGGCTAATCTACTATACTATGACATATTATATTTCTTGGAACATTTATGAATCGATTCCTTTCTAATAACATTGAATACCACCCAATCAGACATGGGTTCAGCACTGGATCTATTGTGATCTATTCATTTGAGGCTCATATAGAAGGTATAGAACGATATACAATTCAACAGTACATTAGGGGGACGACGGGATTGTGAGTTATACAAATTGGAAACCATCACGAGCTGAGTTGGTTTAGGCCTCATTTCTGAACAACGGATCCTATCAGGCTACAAACACCTCCGCTGGCCCGGCTGGAAGCACGTTGCGGCCTCAGCCATGCGGTTGCGGCGTCGGCTGGCACCGGCAGTCTTCACAGATGGCGAGGGAGAATGATGGAGGAGAAATCATGAATTCAGACATCTTCAGACCCAAAATTTCGGGTTCCATGTTCTTTTTTGGTGGTGCGGTAGGCCTTAGAAACTGGTGGTTGGAAAAATGCAAAAGCAAGACGAGTACACTGACTACAATTGACCTGCACACATATCTTCACAGAGATTTGCATGTGTATACATTGCTATTTCAGGTATATAATTTCACTGTCTCATGATGCAAGCTCAATAATAAATAAACCATCCCAACCAATCCCCACTAGAGGTTTATTATGTTTATGGTTGGGTCTACCCCTCAAAAATGAGATGATTTTGATTATGACCCCTACATGAAATGGGATGGTTTCCGCCAAGGCGCGCACCAGAACCTGGCCCTGATGCAGGTGCGGAGGATTTACTGGAAACTCCACCATTTATAGTTGAGATTCGCATGAAAAGCCCGAATTTGGGGTGGATTTACAATGGGAATTTCCCATGACTCTGTTTGATTACCGGAGGGTGTTGCCTAAAGTTTTGAATCCATAACTTATTTGCAATCCGATTCATGGCTTCTTGAAGAGATTTGCAGCCTCAACCATCAGCCGGTTTTCGACATCTCCCACCGAAAAAACCCCACAACTCTTCCTTTCGACTCATGGGGAGCTTTAAACCACCCAGGTTGGTGACCCCAACAGCTGGGGCATGGGATCCCATCTCCAGGTGCTCGAGCTCGTGCCGGCCTTGGATCCTTGTTCACGCCTTGAGAAAAGTCCGGCGGGTTGCAGCGGCCTTGGATGGCGTTGGTCCATGGATTTTTTGGATCCACCGGGGTCCCAGCGGAAAATCAACCATTGTTGGGGGGGATGTTGGGGGGGGGCAGGTGAAGTTTCAGTGTGGTGGGATGATGAACGAGTCGCATCAAGCGTGGCGCCCGTTTTGAGTGCAACGTGTTTTAGATGGGGATTGGGAGTATGGTGGCGTGAACATTCTTTTCCACGGGCTCTTGAAAGCACAAAAATTATAGATGACTTTAGGGAAAGACCTGTGTGCTGTACCTCTTGGCACTGGGATTAGGCTGAGTCAACCTGAGACAACCTAAGAGTTGGATGATCACATCGTAAACCCAACCCAATCCAATTTCTGGCTTATCATTGGGTTTACCTTGCCAAGAATGATCCAAAGCTCTGGTTTCAAATCCTTTGCCAGGAAGATGGTTGTCAACCCATGCAACGTGGAGATGAGGTGGTGCACACCTCAGGAAAGACTCATCCAAAATACGGCTTCCAGTTTGAACATGGGGTTTTGCCCTGAATTTCAAAGTCGTCCATCGTCTTTTTGTTGTTTTTCCTCCCCCAATTTTCCACCGCGCCCTCTCCAGCAGGTGGCTGTGAATGAGATCACCACCTATAGCCACTTGGATTTGTTGTTTTGATGAATAAAATGACGATCTGGAGGTAGGAATCCATAGAAGTCCTGCCAAAAAACTACTGGGAAGTATGGCATTTCTGTGCCTTTTTGTTTATTGGTGCAGATTTTCTCAAATGGGACGTTTCGAGTCATTTGGATTTCTTGAAGTGGAGGCCACTGGAGCAGGGATGGTGGGCCACGTTGTCGCATGTTGTCGCCACGGGGTGAGAACCCATTTTTGAGGCGAGATGAGAAAGGAATTGGCACTTCCAGTGTGACTCTTAGGGCCGCCATGGACGCGGTGACTCGCAGCGCATGGTGAGGAGGTGCCATGTAGACATAGAAATGGAGCACGTCACAGCGATTTATGACGGATTTATGACTAATTTGAAGGGAAACAAATCCATTGGATTACTATTTTACTAAAGCCTATATAACAAAGCCTATCTAACTTATGATGATTTATGTGTTTTGATTCGTGAAGATTCAAGGGAAACGACACCGGACATCATGGGCTTCATCCTTTGCAGCAAGGGCTTCCAACGCCGATAGACCAATGGTCGGGGTAAACTGGATGCAAGGTGCCAGCAGAGGACATATGTATGATATTTTGGGGAGTGGTCCCTCACGGTTTTTGCCACAGGCTTGAAACATAGGCCTTATGCCTTCTTACACATCCTTAAATAAATAAATAAATATATATATATATATATATCTGGGTAAATTATAACGACCTCACCGCGACCTCACTGGAATCATGGTTAATAAGGAAAATCATCCCCAAATGGCCTTAATTCAGGTTCGTGAATTATTACAATTTACCCATATATATATATATATCCGGACCATATGATGAATGAGTGATCATGCGTGCGCCAAAAACAAAAACTTTGCCCCGCAAACGGCAATTTTTTTATCGGTTTTAGCCTACCCTGGGTTTGGAAGTGTTCCCCCTGAATTTTCAGAGAAACCCACACGGGCGGTGTGGCCGAAGGCCCATGTGGAGGGCGCAAAAAAAAGTCGCGATGAAGTCTCACTAAACCTCACCTTAAATCGCTAATATAATCCCCATATATAATCCCCATGTTCATCACTATATCAATCCAAACAGTCCGATATAACCCCCATATAAACCCCACATCATCCCATATCCCCACAGAATCCCCATCGAATTCCCATGTTCAATCCCAACATTTGGTGCCTTGAGGCCCTGCAAGTGAATCTGCGGCTGGTGGTTGATGCTGCCAGCGCAGTGGGGAGCACCCAGGGAAACCCATGGCTTTTGTCATGGGAGTTTCCATGGATTTTTCCATGAACCCATGGGATTTTCGAGAAGATGATGATGATGATGATGATGATGATGATCATGATCATGATGATCATGATGAAATTTGATGATGAACGTATTTTCGAGTGGAAACCTGGCTGCAAACATTAAATTCTGCACTTCAAGCTGGTGAGGCTACAACTTGTGGTTCACGTCAAGTTGTGGGTGGCAGGAGACCTCGCCGAATCGCGAAGCCTTGCGACGAAGGAGAGAGGCCCCCAATGCGCATGGCTGGGCACCTCTCAAGTGGTACCTCAATCAGTGGATCCCATCCATTGATGTGTTGTTCATCAATTTTATCCCCTGCAAAATGACTCTAAATGGCTATTTGGAGGTTTCCTAAGTCATGGGGGTACTTGAAAAACATCCATTTTTGATGGACATGAACATGTCCATTTCTGAACCAGCCATGGATAAGGGGATCCCCCATGACGTTTCAGCCAGGCTGGTTGCTCCAAAGCATCCAGCGCTTCTGGCCTGGGAAGCAATGAGTCTTCGCCAATGCACATCTCCTCAGGGTCGTATCTGGGGCGGAGTGACTTGAGCAGGACATGTGCTTCTGAGCCATCCAAAATGTAGGGAAATTGGCGAAAAAAAACAGGGAATGCCACAATATAAAGGTACAAAAACAGAATTTGTTGACCGACCAAGCAATTACTATACAACATCAAAAGCCATGGAGAGAGAGAATTGGGAGATTGCGGCGCCAAAATGGGATCAAGAACAGAGGGAAATGATTAAAGATAGCAAAAACACAAACTGCTTTGAACTGCCCTTTGCTAATTCCACAGTTTGCTAAGGAAAATCACCATTTATAATTATATAATGGTTAAAATCATGGAGGGCGCAGACAGAAAATTGCTGGAATTACTAGAATAATCAAACTAAATGGTCCATCTATATCCATCTATACCATATTAAGTAGCCACAGCAATGCTCTTTGGGTTCTAAGGTCGCCCAAGTCTCCAGCTCGCGAGGTCGATGTGGTCGGGGTTGGGGGGTCATTGTTTGCCTCGGTGTCATGTTCAAACCACCGACTCGTTGCAGTGGCACCATCCGCAGCCACCAACGGCCCAAAGTATGGCCAGTGGCCTGGCAAAGTGCCGCCGAAGGTGTGGAACGGATTTCATGCACCACAAGGGATTTTATGGATTTGTGGGGACGGATATGGACAGATGTTCATGAAGTATATGAAGTGCGCACCTTTTTGACTGGATCTTGAAACCAAACCCAAAGAACCGGTTTTCTGTCCTCTAAAAAGACTTAAACAAAACATATGACCAACCCTCAGGGGTGTTGAAATGACATGAAATGGCCCAAGATGTTAAGGAACACTATCCAACACTAACACGACAGTGTTTCAAGTCGCAAAGTTTTTGGGGACATGTGCCAGCACACGTGTTGCTAGTTGCACTGCCCTTTCTCCATACTGCCCTTTGCCTTTTTGAGTGATTGAACTCCCCAGTTCGATCTTTTGCTAAATTTAGATAAAGGTATTGCCAAGTTTGTTGCTTGCCCACCACTCCTCTGGAAGGGTTCAATCCCCGTGTTTCAGCGTTTATATTTGCATGTTTATCACTTATATCTTATATCCACATTTTCACTGCTGTAAGTCAAGTCAAATCCAAAGTGTCCTTCATAAATCGATTTAGATCAAGTTACATCAAGTATTTTTCCAGCTTGAACGGTTCAACCACCATTTTTGCCACGTCTTTCAAGCTACTTGAAACTTAGACATCAGCTAAACTCCCATTAAAACCACGGAGTAATTCGCCATGAAAGCAGCCCCAATTTTCTCCAACTTCCAGGGTCCAAACGTCCCACGTTTCACCCGGTTCGTGCCATGGACGGCTGCTGCAGCGCCCACCCAGCCACGACCAGCATCTCGGCGGCCGAGCCGCCGCTGCTGGAGCTGGACGCAGCGCGGCCGGGGGGCACCGCAGCGGTGCCGCGCTGGGAGTTTGAAGCGGCCGCTGGGGCGACCATTGGATTTTTCGCGGTGAGGGAAGGACTTCAGCTGGATTTTTTGGGGATTTTTGGGGATATTTTTTTGAAAAAAATGATGGAACCATTATGGCAAAGTGATTTTTTTTGGTGGGACAGTTCTGGAGGTTGAGATGTTTGATGGAAGTTGATGGCTGATTTTTCTGGCATTTCTGGGTGGTTTTTGATGGATGCTTCGTTGAAAGCTCAAACATATGCTGGCTCATTTCAACGATCTTTGATCGGTTCCTGAGACTATCTCGTTTCCTGAGACTAGCTTAAAGGGATTTATATAAAGGGCAAAGCTGCCCCAACTGACCCCACCGGGATGAATCTAGGTGCACTTGTTCTGCTCACTGCTTTTTTATGCTTTTTTCTGGCTGGTTCTCCCCCCAGGAACTAGCAGCTAAAGCAAACCCCTTTTCACCGGTTGAAGCAAATGTCGCTACAGTATATATATATATATGTATATATAATATAAATAAATATATATATATAAATTATTATTATAATATATATATACATATTATATTCATTTCCTGTCAGCCACCAGCTATTTCATGCTTGGGCAGTTCCAGGTTCATCTTTGAAAACATGAAATGGAAAAGTTAGTCGTGATCAGCTACCATTCTGGGATTAAATCTACTGGATAAAAGTTAGTTACCACTGTTGTGCATAGCTGAGATTATTTGGTATTCAAGTGGGGTTGGAGCATGTTTGAACCCCACTTACAAATAATGGTTTCAGTATAATGTATATATATATACTGGAATTATATGGAAGTATATGATATTATATGATACAGTTTTGAGTTCTAAGCCTTTTGTGAAATATCCACAGTAACGATCAATATATATATATGTATACATATCACAATATACATTATATATATATATCAACCTCTTCCCCTAAGTTTGAATCCTCACTGGGCAGTCTAAGGCAGTCGCCCGGCTTGAGCTGCGCTTACAATACCTGGAGGCTGCAACTGGCAGCATCCGGCAGAAGGATGCTGGAATCGAGGTCCAAAAAGTGATGTTTGTTGGTTGAGTTGAAAATGTTGAACCCCATCAATCATACCCCATCCAACCATATAGTCTACATAAATATAGTATACATCAGTATATATATATATATCTATCATGATTTGAATCTACCCAAAAACCTGATCAATCAAAAATAAAAACCGACTTAGCTAAGGATTGCGGGCATCACCTTGTGGGTTTGTTTAAGACACGTCCGGGGATTTTGGTGATACACCACAGCAATTGGGGATAGCTTGGACGCCTACGGTTGAAATGAAGATGGATGCCACCAAGGCAGTTGTATCCCCATATGTGGTCGTTGTTTTCCACTAGCTCAGCATATTGTATGCCATATGCTTTTTAGAATTGTTAAGTACAAATTCTATATTATCTATATTTTATATTATGACTGGCAAAAAATGATGTTTTTTTTTTAATGACATTGATATTGACAGAAGCCAACATTGCACCTTAGTACACCTTTGCCCATCTTGCCCATCTTGCGTCAGCATGGAACACACCAGGTCATAGAGCTTACGCCATCCATGGAACACTGCAGTCCTGTCTTCGAATCGACGTCGCCTCATTTCCAGCGAGCGGAGGAGCCGGAGCTACGGAGCGACCAGAGCGATGAGACGGAAACGCCACATGGGGCAGAACACTCTCACGATGCTTGGTGAGAACCATAGCCCTCTAAATTTTGTACGGTTACACAGTTATACAGTTCATATTTGGAACCCAAAGATAGCCAAATCCAACATGAAAATCCTCTTCCAGCCATGTATTAGCTTCCCACTTTCAAGTTACAGAGATTTTACAGAGTTTAGTGTAATTGTATGGGCAAAATTGTGTTGCAAAGGAGGGGGCTCTTTTCGTGCAACTTATGAGCTGGGCATTGTAGGGCTCATTCGTCGTCGTTTTATCCTGCTGCTGTAGTGGTGCGAAATCTGAATCTCTACTAGTCGGCTGGAAACAGCAACAGCAGGCTGTGGGAAAACATGGGAAAACCCTGAATCATTGCAGCCAGATTTTGGGGTAAACTCATTTTCCAGATGCCACCCCCAGGATCGGGTCTACTTTGGCGAAAGCGTGTGGAATATTCCTTTGGTCTTGGACTTTAGCAAAGTTCCCGTGTGGGACGGTCTGTCTCTGGGTGGTTTCAAACCATTTTTTTTTTGGCAGAACATCCCCAGGCAACTTGATGTGTTTCCCAGGTTTTCAGATATCGTGATGCTAAATTGTCTAACAATTCTATGTATGATGCACATAGCTGTCGGTTTACTCATATGATTCTGATGCATTCATCTCCAAAAATCCATGTCTCTGCAATCTATCCCTAACATTGCCATGTTCTTCGTGTTTTTTTTTTTCCCACGTTATCTCTATCAATGCTTCAGTCTTTTTGTTTCACTAAAGCCAGGTTTTCCTTGATCCTGCTGGCGGTGAACCTGGGAATGCAGGCCAGTTTTTCGGGCATTTTGTTGTCCGATGATTTCGCCCTGGCGGGCGTCAACGTGGAGGAAGAGGTGGACAATGCACGGACGTGGCGCCAGACCATTGCGCATGACTGGAGGTATATGGATCTGTCGCAGACCAGTTTCTTGCCGTTGCGAAAGGCGCTGGGGACACCTCTTCTGGGGGGTTTCAAAGCGCTTTTATTGAAAGCAGTATGATTCTTAGATGAGCGGTGCATTTCTTCCATTGGAATTGATTGATATGAAGAATATATATATATATATTTATAAAGTATAATATATATATATATATTATTCTATTAATTATAATATCCCCCATAGATCTGTCATCATATCCCACCGTTTCCAGGACCTTAGCCTTACACCTTTCGCCCAGCCTCAACGACTTGAGGCTTGGTGTCACGCGTCTGCAGCGGTGACGGCGCCTTGATTCTCTCCACGCCTCAGGCTGAACTGGTGAACCAAATCAACAGCTTCTTAGGTGCCCGCGCTATGGCGCTACGGGGGGGGGGATGATATGTTTCATCCGATTTCCAGAAGGGTGATTTCCAGGTGCCAGGTTTGATTAACAGAGGAGATATCAATGGTCCGTTCAGATATAAACCTAAAATTCCAATTTGACAACGCCCCATACCGCACCCTCCTCCTCCGTCGCCTCCGCCTGGCCTTGGGCCTCGCCCCGGCCCATTGCCGGTGTGGACGTGCCATGGATGCCTATGGCGACCACCGTGCTGCCTGCGCCACAAGCGGAGCATTGCGTGCCCGAGCCGTGCCAATTGAACGAGCCCTGGCCCGCATCTTTCGTGAAGCCGGGGCACGGGTCCACATGCACGTGCCCCTGGCCAACATGAATTTCGATCCGCCCCCCGCGGACGCCCGGGCCATCGAGATCTTGGCACAAGGGCTCCCCCTCTACCAAGGCGCGCAGCTCGCCGTCGACGCGACCCTAGTCAGTCCTGTCGGGCGCGATGGTACGGCGCACCCGCACACCACCACCACCCCTGGTGCCGCCATCGCTCAGGCCACGCGGCGCAAGCGGGTGTCTGTCTACCCAGAGTTCGAGCAACAGCGCCGCTGCCGCCTCATCGTTGTTGGCCTGGAAGTCGGTGGCCGCTGGGGCCAAGAGGCGCACACCCTCCTCCACCGCCTGGCGGTGGCTAAGGCGCGAAGCGTCCAGCAGCCGCTACGGGCAGCAGCGGTCGGCGCACACACCCGCCGATGGGCCGCCTTGCTCAGCTGTGCCGCATCTCACGCCTTCGCAGCAAGCCTCCTTGAACTCCCCCTTGGCGCTGCGGATCACACCGACGGCGACCCGCCCCCACTCCCCGACCTCCTCGCCGAAGCACGAGATGATACCCCACCCCTCCCCAGCCGCCTCCCCCTAACACAGGGGGCGCGACCAGCTGCGGTTCAAAAAGGCGTGGCGGAAAAAAAAAAAAACCTAAAATTAGTTTCCTGTAGCATGCGAGGCCATGTTTAGTTTTGTGGGGATTTCCTTTACACATTTCATAGATCTTGCGTAGGCTTACCTACGGTGGGTATCAAGAATCTACTCCTTAATCATATTTCTTCTTAGTAAGATGCGCCAGCCTTGTTTTTTGGCAGATGGTGTTGGTCACAATCTGAAAGACCTGCACAGCAAGAAACAAGCTGGAAGCGATGTGTAGTTGGGCAAGGTTGAATATAATTCCTAGACATGGAGAATGTTGGTATTATAACCTATGGACTTCCAATATGGTATTTGATTTTTGGAAACAACCCATGGGGTATGGCCCCCGCCAGACCACAATGGGCGTTGGATTTGAATGCAAGTGATGCAATTTATAACTAGGCCCGGGCTCCTACTCCTCCCCCGCACGCACTCTCGCTATGGTCAGCTAAGAACTATACCATTGAAATATCCATTGTCCCGGGGTCCCGCACTTGGATGGAGGGAACATGTTCAACCTGCCAAAAATATCCAAACAATGGTTAGAACCCATAGTTTCCTGTGGATTTCTGACACGGCCAGGCTTGGGAACCGATGACTTCCAACCAGGTTTCCTTCAACCGGGAATTCTGCTGTGTATCTTGGCCATTGCCAGGCCATGACTGGCCCCAACATGCCCTAACAGTCTGGGTTCAGACAAGGGTTGCCCGGTTGCCTCAAGGGCCCATTACCCTGCTACTACGGACTGGGTTTTCATGGGAATGGAGATCCCATCATTACATATCAGCACAGGGCGTACCTAAATTCCCCAGCTGAGCTGGTAGTTGCCTTCAAACACATTCTCCCGAAAATGTTGTAGGTTATCATCATGATGACTTCAATTGACCTTCTCCATGCTATTTGGGATAGTGATCGCAATGGACTAATGGACTGTCACTCACCTGGTAAACTAAAATAACTATGGACAATCACAATTTTTAATTGGTAAATCCACTATAAATGGCCATTTTCAATAGCTATGTAACAGTTTACCAGAGGGTACTCAGAAAATCTTAAAACCCAACTTAGCTAAGGATTGGGGGGGCACCACCTTGTGTATTTTTTGTCTCTGTGTATTTTCCCTTCACTCCGGGCAGGGCAGCTGAGGTATGCTGTGCATTCTCCACTGGAGCTTATGTGTCTACCGAGAGTTCCGCAGCATTTGGCTGGCGCTGGAGGCGGTGGCCTTCATCCCCACATCGCGACAGACCAAGATGGGGGAGAACAGCATCCAAAGTTTGTGGCTGGCTTTGGTGGCTTCAATTCCTTAACTTTTTATGTATGTTCTTTTTCAAAATTATTTAAAACAAAAATAAAAGTGTTGTGGTATTTTCCCACCTCCCCAATGATGACGCCATAGAAGCCAATTTGTGCCTTTCCATTCGCACTCTGCTTGTTGGGATTTTCATGGCATGGCGCCAATGGTGGCTCCGCCGGAGCGTCACCAGGTCCCTGGTGCGCTTTCTGTTCGTCTTTGTGACCTTCGTCTTGCGTGCGATCATCGCCAGCATCCTGCTGGTGGCTGGAATCAGCTGGCTGGCCAGGACCACGTCCATCACTGAGCCTGGGTTCAGCCTGTGTTTTTTTTTTGTAGGGAAAATGTGAGGATATAATGGGAATATCCTGGGGATATGTAATCTTATATTGGATATGATGACTTATGGATTGGATTAAGAGGAGATATACAGGAAACCATGGTTTTCCACGCTTTCCTATAAGATGTTGGGGAGTATTGGGGAGTCCTGTAAATTTTGCCTTAAAGCAAACCATTGATACATGGCTCTGGAAGCCATGGCCCAGCCATAGTTCAATGATTTACCATTCTTTAAAATGAGTGAGGTGTTGAAATGCCAGGCAAAAGGTCATTCAGTTGCATCATAACTGTTGTTGATCTCTTGATGGCAGTTCAGTGCTCATACTGCCATGGCCCCATTTTAGCACCGGTCATCTGAGGAATTGATGCTGAACGCTGTGGCCTTGAACCTTTGACTTTGCAGATGCTTTCGCCCTGCGGAGCGTTTTAAGGTTTGACCACAAACGGTTTTAATCCGTTTGTGGGAGACATTCAGCCCGTGTCAGCCGCAGATTAATTGAAGCCCTCGGCCTAGTTGCGCGTTGGGTACCCTTAAATCCACGGGTGAATCATCATTTCCACATGTTTTTTCTCATCATCCCCGCTTGAGGAACGGCATCATGGACGTGGACGAACTGCTCTTCGCAGGCTTCACCCCAGTCTCTGTGCAGCGCCAGATCCGGAAGTTGAAACCCATCCGCATGCGCTACGGCCCGTGGCGGAGTCGCTTGGAAGAGGTGTTGAATCTGAAGCGGGAGCAGATGAGCAGTGCAAGTGATTAATGTGATTGATGTGCTAGCATATATAGCAATAAAATGTAATATATTATATATATATACACATTATGAACATTTATGAAACATAACAAAACACACAATTATATATATGCAATCAGCTGCCAAGCAAAGCTACTGAATTGTCATAATCAGATGATATCCATAGGTATCCTCGCAGAACCGTGACCATGAGCCTGAAATCTCCGGATCGACAGGTTCACAACTGCCGAACTGTTTGAATGACAACGGTTCCAGCCTTCCACTCTCTTGGTGATGGAACAGAGTTTCTTTTAGTGTATTTTTGGTGTTTTGTCGGCAACATGTGGCAATGGAACATCTCGGATTTCTATTTCTGGATGATTAAGCGGCCTAAATATGCGTACATTCGTGTAGACATATGTGCAAACATATCAATATATATACATGGTGATGATTATTTAAAATTTTCCCAGCCATGTCTGTGGGGCCCTTTAGTTGAAGTACAGAGTTTTGACAACTCCATGAATTTGGCATTTGATGGCAGCCCACTGGGGCGATTACACTCCCATTTAGTGCGGGGATTGAAAAATCACTATGAATTCATGGATGATTAGCCTCTGGTAGCTTAAAGTAAGTAGCCATGAAACATCAACATCATTTTTCATAGGTCGAACATGTGCAATTTTCATCCGTTTTCCATGGCTATGACAAATTGCCATGGAGTAAAGTCACCCAACATTCAGGGTTTCCACCATGCGTTTCAAATGTTTTCAAAAATTAACATTTTCTCGCGGTTTTCAAAGGTCAGATCGAGTCCTTCTTGCTCTTCTTGCTCCTGGGGGCAACGATGCTGGTTCCATACCTGGTTTTTCTGGAGCCCTTAGGCTCTGGTATGGTGACCATCAAGTGGGAGATGTGTGGCCGCAACCAGATGCCGGGCTCGTTTTGAGATGGTTTTTGATTGACCGACCTACAGAATAGCCTTCCCCAGAAAAGATGAAAGGTAAACTCCTCTGCCAACCTCCCAGAAGTGGTTTGAAGATTCGCAAGAAACCACTTTGGACGATTTCAGTTGGTTTGTCCCTTACACCATCTTACACCCAGTGACGATCAGGACATTCGTGGTGGCTCACAATCCAGATGTCCAAGAGATAGTGGGCTTTGTGACCCGGTCTGGGAGGAGCGATGAAGCTTCTCAACTGCAGGTCCAGTTGTGGTTCCCGTTGTGGTTGGGTGCAGCCACATTTGGGTCCAGTTGTTCATACCCATTGCCAGTTACAAGCAGGATGATTGACGAGGTATGCTTTAGATTGGAATTCGAATTGGCCAGTCCAAAAAACCTTCGATCACACCCTGAAACCGAAGCACTCCTATCTTGAAGGCTTAAGCTTTGGGAGCTCTTCCACAGCCACTTTCATGGGTGGAGACCTGGTGCCGGAAAAAACCCTACCAAGGACCTCTCGTTGAGCGAAGTGGCTGTGAATACGCATACATTTCAGGCCCGCTGCGGTCTGAAAGCTGGAGTTGTGAAACAAAAGATGGGAGCTTAAAATCAGAAGTAATTTGTTTTCAATGACATGTTATACATTACAATGCTTGCAGTTATATATATATTCATAATATTTCATAATTATATATGTAACACACATGTTTAGATAGATAGCACAGATCGAAATCAGAATGAGATCTGATTGCGCATAGGTGGGTAGATGCAACCAGTGGGTATTCAGGATACTTTTACAAGGTCTCCTGTCAAAACTTCTTGTCTTAGGAAAGTGTTGCACTTTCCTGAGATTTGTATTTGATAGTTGATAGTTGATGGTACTTGGAAGACTTGGGGACCCCCCCGAAATTGCAATTTTTTAATGTGTAAAATTTGGTAAAATAATAGGACACCAATGGCATATTTTCAGACACACCTAGTTGGTAGGGTAGATTTACATTCCGTTGGTTGTATCTCAGGGGGTTGCAAGTTTGCAGCTTCTCCACTCTACCACGGGTTCGAGGGCCTTTGAGGCCCTAAATTTGTGGACCAATGGAACACAAGCCCTGGCAGATGGATGCTGCACAGCAAGTCTCAAAACCATTGACCCCCAAACAAACTCAGGCTTTCCTATGCTTGATACTAAGCCAAGTCTGTCACACTGTGGGTCCATACAATTTTGCGCCATGTCAGATTTGGCTGTCGTTCATTCTGTTTCCTTTAGCTTCAATTTTGTGGAACTTGAAGGGTTCTGGCGACCCCGCGACAACAGGAGCTTAAGCCCCTAAATGGGGTTTATGGTTGGTAGTAACCCCTCAAAATAGGCCTTATATGCTGGTATCCGCGGTGATTCTCGATTTTCCAAACCAAGCCACTCATGGACCCCATAACCTCCAAAGGCCCATGTTGCAGGTGGAGGGCCCCTCACAGTACATCCACTTCGCTGCATCGCTGCAGATCTTCGACCAGTTACGGCTGACGTCGCTGGCGGACGCTGCGGGCATGTTACCCTTCTGTCCTGAGACCGATGCTGGGTGCTGGGTGGTTTCAGTTAGACGGGAAGCGACGCTGGGGAAATACCAGCCAGTAGCTGGGAATATCATGGGCGATCATGGGGAATTTTTGAATAATTCACCATAGTTTTTTTTGTTTGTCGACTAATGTCGACTGAAAGTGATGTTTAACAACCATTGATGGGGATATGTACTGGGTTTGGGATATATGCATGACCAGGAATATGATTTGGGTTTGTCTGAAAATTGATTTATATACATCGCAATTTCATCAAGGAAAACGATGATAAGAGATTAGATGTGGGGGTACTCTATTTTCATAAAGAAACCAGTTCTTTAATTTTTACCTTACCCCGCGGTAATCAAGCGTGGCAATGGAAAATCCGCTATTTAGTTTCAGGATTTTCCCAGCTATAAATATAAACATTATAAACCTCCATTGATCGGGAATTTCCAAGCTAGCCATGGCCATGATTATGGGAGGATTTTCCATATTATCCCAAGAGACTTAAATCAGGACCATGGTATGCTGCTCCCCGTCCCCGCGAGCACGATTTTTGGAGTTGATTTACACCATTTTACTACAGTATGTCCAATGTTCATTACTTGTTGTGACTACTATATCTACTATCATCCTCACTATGATAACTTAGATTTACTATATCTATATCTACTATATCTATGTATCTGCTATATATATATATATCTATCTATTTACTTTTTCCAATTGGCTTACCATTTCATCTTTACCACCCCACAACACCGGGGTTAATTTGAAAATAGCGCAGCCCGGAAGAGGTGGTCCCATCAAGATTGTTCATTGGGGGCGTGCACGAAAATCACAATCCCGTTGGTTCATAGTTATATACGGACACCACGGCGATGGAGATAGATAGATAGATAGACTAGGATAGATTAGGTAGATTAGATAGATCGATAGATAGATAGATTAGATTAGATAAGATTAGATAAGATTAGATTAGATTGATTAGATAGATTAAATAGAATAGAATACAATAGAGTAGAATAGAATAGATAGATAGATAGATAGATAGATTAGATAGAAAAGATAGATAGATAGATAGATAGATAGACAGACAGATAGATAGATAGAAAGAACAGATAGATAGATAGATAGATAGATGGATAGATGGATAGATGGATAGATGGATAGATGGATAGATGGATAGATGGATAGATGGATAGATAGATAGATTAGATAGATGGATAGATAGATAGATAGATAGATAGATAGATTAGATAGATTAGATAGATGGATAGATAAGATAAGATAAGCTAGGATAAGATCAGACAGATTAGATGGATTAGATAGATTAGGTAGATTAGATAGATTAGATAGATTAGATAGATTAGATAGATAGATAGATAGAGTAGATAGATTAGATAAAATAGAATAGAATAGACTAGTATAGAATAGAATAGTATAGAATAGGTAGATAGATAGATAGATAGATAGATTAGATAGAACAGATAGATAGATAGATAGATAGATCGGTCGTCGATAGAAAGATAGATAGATAGATAGATAGACAGATAGAAAGGGTAGGATAGATAGGATAGAGAGGATAGTTAGGATAGATAGGATAGAAAGGATAGAAAGGATAGACAGATAGAAAGGACAGATAGAATAGATAGAATAGATAGAAACGACGAGAAAATAATAGAATAGAATAGAAAGAAAGATAGACAGACAGACAGACAGATAGATAGTTAGATAGTTAGATAGTTAGATAGATAGATATAGATAGATATAGATAGATATAGATAGATATAGATAGATATAGATAGATATAGATAGATATAGATAGATATAGACAGATATAGATAAATATAGATAGATACAGATAGATATAGATACATACTCGTAGACAGTCAAAAACATTAAAAAACCCACTGAATTCCAGTCAAAATCCCAGCTTTTCTTTATCTCATAAAATTTCCATAGTTCCCAACCAAAGAGAATCACCCCAAAAATCCCAGTTTTTTTTCTTCTCCCAGGAAGCCTTCCATCGGGACAGCCCCTTATACCTGGACCCCCTCATAACGCCCATCCTCCACAGCCGCCTCCGTTCCGCCACCGTGGCTTTGGGCGAAGCTCCGGCAGAGAGCTGCGCAGGGCTGGAGGAGCTGTGTCGGAGGCGATGGCGGCTGGGGATGGCTGGGGATGGATAGGGATGGCTGGGGGTTGGGGGTGGAAAACATGGGATTTTGATGGGATTTTGATGGGATTTCGCAATGATTTCTAATTATTTCGATTGTAAGGCAAACAAAATTGTAAGGTAATTTGATGGGATGGGAATTGAAATTCAATCGTTTGTCTCATTACGGTAATGCGTAGCGAAAGATTTGTGCAGGGTATCCATGGGTATCCAAGATTAGGATAGATTAGGCATGGATGGTTGATACCTTTTGCGGGATCATCACAATTTGCAACTGCTTCAACTGCTTAAAGTTGACAAATATATAGATATCAAATCTAAATAGCCATGATAGCCTGTCCCAACTTCCTGGATTTATCTCACCAGGCTCACTGCTTGTGCTTGCCATGATGCCCTCCATCTCCATCTCCACCTCATCATTCTCATCAGCCCAGAAGTGCCTGTGAACAGCGGCAGTGATTCGTTCCTCCGAGCAGACCTATGTAAACATGTGTAAACACTTCCCCTTTTGAAACAATCCTATAAGATTATACAAACAAAAACCAAAGTGGTTGTTTCCTTATGATATTGGGAAAAAACCCTACATAACAAATGAGTTTCCTTTCAATCCAATGATTCGCCATCATTTTCTCTGTTTGAAATTGGAAAAGAAGTGGTAGGACCAATGTTTCCAGACAAACCCATATCCCATAAACATTCCCTGGCTTTATCCGATAAACATACCATACACTCCCACTGGTTGATGGCTATATACCATAGAAAATGCCAGAAAGATTCCATGAAAACCGAAAACCTGCAAAATCATCAACAATTCCATGAAGAACAATCAACATCACATTAAAATCCGATGAACATCCCTAAGAATCACTGAAAATCCCAGGAACCCCCAATGGACACCGTAGAAAAACATACAAAAACCGCTGCCTCGCCAGACCCGACGCACGGATGCTTCGCTTAATCTGCGGCCAAACCTGCGGCTGCACGGATCCATATGCATCGCCCTGGCACAAGGCATGGGCGCCTTCGTCACAGGGCTTTCTCTGGGGAAGATTGGCGATGGGTTAAATCCAAAAGTTCGATCCGTTAATCTCTGGTAAACGTTGCCACACAACTATGGAAAGATCCACCATTTTTAATGGGAAAATCCACTATTTCAATGGCCATTTTCAATAGCAAACTGTTAGTTTACCAGAGGGTAAATGAACTTTGAAATGTTAACTATCCAATGTTTACCCCTATTTGGTGGTCAAATCTCAGTAGCTCGCTGTAGGTTTTCGATCCCCTTTTTTTCTAATCGGTTGACGTAGCGATGTTGGAATGGATCGGTTGAACGCGAGCAAAACAGTGACTTTTTGATATCAAACCAGCAAGAACAGGAATCGTCAGAGATCACACCCAGAAAAATGATGATGTAGACCAGGTGTTTTCAAATTTGTTGGAAGCTAAACATCACATTTTGATGAGATGTCTATAGACTATCATAGATATTTGATATTTATAAATCGTCTTGAAGCCTCTCGACGAATTCCGGTGAAAGAGCCCAAGCCAGTCATTTCTCTAGGTATGCATCCGAAGCAACCCCTTATGATTCAGTTTCTTCGGGGTCTGGCGATACCTTGGTCTCCTTGGTTTTGCTCATGTCAACTTGACAGGACATACCTGCCACATGTCTTCCGGGCCCAGCAAAAACATTGAAACCCGCTGCAGGTGCAGTCACAGGGCTGCTCTGACCTTTGTTCCACCAGGGCGGAAGCAGCCCTGGAAACACTGACATGCGAAGATCAGCCCCAAGGACAGGTCTGGGAGGAAATTTGGGAGAGTCACTCGGCTCTCAGCAAGAGACTGGACAGCTTTGAGTTGTTGAGCAGTGCTGAAGGGGATCCGTTTTTTTTTGCCAATTTGGCGGTGAATTCAGATGGAGCCTTCAAACATCTTCAAACCTAAATGAAAGATGATTTCGAAGCTTGGTGGATTGATTTTCGGCCATAGCATAGCCGCGGCTCATTAGTGACCTGGTGGGTCGAACCTCGACCACGCTTCCCAGATCTTCCCAGATCTTCCCAGTCCCATCGCATATCTCCGCTGAGGCTACGCTGGATCCCTGTCTTCCTACTACGGCCAGGATGCCACGCAGTTCACCATTTGGCCCTGGGCTGCAGCGGTGGCCCAGGAGCTGCGTGTGAAAGGCTGTGTGGGGCTGCAGCGGACCGAGCTGCAGCAGGAGGTGGTCCCCTGGATCTTCATTGATTTTAACCCATGGGATGGGCATGGGATACAGTTCTTTTTTGAATTACCGGTATTGGACAATAACTGGGCAAAACTATCAAAATCTCTAATGATCAGAATTATTGGACACAACTGTCCACTGGACCAATTGGTCTATGTTGTGTCTAATTATCTAATTGGATGAGGTACTATAGAATTGTTTGACAAACCTGTTTTCTTCTTGATGCCTCCTGGATTATTCCAATGTCTATGATTTTTGAGACAACAAGAAATGGTGGATCTACGGAATATGTTTGAGCCAGTTAAAAAAGAGGATGGTAGTTTATGTAAGATGGTCCATGTTAATATACCCTCCTGTAAACTAACACAAAGATGTGGAACACCCACAATTTATAGTTTCTTTTGCTAGGGAAGCCGTGGGTTTTCCACATTGTTTTGGATGTTTTCACCCAGGGTAACTTGCCATAACTAGCTGGCGAACAATCCAAGGTCAGCAAGGTGAACTGGTGCCATGGCTCCGACGCTTGGCAGATGGGTGGTATGTTTCAACCATCAAGTCATATGGATGGTTTATGACATTGCTAACATCCATATCAATTGGTTTATAACATGGATGTATTGAAGAGTTTGATGTTGTGGAATGGAGGTACGCCAGGTATGCACTATCCAGCTCGAATTGGGGTCAGGTGGATAAACATCTAGCTCTACCAGCTCTTTGGGGAAATCACTGCTGTAATGGAATGGTTTTAACCTGTTTTAAATCCCGTTGGTGGTCTTGATAAATTGCTTCTGGAATCCGACATCGGTGGGTTATATAAGACTATCTTGGTTGGTTCTGTGATGCCATTTGGGTTACGTGTTTGAAGTGGACATGGCACAATGTCGCAGACCCCAAAAAACTATGTGTTCAGCCACATGTTTGGATTGGTTGGCCTCCCTTCCGAATCGGCCACCAGTTGCCATCATTTAAGGAGACCCTCTTTCGCCCCTTTTCCTGGCTGTGCCCCGTCTCCTGCGGATGTTTGGAGCATCCCCAGCCCCCCGGCTGCCCCGGCAGCTGCAAAGTGAACAACACTGGCCATGGCCAAAGGCCATGAGGTCAGGGATAGCACTGCCCAAAGTGGTGGGATCCGAAGCATTCTGAAACACTGAGGCCGTGGGACAAAAAGGCAAAAGTGGAACCTGGTTCAGATGGCTAGCGTTACCGTGGGTTGGCTGTGAAGGCAGATAAAAAAGATACAAAGATATCTATAATTATCTATAGGCAAGTGAATCTGCCATTTTGGAGGGGAAAACCGTAGTTGGGTAGGGAATGGTATAAATTTGGCTCGTAGATGGCGGGGTGCAGTGCCCGGCAGGAAAATGCTGGAGGGTATCCAAAACCGGCCAGTGTGTTGTGATGAACTGAGAAAACGCCTGTAGAACCGACTTCAAACATACCGATAGGTCAACATCCAGCCCACAAATTTGGATGAATAATTAGATATGAATAACAATAACTACCGCTATAGAAATGGAGCAAAGCATGAGGTCCTTCCAGATCCTTCCAGCCTCCATGTTGAAGCCTGCGTTACTTCCTGCCAGGATTCCAAGCCTAGGCATGGCCGGTCAGGGCGAGGTGATCACCAACAAAAATACACGATTCAAGGAACAAACCTGCTAGGTTTCCTGATATCACGGAGTGGATTTGGTGACAGAATTGGAGGACATTGGAGGACTTGATGCATTATTTTGAAGGTGAACTAGGTGAAAATTTCCATTTAGCCCCTATACATGGTGATTTATTGGGATTTAACCACTATACATGGTGATTGATTGGGGATAAGGTGCCGTTTGTGGTGTAATTCTACATCTGTCGGGCTCCGGCCTGGTGGAAACACAATAGCAATGGCAGATGACCGGACAAAACGTTGCCTGGAAATCTCGGGGTGCCTCTCGTCCACTCTTGGAAGAATTAACTGACGGATAGCCCAAGGTAGCAATGTCTCATATAAATTCATATAATTCTCTGAGACAACAATCGAAAAAGATTCTTTTCAGATGAGATCTATCTTCAAAAGCCTCATTTTCATAGCTTTTCCCATGCTTTTCGCGTGTTTTCAAGCGAAAAATCCAAAAGAACAAGGCGGAAGCAACACCGATGCCTGGCAGGAGTCCTCTCCCTCTGGGCAGTGATCATGTCAAGGTTTGGCACCTGGCGCGCAGAATCTCCGCCATCTGGTCGGAGATATTGATGGTCAATTGATCTGACCAGTTTCATGGGAAAATGATGATAAACTATGGGGTTTAAGTTTAAAGATACCCTTCTTTTGCAGAAAAAACATATGCTCACAGGCAGAAGTTGGCCGTTTGAGCATGTTTGAGGCAAGGAGAGAAGTTGCGAGATTGATCTGTGTACAGATGACTTAATGTTCATTGTGTGAACAGTTGAGTGGATTGTCAGGATGGCTCAGTCGCAGCTAGATGAACCGGTCATGAATTCTGCCATAGGTCCCATTGCCCCCCCAGCCATTGCCCTTCCAACGAGGTGAAGAACACCTTTATCGAGTTTTCGGACGAAACACCACGGGAGGCGTGGCAGATGAGGTTGCAACAGAGACAGATATGACAGATCATGACAGATCATTTCATGGTCCGATCTACCAGATCCAAAGAGAAACATGACCTCTTGTAATTGTAAGCAGGCCGCATCACTGCAGATACTCCCTGTCTGGGAAGGGGTGCTGGTGAAGCTGGGTCAAGTTTCATTCACCACCAGATTCCGCATTGCACAGTTGTAGTCCATTGTAATTGTAATCCCTTCATCGAACTCCAAGGGCCATAAATGGCTACGTTGAAATAGATGATTTCCCTATTTCAAAGCCAGAGTTCTAAGGGATTCCCATGGATTCCCACTAAAATTCGTAGAGTTGTAGATGATTTTCCTATTAAAACCTCCACTCTTCAGGCATTTTCCAACTCAATTGCCGGACAAAAACCGTAGATTTCGCCATGAATGGCTTCGGTTCTTCCCATGTTCCAGTCCCCAGGAAGAGCAGAGCCCTGTCCGCTTCACACAATCGGATCCCACCCCTGTGTTGGAAGCCATGAGGCGGGGATGGCAACGAAATGGCTCAACTTTTCCAGCCATGGAGCTGACTACCTCTGGGTTAGTATAATCAATGGATTGGTTTAAGGGAACATCTACAGGAAACCATAGATTTTCCCATTAAATATGGGGCTTTCCTGTAAATTTTCCCTTAAACCAATCCATTGATATAAGGGAAACCATCTCATAACGTGGCTTAAGTGGTTTTGGAGTTGGGAATGGATTTTGTTCGGGGAAATGGGGACATCGCAAATGGTAAAGGGAGATTTTGTCTTGTGTGAATTGGTTTGGGGAAAAGATGCAGGAAACCCGCAACGGGTTTGGGTGATAAAATCACTATGGTCTTCACTTTATCTCCTCAATAAGCCTAGGGCCTAGTGATCAAAGGCCATCAGAAATGATGCGGTCAAATCAGGTTCTGAAACGGGAATCATCTCGAACTGACTAGTTTCATGGGAAGAAACTGGTTCCAAATCCCCAATAGGGGGTTGCAGTACCCGCTTGACTTAATCAGGTCGCCAAACAGTGAGAGATAGTGAGGAAGCAAGGTGAAATTAAGAAACACAATGAAAACAAACCACCAGAAGCTACAAAAAATGATGGATGTCTTTCACCATTAACTTTGGGGCCATCCAAACATGAGTAGCTCATATGTGTTTCTTCTGGTTGGATATTCCTTGCAACTCTGGCAAGCGGCCAGCCCCAATGGATTTGATTTTGGTAAGATCTGCTGAAGCAATCCAAATCCAGAAAAACAAGTCAACAATAGTCAATTATTCTTCCACCAAAAAAATGGAAAACAAGCAAATACATCAACATTTCAAACATATAGCCCACTTTTTGAATTGAAAAGTCACCAGAAGTTTCCACAAAACGTTGTCTGAATCATACGTTGTTTATAAACATCCTAAAAGTTCCCCAAATGTAACCCCCATTGATTAGTCGCTAATATCATATCCTCCATGAACCCAAAAGTCAACCAAATTATGTGCGTCAACTTCGCTGAGGAAAATCATGGAAAATCCGCACATGTGGGGAGCAAAACAACCCACATCCACCCCCAAGCGAAAAAAATCGAAGAAACAAAAATCATCAGAAGAACATCTCATAAAACCCCTAAACATCCACAAGATTCCCCAAAAAATCCTGGACAAAATATCTCTAAAGATCCCCAAGCCAAGCCAGGAACACCACCACCACCACCACCTGCACCTTGGACTCCTCGCAACGCATGGAGCCACCACCAGTGACGCCCTCCTCGCAGAGGTCGCAGGAGATGAGGGGTGGGTTAAGGATTCCTCAAGTAGTTGATATAATAAATTTAACGGGATTCAACTTGATTTAACAATGATTTATTAATGGTTTAATAATATATTTAATTTAATAGGCTATTAGGTCTTAATTAATGGGGTTTAATGGGGTTCAATGGGAATTCAACCATATACCCTCCGGTATTTGGTCATTTTGTCATATTTTGTCTGAAAATGGGCTACCTCTACCCCCAAACCCATTGGTTAACCACCAGTTTTGTATTAACCGCTGCTTTTTAAGGGTGCTATGCAGTATATCCAAATTTCGGATACACCCAAATCATAGTTTTCTTATAATTTCATGGGTATGTGTTCTGTAAGTTTTTTTTTTTTTTAAATGGGGTAGTTAATCTTAGGCTTACCCAAACCACAGGGTACGCCTAGTTTGGGGAGTTTGAGAATTAAGACGCGCACGCTGCGCTAGGAAAGACCTATTGAGAAACCAAGATTAGGCCGCACTACAGCCGCTACAACTGTGAATATGGAGATTCAAACTTCAAACCAACAAAACATCCAAAACAGTTTCTATATAATTGGTGGTATAGGCAGTATTCGCCCTGCTTGTCTATCAATGTTTGGACGCTGTTGAGTTGAGCCACTTGTGTCCAGCTAAGGCGGGATGACTGATGGTGATGGTGAGGTCATTTTTTGGGGTGAACAATCATTGGAAACACATGGTCAAACCTAACCTCATGCACCGCTATGGCCTATGGGGATCAAAATTCTGGTATGAATTGACCATATTGACTCACAGAATGCAGGTCATTTTGTAAGTTAAACTGTTGAGTTGGTTAAGAAATAGAGGCATCACTGTCGAGAAAAGGCCTACCAACCGGCTCCCAAATATAGTTCCCGAAAGGAAATCCTTCGGGCCAATTTGGGCCGCCATTTTCCCAAACATAAGTCCCTCAAACCAAGTAGGGCCGCCTAGCAGTTTTCAGCTTTGGGAGATCATAAGAGGGGCCCGCCTTTGTTGGACAAATTCTCTACCACCTACCAGCTTTGTTCTGGATTTGGGGCTCTGTATTTAGTCATTTGCAGCTTACATAACAATCATAACAACAGAGATCCATCACCAGGACGCGTGGCATTGACACCCCAAAAATGTGTTGCTAGAGAGGGAAATGGCTCCGGGAATTTTCAGGAAGGTTTTCGCGATATTATGTGTATTTATGCAATTGTTATTTGTCATGTTTTGTCTCGTTGATGTGTAAGTTCCTCCCAAGTTAAATCAGAGTAACAGATTGAATTTGGCCAGCAAATTGCCGAAAGGCCCTAATGTCAAAGAATTTCTGGAGATAAGATAACTGTGAAAAGATAAACGATGCAGAACAGTTATGAGAAATTCATTCGCAGAAACTTCCAAGATGATCCAACGAAATTCAGCCAAGTTTCTGCAGCTTGAAGTCACCGCCTCGCCACCCCGGGGGGCCATGGCGGCCATGGCTTTGACCCTGACACCCAGTGCCGCTGGGCGAGTCCCGCAGCGAAGGGCTACAACTTGGAGAGGTTGCTGGGGGGAGTTCACCGGTGATGTGGCGTCCATCCACACTAATCTCTTTTAGTACCCATAGGATCCATGTATGGTATATATGCTAACATTGGGGGTATATTGATGGTAAATGTCACCATATATAGCATACATGGATCCTATGGGGTATAGGGTAAAGCAACAATAAGTCGTCAGTTTTCTCTTGGTGCTTTCAAACATGATGATGTTGATGTTCCATCCCAACTAAACCGGGGGACGACCCCACAATGGAGTTTTTTACAGGCGTTTGGGATGGGTTGAAACCACCAGTGAAACTTGCAGGGCAAGATCGGGTTTTCGAGGGAACAACACTTCAAAGCCTTCCATTTTTGGCAGCCAAGACTTTCACCCATTCCCACAGACTCACAGCTACATTGCAAAGTGTGGTGTCCTTGCCCAAAAGCAAATGTCCAAACCTTGTTGCTCATCCAAACATCGGGATTATGTGGAGATATAGTTCCTATAGTAATTATATCCAATTTATACCAACTTACAATACCAAGTGTTATCTAGACTCCAATGGAACACAAAGTATTGGGAATAATCCAATGGTAGCGGGGTTTTCATGTAACAGGACGACATCATCTTCCAGGCACTTCACCTTCGCCTTCACGCCTGACTGGTTCCTCGGATGGAGTTGGGGATGGGTTTCAACCGTCCAAGTTTATCATACATATACTGTAGAGGTTTCTAAAAATGGGGGATGCCCAAAACCGGTTGTTTCAAGGCTAAAATATGCTACAAAATGGTTTCATTAATGGATGATTTGGAGGTACCCCCTATTTTTAGGAAACCTTCATACTTGTATTTTCTCATGTTTGATCTAGTTTGATTGAGGTCAATCATTTTGAGCCACACGAAATCCGGTTTCATCTCCAGATTTGGTTCATGACTTTGGCACTTGACCCAGGCTGTCACGTGCATTTGGGAAATGAATTTGAGACGAGTCCTCTTGTGAAACGGCCCTCCGGACATGCAACATGGAATCTGGATGAGTCTGGCATTCTCGTCGCTAAAGATGGAGGAAGATGAACAAGCTTAGGTGCCCTCAGCCTGACCAGATTGACAGATTGACTTGACCAGAATTTCATTCAGCTTGGAGCCAATGGAAGCCATTGATTCGAGAAATTTTCTCTGGTATGTCAAAGGCCGTAGCGCCACTGAGGTACTTGGTTCCCGCTTCTCGGCCTAGACAGGTGTGAAAAACAGCGATTCTGTGGGTAGCTTTCGAGTTGGGATGAAGTCTGAAGTAATCGGTTTTAATCTGGATGTATCTCCAGTGCATGCGTATGGTTGGGGTTGTGCCCTTTCGGGTTACCTGAACTTACGAGTCATCCCAGTATTTTTTATTGACGGTGGCAGAAGTAGCGCAAAAGATTAGCATTCCAATGTTTGGGAATGGTTGGCAAAGTGACTACAGTATATATTATATATACATCAAAGTGCAAGACCTGGCGTGAAATGGCCATTGTGTTTCTATTTGTTTGCTCAAAGCTCCACATGTTTGTCAGTCTGTGACTGTGCCACCGCTTGTGTAGGTTCCGTGCCCATTTTTTCAATATTTTTCAATAAAGTTTGGCAAACTCCCACCATAAAGATAGTGCCACACACACAGATAGACTGTATATAATATGTACATAAATATATGTGCTGTGTCATACACATAATATGTAGCCTTCCCAATTCCATTCTGTATCATTTTGCCGGAGGTTGCTACAAGAATCCCCATTGGCCATCGCCCAGGTTACCCTCCATCTCCAGCTGTGTGGTGGCCGCGGCCGCGTCGGCCGCACGCCGGGGCCGCAGCGACCGTCGCGGCCGTGGCGGCACGCCGCGGGCGCAGGAGTTGCCGCCGGAGGTGTTGGAGGAAGCGGAGGAGGAACTGAACGAGATCCGGGAGAAACTTGGAATGCGGCTAATGTTGGTAAAGTCATATTTTAAATCTGATAAAACCAGCCATATTTTGAGGTTTTTATACCAGCCAAGTATGTTATTAAAAAAATGGGGATGGTTTATGATTGGCCCTGTAGCTTCAAAATTGGGGATGGTTTATGATAGCCCTCAACAATTACTGGTGCTAAACGTAGGAAATTGGGAAATGGGATGGTTGTGAAAATAGTTATGGAGTGGATCATTCCCCTATTCTCTACGCTTAGCACCAGTAAGCAACAGTTATGACTAGCTGAAAAAACATAATTTAAATAATATATGGCCTTAGTTGCAGGAACTATAATCTCGTTTAGAACTGTTCAGGGTCAAAACCGTGGCTGTTCCAGGGTGTTGATGATGCTTCATGAGCCAACAAACATGAGGATGTAACATGATGTAACATGATTTACGTATCTCGAATAGGGACCATTTTTGGGTATCTCTCAAAGAAAGCAACTGAAAAAAATGGTTCGAACGGTTCAACCAATGAAATCCTTGGAATTTTGTTTTTTTTTGACAAGTTTCGCGGTCCCATGTACGGTTTCAAGAATGTTTCCTCCAACCTTTGCCTTAAGGAGATTGAAGTTGAAGCCCATGCCCAAGCGGCTTCCGAGCACGTGACTTGGAGTCAGTCGTTGGTCCCTCCGAGGTCGCCTTCAACAGCCAGAAGAATAGACATGGCTATGGATCAATACCTATACATACCATTTTTAGGGGGATGAACATCCATAAATCCCAGCTATTTTGATGTGAACTACAGGGGGATAGGGTTTTGACCCATCCCCACATGACAATTGTGGGTCTAATATATCACAACTTCTTGATACTTCTTAAGGATCTTGGCGGTTCTAATACGTTCAACATCCTCGTTTCGAGCTGTTTTGGATGGTTTATGTTCACTCCCACTTTGTGGGGATGGTCCCGCTTGGCTACCATTCTTGTGCTGGGATGCGACATGTTGAACCCAGTGACCGGAAAACTTCAGATGGAAAACCCCAGGAAAACCTACGGATGATCCCGTGCCAGGAAAGGCATCCCCTTCGTGGGGTATGAAGGTAGCCCCTCGGATGAGGAGCTGGAGGCGAGATCCAGACATTTTCCGATGATCGAATCGCCAGAGCTGTGCCATTTGTTGGAGGTTCGCTGTTGATATTTTTTAGATCTTTTTTTTTTTTAAATAGCAAGTTCAGTATAGTTCAATATTTTAGAGCAGTATTTTTGGCTTTGCCCCACATGTTTGATTCATGATTCATGGTTGCCATATTTCGATATTTAATGGTCAATGATTCATGGCTATGCGCAGGCGTTCAAACATACATCATCTCTCCTAGGCCTTTTTTTGGACGTTCAATGCCTTGGCGATCGCAGAAATTTGGGGTTGTATCTCATTGAACGGCCATTGAATGATGTGGAATATGATGATGTTGACTTTCGACCATGAGGTTGAATGGGGTACCCTGTTTTTCAGACAAACCTTTGTTTTTTTTTCCTCCAGCTTGCTTGGGAAGTACGTCAAGTTGGAGCTTTGGTTGAAAAACCCCAACATATCCCGACCATCCCATTTTTGGGCACCAGAATTTTCAATAATTTTCACCCATCCCATGCCTGATTGGTTGAGCTTGCTGACGATTCTTCCGGTGCATGTGCATGGGATTCGATGGGAATCGATGGAATTCCATCAAGGGGACCACCTGAAAATTGCCCATAAATCTTCCCAACCCTAAGTTCAGACATTCTTAGACTGCCTGAGTATCATGGTGACCTTTCGATTTTGTGCTTCAAGCGGCAATTCCAATACTGCTCACGCTTCATCCATAGCCAAAATCTGATCCACTATATCACTACCCATAGGATCCATGGTGCTGGTATATATGCTAACATTGGGGGTATATTGATGGTAAATGTCACCATATATAGCATACATGGATCCTATGGGCTATGATCCACTCAGATTTTCTGGGCTCCAGGAAGCTTCAGCTCATCGCACCATCTCCGACCATCTCCAAGTCTCCGGGGTATTTTTTTTTAGCCCATCGGGGATGATTGGATGATTGGTCCTCAGGATTACCATCTGGTAAAGACTAACAGTTTGCTATTGAAAATGGCCATTGAAATAGTGGATTTTCCCATTAAACATGGTGATTTTCCATAGTTATGTAAACGTTTACCAGAGGGTATCCCATCTTATTCTAATCACTTGAAGGACTGACCAATCTTGAAGTCATCAGATCCATACTGGTTGGTGGTTTCACACATTTTTTATGTCCATTTCATATATGGGATGTCATCCTTCCCATTGACGAACTCCATCATTTTTCAAGATGGAAAAGTTGCACCACCAACCAGCATAGAATCAATGGGAATTTCAGGATCCTAAAATGGAGGTATATAAGGGCTATGTAAGGGGATATCCCCCCAAAATATGGCCTTATATGGTACAGTACCGCCATTCTAGGATCCTGAATTTCCATTGATAGAAATCCTCATTCCATCTAACCCCCATCTTATTCGTCAGGCCATGGTGGAAGAGGAAGTCCCAGATGCTGTGCGGTGCCGTCCTCGGGGGCGGAAGTCACACTTTGACCATGGCAGGGTCTCTGTCGGTTGGAGGTTAATCAGATCTAATCAGTTTGATACTTTGTTTTTTTGGGTTACCCTCTGGTAAACTAACATAGCTATGGAAAATCACCATTTCTTATGGGAAAATGCACTATAAATGGCAATTTTCAATAGCTATGTTAAATTACCAGTGGGTACTGTTTTTTTTTTGGGTTAACCACTTTACCACTTACGGTCTACGAGGTCTATGAGGTCTACGAGGCTCTATGAGGTCTGTAAGGTCTAGGTTTTAATGATAAGATAGCCGTAGGGCCGCAAGCCATAAGATTCTCATGCCCTCGATGGGTAACTTGCTCAGCCTAGGGCTCGATCTGGGAACTTTGATCCTCATCGAGACAACCCGCTGACCAAAGGTATGGCGACTTGGCGTATATATATATATATATATATTTATTTTAAAAAAGCGCACGACATTGGAATATGATGGCGATGATCTACAGACCAAGGATGTAATTTGTTGTGACGTCCTGGTTTTGTGGATGAAGGGTGCAGATGGGAGTCATCAACCGGTGGGTTTTTTCGATGTGTACACGGCCAGGCCATTGCATGGCCGTTTTGGAAAATGATCCCTGTAGACTGTAGACCAGCTGGATCTTGATGAGTTGGGTTAAAGCTGGGAATATGTCAAGATAAATGCAGCAGTTCCACTCACAGCAGCTGGAAACATCAGTGTTCGCATGGGGGATCACCATCATCATCATCATCATCATCATCACCCATCACCATCCCCATCCCCATCCTCCTCCCCATCCGCCTGCTGCCCTTGGCCCAGGATGTCATGACACAAGCAGGCAAAGCCCTGGAGCACATGATCTGCTGCCGTGGCTGCGGCGTGCCACTGCAAACCCATGACCCCAACAACGTGGGACCGATGGGGTGGAGCAGCTGGGGGATGGCTGGCTGGGCTTGTTGGATAAGGTGGTAAGGTTGGTATCTCCATGGTTGGCATGTTTATTCCTATGGCATTTGGTGGATGTTGGTTTCGGGCAAATTTCGAATGTTTTTTCCCCACATCACTGTGTGGGGTTCTTGTTTTTCGCTTGGATCCCGCCGCTCTCCTCCGTCCGCCGCCGCTGCCGCACTCATCACTACTCATCACTCACTCACTCACTCACTCACTCATCACTCACTCACTCACTCACTCCCTCACTCACTCACTCACCTCGCCTCGCCTCGCCTCACCTCACCTCACCTCACCTCACCTCACCTCAACTCAACTCACTCACTCACTCACTCACTCACTCACTCACCTCACTCACCTCACTCACCTCACTCACCTCACTCACCTCACTCACTCAACTCCACTCCATCCACTCCACTTCCACTGTCCACTTCCTTCCACTTCCACTTCCCTCTTCCACTTCCACTTCCCCTTCCACTTCCACTTCCACTTCCCCACCGCCTCACCTCACCTCCACCTCCCACCTCCACCATCCACCTCCACCTCCACCCCACCTCCACCTCCACCTCCACCACCTCCACCGTCCACCTCCACCTCCACCTCCACCATCCACTCCACCTCCACCTCCACCTCCCCTCCACTTCCCTTCCACTCCACTCCACTCCCTTTCACTCACGTCACTCACTATCACTCACTTCACTCACTCACTCACTTCACTCCTTCTTCACTTCACTTCACTTCACTTCAGTTCACTCACTTCACTTCACTTCACTTCACCTCACTCACTCAACTCACCACGCACGCACGCACGCACGCACGCAGGCCCCACTCACTCACTTCACTCACTCACTCACTCACTCTTCCCTCACTCACTCACTCACTCACTCACTCACTCACTCACCTCGCTCACTCACTCACCCAGGCAGGCGCAGTACAGAGAGCTTGCCTTTTGCGTGGCAGACGCACTACACAAGAGCTGCGGCGCGCGTGGCCGCCGCTGGGGCCGCGGCTGCCTTTCGTGGCAGGCGCAGTACACAGAGCCTCCTGGACGAGCTGCGGCGCGCGTGGCCGCCGCGGGGCCGCCGGCTGGGGCCGCGGCGGCTGCCTTTGGCGTGGCAGGCGCAGTACACAAAGCCTCCTGGACGAGCTGCGGCGCGCGTGGCCGCCGCTGGGGCCGCGGCTGCCTTTGGCGTGGCAGGCGCAATACACAGAGCCTCCTGGACGAGCTGCGGCGCGCGTGGCCGCCGCTGGGGCCGCGGCTGCCTTTCGCGTGTCAGGCGCAGTACACAGGGCCTCCCGGAGGAGCTGCGGCGCGCGTGGCCGCCGCTGGGGCCGCGGCTGCCTTTTGCGTGGCAGGCGCAGTACACAGAGCCTCCACATCACACCAACTTTGACACACCATCTTTCACACCACTTTGTCCCACACCATCTTTCACACACAGCTTTGTCACACACCATCTTGCACAAACCACTTTGTCACACACTATCTTTCACATACCATCAACACCATCTTTCACACACAGCTTTGCCACACACCATCTTTCACACACCACTTTGTCACACACTATCTTTCACACACCACTTTGCCACACACCATCTTTCACACCCCATCTGTGATACACCATCTTTGTCAGCACTTTGTCACACACCATCAACGCCATCTTTCACACACCATCTTTGACACACCATCTTTCACACACAACTTTGTCACACACTATTTTTCACACACCATCTTTCACACACCTTTGTCACACACCATCTTTGACACCACATCTTTGACACACACACGCACACCATCTTTCACACACCGTCACAAACAATTTTTTGCACACCATCTTTCACACACAACTTTGTCACACACCATCTTTGACACACCTTCTTTCACACACAACTTTGTCACACACCATCTTTCACCACACCATCTTTGTCACACACCATCTTTCACGCAGACAACTTTGTCACACACCATCTTTCCTCCACCTCTTCCTTTGTCTTTCCTTCCTTCCCCGTCCCCGCAACAAAATTTCTTGCTCAATATTGGAAGAAGTTGACTTGTGGGGTTATCCGGCCCTTTTATTTTTTATTTTTAATTTTGGGTATGTTTTGAAACCTATATAAACATATATACATTATTATATAATGTATTAATATTACTATCAATGACTATCATATTTAGGGGAAGAACCATCCATCATTAACCAGCCATTTTAGGGTATCTAGGGTGCCAGGGTTTTGACTCATAGCCATTTAGAAATCTGGTCATCGGGAAGATGATTCGCACATTGGCTGAGGGTTAAAATCCTCAGCCAGAAACTTGCAGCAATGCTGTGTGCGAGTTCCTTCTGATTTGTTTCAACCCATTCTTATATTACCCTCCAGTAATTTAGCAATATTTAGCATAGCTAATGGCTAATGATGGGAAATCAACATGTTCAAATCATCTACTTTCCTGGGTCATGGCTTCCATATTTACTGTTTCCATCCGTATCCCCACCGGTTTCTGATGGACGTCCGTTGACGGATGGGTCCAGGATTCATCCGCTTTGCCAAGTACCTGGAGATGAGAGCCCAACAGCTCCATCGAAGCCCGTCCTATTCGTGCGGTTTTTGTGGGACAAATAGAGGTGCTGCATGGCTCAGGGGCACCAATGGAACAATCATGGAAGCAGACTGGGTCAAGGTATATCTGGGTTGTATTTGGAGCATATTTGGAGCATATGTGAAGTGCTACACTTGAACCATGCAAATTTGGGGGGTACTTAAACCTTGTATGAAAACCTAGCCTGACTAAAGCGATGTTTAGCCCCTGCTAACCAATAATAGTGGTACATCTATCATGCTAGGGGCCAGCGGTGTGCATAAGCAGATATGAAGGTTTCCTGAAATGGGGGGTACTCCGAAATCATCCAGTTTAATAGGATTTTTCAGTATAAACCATTTTTTTTGGGGTAGCCCCATTTGTGGAAGACTCCATATAACCACCCTTTCCCAATGTTAAGTGTCCATCTCTGGAAGCTCAGCTGAGGCAAAGTCCTGTGCTCGCGGTGTACGGAGCTAGAACAAGGCAGATTGGTGCCTGTGGTCAAGGACCCTGAAGCCTCGTCGGCGCAAGGGGCACGGTCATGATGAGATCAGGTCCCGGAAGGCGTGGATATGGATACTTCAAGAAAAAACCGGACCACCGTTTATTATATATATATATAGATATGTGTGTGTGTACATATATATATATTTATATGCATGCATATATACACGTATAGTATATATATACATACTAACCAGCCAAACAGTTTCAAAAAGGATAATTATGATAAACAGATCTCAAGTATTGACAGGGTCCCTAACTTTGGCAGCTGTGAGGAGACCTTGGCCGCCGGCGAAGTGGGCTTTGGCGGCCAGGCCGGGGTGTGCCATACCTATAGGGGTAGAATGACAGGCTTAAGTGTTGGTTTGCAAAGATGTTTTGGAAAACAGAAAGAGGTGGCCCAAAATTGCCTTTCCAGTTTCTGGCAGGTTTGTGGATAGAAATGATTAGCCTGTTTTGGCTCAAGATTTTCATTTGTGGAAGACGGCCCCGCCATTCGCGCGCCCTTATCCTCTTCGTTTGTGGATCCATGATTGCTCTGAACATGGTACTTTCATGTTTGTTCGCTTTGCAACCTTGTGCGCCATTGCCCTCCCAGCTGGAGAGGACCGACTGCGGCCTCAGGTAGGAGGGCGTAGGGGTTGCGATGCAGCTTTTGGCGTGAGCCTGAGCGAATCGGCCTCTGGTGCAGATCTTGGTGGTAGTCGCAAATCAATATTTGCTACTACCACCAGGATCCGCACCAGAGGCTGTCAAATGAGAACTTTGAAGGCTGAAGTGGAGAAGGGTTCCATGTGAGCAACAACTGGACATGGGTTAGTGGATCCTAAGAGAGAGTTATGTTCTGCATACGCTTGCGCTTGCTTCGATCGAAAGGGAATGGGCTTAACCTCCAACCAATATCCACGAGGTGATGGAGCTATGAACGTGGGAGACGGCAATTTCGGATTCGTTGGTGTGGTGTGCTTGGAAAAGGGTCCCAGTTGTGTAGGATGAAATATCTGCAATTTATATCAATTTATATATGCTGGACCAGAGCGGGTAATTTTCTGTGATTTTCAGGGTGGCAGGTGGATAAAGATGCCATGCAAAGATTTGGATGATGACGAGGGCATTGTCCGATTGTCATCCCAGGTCATTGTGGTTAGTATAATGGTCCTAAGATGTCCAGATCATTTGATCCTTTGATTAGACAGCAATTTTGGAAACCTACTGTGGTGTGGGCACATGCATTGTGGCACCTTTTGGTTGACGGCTCATGGGTTGATTCTCAGCCAGTACGTTTGCTGAAGATTTCCCTGCAAAAAAAACATGCAGAGGCTGGAATCGGTGAAAGACTTAGATAATTAATTGGGAGAACAATATGGCAGAACCATGCAAAACCAACGCACATATAAAAACAATCCCTTATTTCGGCAGAAATGGCTTGTATAAAATGCTACGCAGCCTCCAAAATGTGGAGGTTGTATACGGTTTTGTTATCCTTAGTATATAATGTGTATAGGCCCCATATGGCCCCATTATAGCAACCGAAAAAAATACACCAGGAAATATGGTGTACAAATATAATCTATAACATCCTGGAATCACAACCTTCTCTTTTTTTAGGTGGCATTATAACCACACACACACATATATATATAAACCCCATGAACTATAGATAAACCATAGATAAACATAGATAAACCATATATAAACCATATAATATAAACCATACATATATTTATATATATAGAGATAGATGCCTACCGACAAAACCCAAACGTGGCATGTTGGTTCTCGAACAGCTCTAGAGGTGGTGCCCTCTGAAGTCTTGGCAAAGCAACTGGCCACCATTCGGCAGCGGCGCTGTTTGGCGGTGCAGCTTGGCGACCCTCCGGTGTCAGACGTGGCTGGCTGGGGCCCTACATCCCCTGTCAAAAATGGAGGCTTTAAAGGGAAAAATCATCTAAAACATATCCAAAAAATGGCATCCCCCAAGATGATTCGGAATGATTCAGAACAGCTTCAATTGACTGGGACATCTGGCTGGATGAGCCGGTTGGATATGTTCACCTGTGAATTTAAGATTTTAAGATTATTTAAGTATTATATATTTAACTTTTAAGTATTATATTTTACTTTCATTTACTTTCTACATTCTTGTCTTGGGTTGCTATTATACGGAATATAACGCCCAACGATACAAAACTCCATTGGTGAAGGTCTAAAATAGCCACCACGAACATTGGGTTTGGGCGAACTTTAATTCGACCGTGTGCTGAAAGGTTTATAAAGGGCCCTCGAATGCTGAACAAGAACGACACGTTAGGTCTACACTATGCCACTATGCCTCACATCAACCTGACCACGACTGATGGTAGGGGGAACCACCCCAACATGACACACAAAGCCGCTAGTGGGTTTTGGGCGGATCTCACCAGCAGGCTATAGCGGCCAAGGTATGTGGTGGATGTGCTGGATTTCAATGGCTCATTCATTCGCCCCTTGGAGCAAACGATCAGCGTGATTGTACCGGCACAATTCAAACGTACTCACAAAGCGCTGAGGCCAAACGTATTACTTGGAACAAAGTTTCCTTGAAACAACAAGATGAATCAAAATAAAACAAGTGTGATTAGCTTAGAATCTTTTTTCACACACACACAGATATATATATATATATATACACATGTAGTTTATATAGATGTGATTATCTCCAGGATTGCTCTCTTCATCTCTCGTAATTTTGGTGTTGCGCTTGCCGACTACTGGGTCTAGGTCGAATCCGAGAAATCATTGGCCGAAATCCGGTGATCATCGTGGGCACCAAAATCGTGGCCTGGCAGATGTCGTGGCAGATGTCGACCGTCACCGTCGGGAATGTCGGTTGAAGTTACTGTCGGATCTAGTGTCGGGTCATTGAAATGCCAACTGGTTGGTGGTTTGGAACATGGTTTTTATTTTTCCCCAATAGTTGGGATGATGATCCATCATGATCCAATCTGACTTTCATATTTTTCAGAGGGGTAGGTCAACCACCAACCAGCCAAAAATGCCAATAGAGAGGCCCAAAAAAGAGACTCCCTCAGGACCTGCTCCCGCCCAAGACGGACATGGAGCTGGTTTCTGGCCTGCAGCGCTTCGCAAAAGGGCCTATCCTCTGGTAGTTGGTGGCATAGCTATAGGAAATCACCGTGTTGTATAGTAAATCATCTTGACTGCTGATCTCCTGAGATGGCGATGCAGAGAGAGAGAGAGGGATAGTAAATCATCTATGAAATAGGCAATTTTCCATGGAACTGTCAAAGTACAGAGGGTCGGGGACCCTCAAATTAAAGTGAGGATGAACGTCAATGAGCAGCAGCCATGTTGGTATAGTAAACCATGCTATCATGGCTGCGCGAGCTGGTACTTGATGAACACTCCATTTCTAAGATTTTGGTTGTTGCCAGCAGGTTTTGGTGGCCTGGTGGTTCAAGAGTGGTAATTCCATGTAATTCCACCTAGTCTTGTGTCCATTGATGGTGCATTACATGATATTACATGTCACTACAGATTTCCACCACTTGAAGTTTGATCCTCCTTTTTAGTCTCCCAGGATCTCCCAGGTCACCCCCAGTCGTAACATCGCTTCTAGGTGAAGAATTGGTTGCTCTACATTCTGAGAAAGAAGAAGCTGAGAGTCCTAGAGGCTCCAAATGGGGGGATGGGGGGGTGCAGCCTTGATGCATTTCGGTTGTAGCTGCAAGCTGCGTTATTGAAAAACAATGCGGAATGTGCATGAAATTGCACCCAATTCGCCGTATAGATCATTATTTGCCATACATCATCAACTTATGGCGGATTTTGAGGTACCCTATGTTGGAGACCAACCAACTTCTTGATCCCCAGACGTGTGGCTTCGTTGGCCGCTGATGGCTGCCATTTTTGAGTTAAAAGGAGACGCTTTCGTGGGCTGGGCTTGGCCTAGGGCCTAAACCCGGCAAATCTTGTTGATTTGGGAATGACCTGAAATTATACCAACTGGTTTCTTTGGGGCTCTTGTACCAACCCAAGATGCGAACCGTGCGAACCGTGCGGCCCACCAGTAGGTTTGGGGGACAAAAGTTTTGGGTGCACTTTATTCAATGACCGCATACGGCAGCTGGAGGTGAAATTGGTGAGCAACGAAACCAGCAAGGGCATCAATCACGCCGTGAATTCTATCATTGAGCATCGCTCTGGGATGGATGTGCGGCTTGGCTCAATTGGTGGAGCATTGCAGAGCCATGAAAACCAACCAGGTTCGGATCAGGGTTTCCGTATGAAAGGGGTTTGAAAGGGTTCCAGGTGTTTTTTTGGCCCTAAGCTTGCGGTGAACAGCGTTGGCTACCTGAGTTATCTACCAATTTCATCTAATTTTGGTCTATGGCTTAAGTCATCATCCAATTCCATTCCATCTTTTCCAAGACGAATAAGGGGGTTACATATCACCATAGCTGTAGCGGTTATATCATGATATCCCAACTTATACAGGTTATTACCATGGTTATGTCCACCAAACACCCTAACTGCACCCAGGGTTCCCCTGGGGTCCCCTGGGGTCCCCTCAATTCCCCAGGTTCGTGGTGGGCGCGGCCAACGCAGGGAAGTCCGCCTTCATCCAGCGGCTCCTGGACCGTTTAGAGGTGAAATTCCCGCAGGGCAAAGTGGAGCAATGCGCCCCGCCCTACCGCGCCGCAGAGACCGGATGGGGATGACCGAGGGTGAAGCACCAAAAATGTTCTGGTTGCTGGTGGTGTAGAAACGCCATTAAAGAGAGAGAGAGAGAGATGTATATTGTATAGATATTATATGATATAATATAATGTGTATATATATACATACTATGTATATACTTTAAGTATATTATACAAACAATAGTGATATCTTTTGATAAAGTTTTTTATCAGAAAAGTTGGTTTGGGAAAAGTGATCCGATGAACATTGGCAAAGAAAACTACATGACGAATTTGTTCACCAGATTTTTGAATCAAGCTGATGATAGGGCAGCATGTTTTTTTTGGTCAACTTAGGTTTTCCAGGAACCACTTGCAGGCTTTTAGTTTTTAAACTAATCGTTTGAAGATTTTCCATGATTTTCCCTCACCCCAATCCAGGATAGAGGGATGGGGGATATGGTTTTGAGGCGCGACAGGTTGAAATGGCCAACAACAAATAAGGGATGGGAGCTTCAAAAGAAAGAGGATAGCTTGAGAGCAAAAAAAACAAACATATTTCGTCGGTTTGGATTTAGAATCCTGTCGTCCTGTTTGTCAAAAAATGGTGACATCAATCGCACCAAACTCTGCAACTTTGCTGAGATCAGCTGAGTAAGAGCTACGGCCTTCAAAAGGTATTTTTGATTCAGGCAGATATCAAAGTTGACATGGTGTTCCAATTCTAGTTCGGCATGGGGTAGTAGCACATGCTCAGAAATCACCTCCAGCTACAGGTAGGAGTTCGCATATGCTTGCATTGTGAGCGAACACCAGATTCTGTTGCCAATGCAACACCATCCCCCCATGGCCCCGATACCCTCGGGTAAACTAACATAACTATGGAAAATCACCATTTTCAATGGGAAAATCCACTATAAATGGTCATTTTCAATAGCTACGTTAAATTACCAGAGGGTAGCCCCCATGGCCCCCATGGTGCGCTAAGGCAACCGGCCCCTGGTGTCGCGCACCCCGGGCACTACCTTGGGACTGATGCAGCTGCGCGCCTTCCGGCGCTCGGCCACGTCCCCGGTCTTCGCCAGTCTCTATGACACCCCAGGCGTCGGCTGAAACGCCACGGTTGGAACCAACGGGACATTGGAAGACCTTCAATATCCAATACCCTCTGGTAAATAAACATAGACCCTGAAAATCACCCATTTTTAATGGAAACTAGTCTTCCAACCCCTATCTGCCAGGGTCTATGTTAATTTACCAGAGGGTAATTAGATTTGATAAATCTGTTATGATGTTTCCATTTTTTGTTTGAATTGAATGAAGCTTTGAAAAATCGAATTGTTTGGATGGCCTTGGGTTTTTCCATGGTTTTTCCTTGGCTGAATTGTTTTACGTCTCAAGTATGCCCCAGTCCTGGGAGGTCCGCAGGCTGGCGGAATTCCAGCCTACCCCAGGAGTTCATCAACCAAACAGCCTGCAGAATTTGTTGGACGTCAATGCCTACAACTATGTGCAGCCTACCAGGTGCCGATGTTTTCCAGATTGAGACATGTCTGGAAAGGCAAAGGGCCAATGAAATTCTTGGGAGTTCCGTAGTCCTCCTCGAAGGCTTTTTCCAGCCCATCCTTGACATTCCTCCAGGGGCTCCAGCACTGCGCAGGCACTTTGCGGTACACACCGTGACGCCTGCCAAGGATGTCTTGGCGCAACTGAAGGCTGGAAGTTGCAGAGGATGGTAAAGCACCTTTCCGACACTGAAATTTGGACACCTCGTCCTGGAGAATTAAGTTAGCCATTCTTTTAAATTCTAAGATGATGTCCTTATTCACAAAGACGGGATTTTCCCTTCCGATCTTTGCCTGCGATATGTTTGTCTTCGAAGAGATTGTCTACAATCTTCTGTAGAATTGGATTGTGTCAGTTTAAACTTGCAACATCTTGCAACAGATCAAAAAACATCGATTCCTTAAAATGATTCCTGCTATAAAATATATTAAAATAGTGGTTTTCCTATAAAATAGTGGTTTTCCTATAAAATAGTGGTTTTCCTATAAAATAGTGGTTTGATTTCCCAGGAAATTCCTATAAAATAGTGGTTCCTAATCTTTCGATTTCTTTGGGAATAAACATCCGAAGATCCTGGGATGATCCTTCAAGTCGGGTCGGTTTCTGACGGAGGCGAGCGACGAGGCGGTGTCCCAGGAAACCCTGCAGCCCCCTGGCGGGGCCGGGTATCTTGTAAACTCAAGGGTGCACCACCCCCAGTTCTACTAGAAATAATATATCAAATCATAGGTGGATATAGGATATAGGTGGTAAAGAACCATCACCATAATTTGTTTTTTTTGAACTTTTGGAGGGTTTTCCATGGTTTTCCACATTGACATGGGAGTTAATGTGCAACACTTTTAATGATACTATTGGTTGGTGGAATCTACTTTGCGTATTTGGTGTTTGGAACATTTGGTAATCAAGTGGTTGACTGATAACATAGCGCATATCGTTGCCGTCTTTGCATGTTTTTTTTGTTTTGTTTTTATGTCTTGAAACATGTTGACATTGATACTCGCCATCACCTTGATCCCCACTCAGTGAATCCCCAGAATTGGTGGAAATTTCCAAAGGGACCTTCGTTCCGACAGATGTTCCCCTTAAGCCATGAATAGCCAGTGGGGGGAATGGCACCAGCCTTTTTGTTGGACCCCCGCTACCTTGGAGAGGAGAACCCCTACTCCAAGCAGCAACTATAGCAGGTAAAAGCTGACCCATCCTGCTTTGCAGCTGATACAGTATTCCTCTTGAAAACTGGCTGAACATCTATAGAAGTTGGGGTTAAACAAACATTTATCAAGTTATCAATATCAGAAACAATCGAATCATGTTGTGAAGCATTTTTCAAAAATAAGCCTGGTTGACAAACACAGAAGAAGAACAGAAACGCATGGCAATTCGCAGCGCATGTAAGGCGATGGCTGGGTCGCTCTGTCCGCTACTTGTGGGGCTTCCCCGGGCAGCCACCAGTGCTAGCCGTGGAGGCTGCATTTTTTCGAGGGGAGGTTGGAACCTGTTGGAACCCCTGGAATTCGACCCGCAAATATCTGGAAACTTGGGAAAACATGGGTTGGAACATGATTTTCCTCTGGATGATCGCCATTTCCTGGCGGTTTTCAGCCATTTATTTTGGGAAATGGTCCTCTCCATTGTTTCCCGCATTGAAAAAAAGGGGGGGATGGCATAGACCTCACTCCCTGCCTTCCGGCGCCAGGTCTATCCTCCAATCAGCGCCATGATGAAACTCTCCTTCGTGGGAGTCCACAACTTGGTCACTTGCAGCAGGGGTAGCCGTGGGATTGCCCCCAAACCTCTGTTGAAGCTGGTGGTTGATGGAAGAGCTGCTGTTGGGCATGGATCATGGGTTTCCGAGGCCATTTCACTTGGTGCAGCTCTGATTTTTCGGAAGAAAAAGGGTGGGTATGTTCAACCAGTTGTAATGTTCAACCAGTTGTCAAGGGAGATCGCTTCCTTGTCCCAGAGAAACACATCATAACAACATCCATAATAAGGTCAGCAAACAAATGTGTTAATTAAAACAAACAGTGAAAATAAGGAATCAACATCAACTTTTTGATGTGCACGTATGGCAGGGTCCATACCATAAATACCATGTCATGAAGTCATGAAGTATCCAGATTGCCTAACATGATTTACAATGTTTGTTTTTTTTGTTGCCCTCATGAATGGATACAATACTAAATGGCGAATCACTACGAATCAAGGTTCAACAATCATACCAGGAATGATTGGCAGTATTGAATGGACCATTACAAACAAGTTCCCCAAACATTCATTTTAAAGTATATTGCAACAAGTGTCTCAATATATCTATCTACAATAATTATGTATTGATCTATATTGTATTTATCATTTACTGTACAATTCAATCATTCATCATGTTTAATCCAAGCCATCAACTGATAATTTCAGTTATGTGGGATTTCCTGCTTGAAACCCGGATTTTGGCGGGTCAAAAACAATAGATGCTCCATCATTTTCCCATAGATATTCCCATAAATCCATTAAAAAAAATATCCAGTTACTTACAGTAAATCAACTAACATGATCTATGGATATCTATGGAATCTCCAGCCTTTCTATAAATCATGTCCAACATGGGATTTCCCATGGTTTTTCCCATAGATCTGTGGGGAAAGCCCATGGATTTCTGGGAAAACCCCACGGTTTTTCCGAGGCGATCACCTGCGAGGCCAACGTGTCGGGCTCCTCCGAGGACGGCAAGGGATATCCCGCGGCGCCCGACGGGATGGACCTGGCACAGATCTGCCCTTGGTTCGAATGGCACAGACCTGGAGAGATTTTATGGTTCCTGGTTGGTGGTTTCAAACTACTGTAACCCACTTCATTTTTACTACAGTAAGTCATCCAACAAAATCATAGTAGCATAATCCTTTAATGATATATCATCTCATATTGCTACATTTTTATTTTCCATAATATATTGGGATAATCATGGGATAATCCTTCCCATTGACGAACTCATATTTTTCAAGATGGTTTAAACCACCAACCAGATATTGGGAATAATAATCCCAATTGACTTTCAGATTTTTCAGAGGGGTTAAATGTTGAAACCACCAACCAGGTTCATTTCATGGCTTAAAAAATGGTGGTGTCCGTAGTCATGGGGTACCCCAATAGCTGGATGGTTTAATGGAAAAGATTGTTTAATGGAAAATCGTAGAATGTAATGAACTAATGAGTTTTTTTTTGAATGATCCAAAGAATCCATAAATCTTTTCTGGGAATAAATGGGGGTAGCCCTATATAGATGGATGGTTTATAAAGGAAAATCCAGAGAGAGAATGGATGATTTAGGGGTAGCCCTATTTCAGGAAACCCCCAAATTAAGTAGATGATAAAAGCCTTGATGTCATTACATAAATATTGTCTCAATGTACAGATCAAAGAACTTAAGAATTCTTGGAGCAAACTAATTGGTCAAGGCAGTTTTTAAGAAATATTGGACCCCCTTATTGGTTGGTGGTGAATAAGCCATAAAAAAATCCCATCTTATTGCGGCATAGATCAAAGAACAAAAAAATAAAGCAAAATAAGATTATTTCAAGGGAAACTACGTCTACTTTCTTATCTTCCAGTTCGAGATGATATGTTCGATATGTTAGCTCACCTACGTATGTTTACCTGTTCAACCACAACGACATATAGCAACTGCAAGAACCAGAGCAAAAGGCATATAGAAATATCGCAAAAAAGCACATCATTTTCAATGAATACTGCATGTGTTTGAGGGTGAGCATGCTAGTGGGTGGAGTCACTGTTGCGGAAACCGCGGTGCTGATGAATTCCACAACGAACCAGATACTTGAAAGCCCAAGTTGTGGGTAGAATTTGTATCAGTTGTGCTACTTGCTCAATCTTCCTCATTGGTGTGATACCACCTGGCATGCTGTGCAATATTAGGTACATATGGACTACTATGGACTCATGTGGCTTTCATCAATCTATCCCACCAGGTCCCGGTTACGCAGGGCCCCATCTTGGATGCCCTGCTATTTTCCCAGGTTATGTGAAGACTCCCGATGCCCTAAGTCTAGAAGGTGACGTTGCCTGCGATCTTTCCTTGACAGGCCATGGCACTATGGGGCTATGGCAGGAAGGGAATCATCCCATTGTTTCCAACTCCGCCAGTTCATAGAAAGTCTAAAAATAGTTCTTGGCCGCCCAGATAGGTTTTACTGCTGAAAGTCGGGGACATTTTGATGATACCAGGGCTCGAAACCCTGAAACGCCTTGTTATATGTTATTGGTGAAGGCTTCAATTCATGGAAGAACACTATGCCGTCACCTCAGCTACCAGCTGTGCGATCAGGGTTCGAAGTAGTGATGAACTTGAGGCCAAGGGAAAATCTGAGAGAATCACTATGGTAGTAGGGTCCATGCTTAATGAAATAGGATAATACTCCTACAAACATTAATAGGATGTAGACTTAATGTTCCCATTGTTCAATGGATTGGTGAAAGGGACAGTCTGCCAGGCTTTGGCTGGGTGGCCGTGTCCTTCTGCGCGCTGACCAGTGCGGCCAAGGGTCGCCCCATGGAGAGGTCCAAGGTAACCATGCGTCGCCCGGTCAAACTAAGTAACATCTGGGAGGGGAATGTTTAGACATGATGAATTTTCCATCAAACTAAAACTCAATCATATTCCAACTTATTATGACACGTGGTGACCTAATTTTCAGGTTTCATGAGCTTTCCCGGGGGTTAAAAATGGGACTTCCACTGGTCAAAATCATTGAAACATATTTATGAACCTTACATGATCCACCAACATGGTGAGGTTCGCCCTGTCGCCAAGGCATCTACGGTCCCAAGAGATTAAAGGTGGTGCAAAACGAGCCCCCTGGAGCAACTAAAAGGGATTTGAAGATCCTACTGTGGGATGGAAATATGAGAAACTCGCATTGTTTGGACTTCGCCTTTGGTCTTTGGTCATTTAACATAGCCTGTAGATGCCTCTAGCTATATATATATGATAATATAATTATATATGGAAAATGGATGAACACAGTCTAACATGGTCCATTCATACATGATTTACCCAGTAAAATCATGTAACATGGTGATTTTCCATAGCTATGTCAGATTCCCAGAGGGTAGCCTTGGGCAATCTAACATGACAATGGAGGGTCCTTGCCGTGAGGACTGAGGCATGTCACTGATGGCATTGGGTAAACCCCCCATGGCCAGGTCTCGTCACAGTCGATACACGCGCCCCAAGGATAGATCAATCCCAACGGTTGACGGTTGGACCATCTGGCTGGTTGATGGTTAATGATGGTTAATAATGGTTGATAATGGTTAATAATGGGAGAATATAACTGGTTGGTGGTGACTGGAACCATGGAATTTGGATTGACTTTCCCATACTTTCCCATCATATTGGGAATGGAATAACCATCCCAACTGACGAACTCACTCCATGATTTTTCAGAGGGGTAGGTGGCTCAACCACCACCCATGGTTGGACCATGTTATGCGGCAAGCCTTTCCGGGAAACTGCGCTAATAGCATTTGTATATATATATAGTGTGTGTGATATATATATATAGATATATACAAATGATATGCATATATATTATATCAGATATGTATATAGATACACAATGATATCAGATGTGCACACGCACACACACACACTGTAATGTAATGTAATGTCATGTAGTGTAGTGTAATGTAATGTAATGTTTTTTTTCATTCCACTCTGTCTGTGACCGTCTTGCAGTCGCCTGCATGCACCGTGGGACACAAAAGCTCTTGGTGAGCGACCCATGTCTGTTGCTCTCAAATTAACAGAGGCTTTTCGTTTCACCCTTTAGGTGACTACTGAGTCCTCTGAAATCTTTCCAAAATTGTAATCCGAGCACATTTTTGTGCCCTTCGCTTCTAGCCAATAAGGGTCATAGGAATTCGCCAGTGCATCCAATGCTTGTTCCAAACCTTCCGGTTCCTGGGTTGTTCCCTCCCCAATTTGCTGCTCAGCGGAGGCAATGTGCTGCTGCGCTAGTATGCGGCACAAAGCTGGTGGATATGCCTTTGCACGGGCCGTTTTCCACTGGGAGCCTTCACGGCCCCCAAGCTTTGTCGTCGGCCGCCATCGCTTGTTGTAGCCTTCATAGATGGCCGCCCCCAACCTTTCCAACCTCGCTGCCAGAAGATTGGTTGGTTTGGCGAATGGTTGTCCCAACGGGCCTTGAAGTATTGCCCAGAGCTTGATGTCCCCTGCCAACATGAGCTGTTTGATAAAGGATGAGTCCCATATGGTCCACTTGTTGTCCTTACCTCCACAGCCCTTTGGGTGTTCCAGGGTGAATGAGCCTCCATATGCGTAGATGGTGAAAAGGAGAAAAAGAGCACGCCACATCAAGATGTTTCCCATCATCCACTGCCGTGTCTCTCTCAGCGTTCTTCCATCCAATCCCCAAGGCTGTTCACAACTCCGCAAAGGTCTTGGATAAATGCTGTCTTCAATTTCCAACCATCTGGCCAAGGAGTATGTCTCGCATGGGGGGCCAGCGTGCCCCCCTGCGACTCGTCTGGCATGAATAAGTGAACGCCACAACCCAATCTCCAGGACATTGCCAAACTCTGGGTGGATGGCAACATCCACACAAATCGGGATTAAATTTGATTGCCACCAAATGTATGAAGCCAGATCCTCGAAACGACGATGTCCTGAAAAAAGGATCAGGAAAAAACGCCTTCCATCTGCCGGCCCTCTAGGGATCCAATCCGGATTCGGATTCCATCTGGTGGCTCTGTCAAGGAGCTGATGCTCAAATTTGGTTGCTTCTTGTCCCACATTGTGCACCGTCCATTCAGTTGCGTTTCTCAATGTGATTTGTCTGCCTCCTTGTCTTGGAGGTAACATACCCAGAGCTGCCCATTCCGCCAGCTCCTCCGTTGGTGCACCATCTTGCACAGGAGGGTGTTCCTTCAAAGGCAAAATGTGTTTTTTCTCCTGATCAGTGCACCAACGCCAACCTTGATCTAAGGAGTGCTCCACAAGCCCCTTCTGATGAGCAGCCACTCCCCTCTTTCTGTCATGCTCATCAAGCTCGGCTGCTGCCTCTTCAGACATGGGAACATAATTCCGTAAATGAAAAATCCAGCACCCTGACTTCGCCATCTGCAAATGCTTGATCATGCGAGGCCGCGTGTGGTAAAACCGACCACATGCACGACATGCTGCATCACATGCCACCCTCCTCAGAGCAACTCGTTTGTTATGCTTGCGTTGCTCATGGGTGGCCAATGAAGAGGCCTTGTCAAACATCTCCCCACATTCAGTGCATTCATGAAGGCCTGCACTTGTGCTGGATTCCTCTCCTTTCTCACTCTCCTCCTCCAAGGTCCATCCCATTTCTCTGCAGATTTGATCTTGCACCTCCGCATGAGTTTTCAACTCGCAAAATGATTTGACCTTGCACAAGTGAGATTGCTCTGCCTTTTTGATCAAACCCTTGAGTTCATGAGCTCCTGCTTGAAACCAATTCCAAACTTGCGGGTCCATCAGCTGAAAAAGCTCCTCTGGCACCTGCTCTGCGCCAACTTGATTTTTCAACCATTTCAAACTATGAAAGACCCCTTGAAGCCACGAGTTCTCTTTCTCAATCTCAAAATTCTCCACAATCGCCGCAATCATATACGCATCTCCTGTCTTGAAAAGATGCACCAACAAACGCAGCCTGCAAAGATACATCAGTTCCAAAGGCATAGGTGATTGCATCGCATCAGCTAGCTGATACATAGTGGAGTGCCGCACCTCACCATTTGCCTTTCTTTGATGAAGGGATTGGTAGATTTTGTGAATACCCGCTTGCCAAACTTGATATTCACCTTGGGTAAGAGCAAAAAGTGTGCCAGCGTGTAATGTGAAAACTGACAAGCCCAAACTCTTGATGAGCCGACTTCTCTGCTCCTTTTGGAGACCTTCATGAACAAGAATCCGTCGCAACGGCTTGAGTTTGGATAGGGCACCGACAGTTCTGACCCTCAGCTCCGGGATTCTCGAACCCGATCTTGTGATGAAGCCGCCAAGATGTCGGTAATGCCCCACGATCGGGATGATCACTTTGCCTTTGTGCTCACTCATCAATGCCAATCCTTGACCATGCTTCTGCTCTGCTTCCTGCCGTGCAACAGTCGCTCCCTTTCCATGAAACGAGATCATCACTGCTGTTTTTCCAACCCCGTAAGAAAGGGACAGACCATGCTCCAGCATTGCATCTTGTACTATGCCCAGCAAATCCATGGTTCTGCCCACCAAACGATCAGCATCCTCTGTGAGAGAAAAAGCGATGTCATCCACCCAGGTGACCATGTTCGAGACTTGACCAGCTGTCGTTTCACGTGAAAGCTGAATGCCAATCTGCTGTGCTCTTTCTTCAATCACACCTATCACCTTGGATAAGACCAGCGAAAATAGCACATCTGCGCTAGGGTCTCCCGGCCTTGAGCCGGTCATGGGCGCTTGCAGCGACTTGGACTCTGGTATCACGAACCATGTTAAGCCCAGCATTGCCGCTGCACTGTTGGCCATGACAGCTGATCCTGTAGCCTCCTTGATGAGATTGACACCCATCGTCTGCTGCAGAAACTCCTCTTTCATGTCAGTTGGTAAATTCATCTTTGCAAACACTTTTTCCAAGCTCTGCATGCCGGAGGCTGTGCCTGCTACCAACTGTTTCACCACAGAGTAAAACGCTGCTTTGATGTCAAGGAAAATAACTGCATGAGACTTGCGCTGATGTTTTGCATTCCTTTTCCAGAAATGAACATGTAGGTGTAGTGCCTCAATCGAAAGTCCTTGTCTGCCCCCCCACTGCGTGGGTCGCGCCACTCTTGCCAATCCTTCCGTGATCAGTGGTCTCCATGCCTTCGAAAAGGCTCTTCATACAACAGATTCCAGAAGTATTGCTCTGTAACCAGCCATATTTTGCGGGTTGCCCCGTCCTTTGAACAATGGCAGCAACCATCCACCTGCGAACTCCATGACGCCTTGACCTCTGACCGCTGCTTTTAACAAGATCGGGTACAACTTTTTGGCTGCTACAACTGGATCAGCTTGAAGCACTTCCGCTCCTAGGCCATCAAGGCCCGTGGCCTTGGCTGCCTGCAATGCTCTGATTGCTGATTCTAATTGGTAGAGGGAAGGAACTGAAAGGAGATCGAGTGCTTGCCAGCAGTCTTCATGTCTTGAAACTGAACGTTGAAGCAATTCTGTTGCTGTAACCTCCTCAGCGTTTTCAATGGTTCCAAACTGTGTTTGCCATTCCAAAGCGATGGCATCCCTGTTGTTTTTCCATTGTCCATCCTCTCCACATAGTCCGGGAAGCTGACGAATCAGTTTGCCGGTGCTTCTGGCAATCATTTGCTTGGGACGCAAGATCTTGAACAACTCCGCTGAACGCACTCCTCTGGCCTTTTCAACTTTGTCAACAAGTTGTTGCTTTATCCACTGCCTCCAATCTCTTCTTTTGATGCATTTGAAGTCATGGTCCACCCTGATGCGCGCTTCTAAGGTGACAGCTTCTTGGCATCTCAGAAAATGCAAAGGCATGCGAAACGTTTCCTCTGCTTGAGAGTCCTGCACGTTTCCTTTCCATGCCTTCCAAATGGCACTCAAAATCAAAATTCTTTTCTCACGTTGCAAGGCTCTATATTGCTTGCGGATCTCCTTTCTGGAGCAAAGCACATTCCAAGCCTCTTTGGAGAAATACAATTGACGCTGCTGGCGCTTCTGGCACGGAAAAAGGTCTTTGACCTTTTGCTGCAGGTGGTGTCGCACCCAATTCCAGTGGTCATTAACATCAACAGACCAGTCCACAGATGGACAGTTCACCAAAATATCTTGCATAGCAGCCTTTTGCTGCATTTTCATGGCCTCAGCTCGGTGGTATATTGGGCTCCTGTTGAAACGTCTGACCACTTCTTTCTTGCCAACCTTGATGTCGCATTCCAGACAAAGAGGAAAATGATCTCTGTCACCATTCATGAGATCAAGATCTTGATGTATGAAAGAACGCACCACACTTGCACCAAGTTCTTGTGGTATCAAGATGTAGTCGATTCTGGATCTATCACCATGCGCACTAGTGAATGTGTATGCCTGCCCTTCATGCCAGCACTCAAAAGTGGAGGGAATCATGAGTTTTTGTTCCCTGCAGATTTCACGGAGAAGTTCACCTCCTTCGTCTTCCAAATCAGCAGCATGATGTCCAATTTCATCACCGGAACATGAACCAACACTACAATTGCCATCCCCAAGCATGAAAAGATGAGCTCGTTTGTCTCTTTTCTCCAGGACAGATTTGAAGTGCTTCCACCACTGTTCTTTCTCTTGCGCACTGCGGCCTCTTTGAGGCGCATAGAAAACGACAATCTCCAATGCTGACTTACCCATTTGGCATCGTGCTGCAAGGATGCGTTCCGATGAATGCCACACGCACACATCTTTTTCAGGCTGAAAAACACAAAGGAAAATCCTGGCCAATTCCTCGCCATTCAACCACAATTCCACCCCAGCTTGTCCATTGCAGCCTTTGGCAACAAGCCGAGTAAAAGGGCCAATCGTGACCATGCGTGACACCCGGGCTCTGGATTCTTGAATTGCACAAATGTGAATGTGTTCCAATTGGCATTGGCGCAGCAATTCATTTGCTTTGATGCTGCCGCAATCAGAATCACCATTGTACTCCATAGTCTCAACATTTGCCGTCGCAAATCTCAGCCGATGAACCCTACATTCATGATGCTGGTCTTCTTTCATGTCTCTACCCTTTTTTCCTTGCTCCCACTTGTTGGCCTCAAGGGATAGTGTCGGGTCATACCACCCCTCATTGGGATCCGCCTGGCTATTTTTCAATACCATGGCGAGTGAAGGCATCTGGCTGTCCGGCTTTGCTTCAATCCATGCCCATTCCCGTAATGGATGTGACAAAAGCCGTCCTGATCGGAATTCAGTTTGGACCATAGGCTGCCAACCTTGCCTGACCAATCCAGCTATACTGTCAGCGCATTCATTCCATGGGTGACCTTGATGTGCTTTGACATGCAAACCAGTGACTTCACTTGCCCTCTGCTGCAAAATGGACATCATAACCGAAAAGGGATCCACATGCTGAACAACATTTTGCAATCCACATGCACCATGGCCCACAGCTAAAGCATCATAGTGGAAGAAGATCTCCGCATGTTGAATTGTGGGGCATGCCAAGAGGTATTCCACCCCAGCAATAATGGCAGTCGCCTCAGCATCGGTTGCTGTCATACGCACTGGCCCAATTGAGTCATCAATCATCCCAGCAGCATAACCAATGCGAACAAAGTGTGAATGCGTTGGCAACCTGCATTCACAGAGAACGACAAAAGCCCATGCCGCATTGTGACGCTTGCAAGATCCATCCGTGAAAATATGGAAGACATTGTGGCACTCAACATCCAATTTCACCTGTTGGCTGGCAATGACTGCATATGGATGCATGTAGGGGATAAGAGCAAAATCACGATTCAGCCCCTTCCATCCTTCTGTGAAGAGGGCTTGCAAATCCGACTTCAAACTCTCCAGCATCACATCGTTGTTTTCTTGAACTGGATTCTGCAATTGTTGTTTGCTCCAGCCATCCAAGAGATCCGAGTTATCCTCTTGGCATGGTCGCAAGAGAGCATCCCCCTCCTGCAAATGCAACTCTGCCCTTGCATCTCTGGTGGCCTCATGTTCATTTGGCTTGCGATAGGAACTGATGTGATCCAAGTTATCCCCATCACGTCCCTGCTGAAAAGACAGTGAATGCTCTTTGCTCGACAGAACATCGCAGGAAATTTTGTCATCTTGGAAATTTTGCTGGTTCATTTCCTGACCACCATGAACTCTTTTATCATCCACATCAAGGCTCTCATGCAGAGCTCTGCAAATTTCCACGAAACCGGTGTCCTGGAGCCCATTAGTGTGCAAGCATTCAAAACTCTGATGATTTACTTGCTGTTTTGGCTTTCCTTCACTTTTCAATCTCATTCGATGCTGCATCAAGCTTGTCATTTCCACATCTCCATGGTCCTCGCATTCATCATTGCTTAACAGCAAGGTCAAGGCCTGATGTTGCTGCCAAACCACGAATCGGGCTGTCACCAAATCACCTCCCTGCCAGTCTCTTTGAACCTCCCTTGCTTTCTGTCCACCTACAAAAGCATGCGGATGGATGTGATGCCGTCTTGCCACACGGAACCAGAAAGGGGACTCTAACGCAATTCCTGGCATAGAATGCGAAACCACTTGATTCGGCATGTTAACAGCCCAATATTCATTCACCATACCCTCCTGACCTGGCAACTTCTCAGCCACACTGATTTGCTGATGGATTAGGACTGGACGTCCATCCCCATGACCATAACTGATGACGAAGTGGAAACATGGTCGCACCATCTCTCGAACATCATTCGTCATATCCGGGACAAAACCAATTTGCACCTGTTGGGCGTCAAAAGGCCAAAGCTGTATCATGAAATCAATCCACTCAAGATTCTTCAACTGATCAGCCCTGCGCACAATTTCACGCTGACCAAGTGGCCTATTGGCCGGCGAAATCCCATGAACAATAAGCACAATTTCTTCACACTCAGGCTGGAGATTCTGCAAGCTCCTGCACTGGAGGAAGAAGGCCTCCACTTGATTGATCCTTTGGCTGGCTCTTTGCACCTCCTTGCAAATGGGTCCAATCCAAACTAGGCATAACATACCCGGATCGAAATCATAGTGATGTCCATCCTCCAAACTGACCTGCCCCAGCCTCACTCCACATTCTCGTGCTGTCAACGGTGGGCAATGCTGTTGCAGCCCGAGCTGGGAGAAAATTTCAGTCATTGTGGATTCAACATACAGCCTTGATGCATAGTATTGATTCCTGACTGACACCTCTGAAACCGCTCTTTCATGCACCAAAACGGGTTGCAATCGCTCATCATCTGTGCCTTCAATGTCAATCTCAACGATAAGGACTATAGACTTTTCTCCAGCTATGTCCATCGGCTGTGGGCTGACATTGTATGCAATGAGGTCGCCTTGTTGGGCATGGTCATCCCATAAGTCCAACACCACACGCATGAGCTCATTCGGCGCTAGGGGATCAAAACTAGCATCTCTTCTGCCTAGTTCCACGAGCCCCAACCCGAAAGTCACCACCGTCCACCTGTCATTCATCTGACTTGCTGGCAGGTCGACTCGAATAAGCTCAATGTGATCTTGGATGTGATTGAGGTGATGTGGCGCAAACACAATTGAAATGGCCGGTTCCTCTTCCATCAAAGCATGTGCACCGTGCTGGTCTTCATTCTGCCAGTCCTCCGGTATAAACTGGTCAAGGAAAATTCCTCTGGGTCATCCGTCCATTCATCTTCTGGCAGGTCCGTGGTAGCCTCAGAACTGGCCGAGGAGTCATCTGCTGCAACATTCACTTCATTTTGATCCTCCTCCCCATGAATGACGCGCAGGCCACCTTTGAAAAAAGCGCCAATTTGTGCAAAGACAGCCTCTGAGTCGGTCCTAGTGATTGCCTCATTTTCTTGAAAGAATTGAAGAAAACAGGCAGTTTGAACACGCCTACATGCGTCTTCATGCTGCAAAACCTCGAAGATGTTTCTCACTGACTTGCCATTTTCAAACAGTGCAGCCCTGGTTCTGGTGAACACTGGCATCGACTCACAGTGAAACAAGGCTGCAACCTGACCAGGCATGATTCCCTGAATGACAATCCAAGCACCGATCACACTCGGCAAACGTCTTCGATCAGTCTGCACATAAATGAGTTGGATAGGTCCGCCATCATCAAGGTCAAACCAAGTCTGCTTGCATGCTCTTCTGAAAGTTTCAAAATCAGTTTCACGGTCGACCCTAACTGCTCTTGGTCTCACACAAAGGTCGATTCTCTGGGCTGCCAAAAACCAAGTATCAACGAACACTGGACTTCTGCTTGAATCATACAAACTTGAGGCCTTAGTGTTCATATTGTGAAAAGCTGCGATTTGCACCACATCCTCTTGATGCCTAGCAATTGACATGCCTCCTTTCGTGTCAGAACATTCATCATGCTGACAAAGCCTAGGAGTTTGCTTGACGTACGAGTCTAAAGCCGCTTCACATTCTTTGAGCGATGCAATCTGGCCATGCAAATGCCAGAGATTTCTCAAACAATCTTCTCGATCACATTCATTGATCCTGAAACTGCAAGACTCATGGTGGTCAAAACACACAACTTCACACACTTCATCAAACCGTAATTGCGTCTGTCTCTCCACTCTCTGAGCGACTTGCTCCACAAGTCTCTTCCGCAGCTTAATATCGTCAACACCATCAAATGAGGCTCCATTCAAAAAAATTGAAGGCTCAAACTCATTACCGAACGATACTGCAGAAGGAGGAGGGAGATTCAAAGCTTCATCAACACTGTTGTGGCGATCAGTCTTTCTTGTTTCATTGCAGAGTGAGGAGCCTACTATTTCACCAGCGGGTTCAAACTCAAACTCCACATCTAACAAGGTGGTATCGCGGCTTGTGCGACCACAGAGATCCGAGTTACCCTCTGTGCGTCTCATCATACCCTTGTGCAAGCCCTGGCACCATGTGTAAGGAAAGTGAAGCCAATCTGTTGCATCCTTCCAAGAAACTTGTTGCAAATGCCTACCCTCATTCGCATCTTCACCTTGGTGAGCCTGTGTCTGCTCTGAACCCACAGGACGAGCTTCACAGTCGATGCTGGAATCCACAAGACCACAGAGATCCAAGTTAGCCTCTGTGCGCCTGATGGTCCGATTGTTGCCACATGAAAGGACATCCCTTGCTTGGAACTTTCCGCCTGGGTCTATCAGAGGGTTCTCGTGCGAAGACCGATGGCTGTCCAAGGGAAGAACTGTGTTACCCTCTTTCTTGGTTCCCACATGCAAAAAGGGCTTCCCAAAATGTCTCACCATGTCAACTTCACTTTTTGAAATTTCCTTGCCACTCACCACGGGCAACTGGCTTTTCGCAACTTCTCCAACACCTGTTTCTCCAAAACAAGCACTGTCACCAACAGAAAGCAATGAGGCTTCATCCTCCTCGTTTGTTTCCGGAACATTGGTGACACTCATTTCACCGCCCTGGCAGCCATGAAGATCCATGTTACCCTCCATGCACTCCCGCAAATGGGCCATTCCATCAATTTCACTGTCTGATCTTGCATTTTCCGAACGCAACATCCATGAAAAATGATTCTGCTTCTCATCATCCCAAAAATGACGCAAGGATTCCACTTCAGACAAAAGGGGGACTGACAAGCATGTGTGATTTGAGACAACCCTGTCCGACTGGGCCAACAAGCCACTCACTTGTCTGTCTTCACCTGTTTCATCCGATCGAGTGCATCCACATTCATCTTCATAGTGATTCTGTGCTGAAGGGCCTACTGAGAATAACCCGCAATTCCCAGATGCAGCACTGTCCACACTGCAACTTTCAGCTTTGAGAAAAGAAGAATCACCACAACGAAGATGAGGCAAGCAATCATGTGATGGAACATGGACACGGAACTTTTCGAGCCCATGCTGTGAAACACACTGGGTCAATTCATTGCACGAAGAGGAACCATCCTCCTTGTAAGTAGCTCTCTGCCAAAGACACCATGTCGGCAAAGGAGAATCATCAAAATTGTTGAACAGATGACAGTGATCTGCATTACCAAGGAAACAGAGCCATGGAAGAACAGTTGAAGAACTCACTGATCCCCTTTCTGCCTGACCTCTTTGTCCTTGTCTTTCTGATGTTTCTCTTGCTTTGCTTTCAAGTGTGTCTTGGCCACTTGCTGCGGAGATGCTGCCGATCTGAATGGTCTCAGTGCAGAAGGGAGATCCTTCTTGGCCTCTTCCTCCCCCTGATCCATGTTTGCTGCAACCAGTTCTTCTTCGTCCAACTGGTCTTCCATTTGATCCCCTGTAAGATCGACTGTCCCATTTTCCGCCAGCGCATTTTGCAGTTTCATCATCTGATCTGCAACTCCTGGCATCTCGTCCATGTCGAAATCCCCAGTGTGTTGATCCACCAGACTCCTGGAGGCAATTGAGACCTCCTCCTTCAAGGTCTGTAGCTCCTTCAGCTTCTGGTTGTATGTTTCCATCATGTCGGCACGACATTTCTGGTACAGGAGACCATGTTCTTTGACACGCTCCATTGTACGATTCATGAAAGCATTCCACTCTGCATCGAGCTCTCGAATGCGTTTGGCTGCCCTAGCCACTTGCCCTTTCACCTTGTGGAACTTGTTGATGTGTCCATGTGTGAGGGCTTTGGCCGTGGCCATTCTTTGTTCCTTGACGGTCAAATCGGCTAACTGCTGTGCCATTTCCTCTGGCAAAGCAATATTCATGCCCTTCAACCCACGTAGGTGTTCTAGCACCTTGATCTCTTCCGTAGTCAAAGCATCGCCTCCTTCCCTTTCCATTGAAGGCATGGGCGGAGGTGGTAAGACTGGCTGTGGCGGCAGCTGTAAGTCTTTGTCCTTGGCATCCGAAGTCACATCGGTTCTGTACGATGTTGCTCTGGCAGGCGTGGACTGTACCCAGGGGACTTTCTCCTGGAACACTTGCCATGTGGCCTGCTGTTCTTGTTCTCCGGTTGCTTCTGCTTTGTTGTACTTCCGAGATTTGCTGCGACTTCGCACCTTGCGCTTGGGCGGTTCCCACACTTCGCTCCAATGCGCTCGGCACTGTCGACATTTGTCTAAATGTTGACTGTTTTGGACTTCGCAACTTCGGCAAAACCATGTCATGGTGACCTTTTGACGGACTCGTAGAGGTATTTCTAAAGGATTCCAGGTATGATGGCACTGTAGTGCCGGTAACAAACTGCGAATCCGCCTCCTCCGCCTTTTGCCAATTGGCTGTGTAGAGATCCTGGCAAACCAAGTCCGCACCGCTTGTCTCTTCCGCCTTTTCAAACGGCGCCACCCAGGTTCCACACGCCTCTGCAACGTCACCAGTGTGAGCCAGCTGCGAAATCAACACGAAAACAGCGAGGCGGCATCAAAACATGCGCAACGCCCCTAAGGCTAGCCTTGACACGTGTGCAAGGGGGCCACTCCTACACACATGAAGAGCCCAAACCTTTAATGTAATGTGTATATATATATATATATGTGTGTGTGTGTGTATACCAATCCACAGCCTCTCCTACGAAATCCGAAAGGACAAACAAACATCCCATTGAAAGTCATACTTGCCGCTGATCTCTGAATTTTAGCTGCTCAAATCATCCCAAACCGCGATTTGCCATTTAAACTTCATGAAATCGCCAGAGAATTCCCGTAGCACCCCCACAAAATCCCTGTAAATCAGGTGCCAAACAACCCCCCTGTCCTGTTTCAAGTGGCCGTGGCAGGGCCTCCTTTCCTCACGTCATGGGGCCGGGTTAGCTCAGGTTTCCTATGCCTGTGGCGGGCTTGCCGGGCCACGTGCCCCCACCCCCAGAGGAAGATTTGTTGGAGGATGAGGCGCCTTTCGGTTGCTGAAGATGTGATTCTTGGGGACTTGGGCAGTTGGGATGTTGCACAGGTATCATCCTGTGATGGTGGTGGTGGTGATGATGATGATGATGATGATGGTGATGGTGATGGTGATGGTGATGATGATGATGATGATGATGATGATGATGACAATGACAATGACGATGACGATGATGACTTTGATGACCATGCTGATGAGCCCCTACTAGATATTTGAATCGGGTCCAGATTTGTAGACTTGCTGGGTGCTTTGTCGCACTTGTAGCCGGAAAAATTGATCATGGACAGCCTGGGGCTGAACATGGCTGAACATGACCCCGTGAATATACGCATTACCCTCTGGTAAACTAACATAGCTATTGAACATGGCCATTTATAGTTGATTTACCTATTGAAAATAGTGATTTTCCACAGTCATGTTAGTTTACCAGAGGGTATGCAGGTTTCAGAAATTTGGTGTTGTCAGATCCTCCCATGTTTTTGAACGATTCCAAGTCTTGGCACTGGATTTCTGTCGGAAGCACGGCAGCTGCGCTTGGCAGCTGCTGGGACTCGGTCAGGACATGGATGGGGACTACATGGAAGATGAATCCCCGCAGGCTGGAGTCAATGGGAATTTCAGGATCCTAAAATGGAGGTACTGTACCATATAAGGCCATATTTTGTGGTGATATTCCCTTACATAGGCCTTATATAGGCTTTATATATGGTAGGTACCTCCATTTTAGGATCCTGGAATGGCCATTGATGGAGTGATTGGGGCCAAGATGTGGGTCCCGGTCAAGGTTCTATGACTTTGGGGGGCCTTCTATGACTGAGATTTTGAGTCATGTTCAGCACAAAAAAATGCTGGCTTCCTCATCTTGACACCCAAAAAACTTTTGTTTGGGGGATAGCCTATAAAAAATAAATATGTGTATGTAATTATCTATGATTCTTTATCCCCCAGGTATCTTCAATCCCCATGTTTCGAAAGAAACCTGATTTTCATTGGATAAAACATGTGGTTCCCGCTATCCTCCGCCAGGCTCTGTCCCAGCCTTGGATGGAAGGCTTGGGGCAGTCGGTGGGTGGCATGTTGACGGCAGCACCGGGTGGAGGCACAGGAAGCGACAAGGCCGACGAGACGCAGGGGTTGATGGTGGTTTTTCTGGCCCAAGGGGTGGGTTTTTTTTGGGGCAAACCTTGATGGTTCTAATGGTAGTTCTCCAGTATATTGGACAAACCCACCGGGAAAAAAAGAGGCACCTACTATATTCGGATGTGGTACAGGAATTCATTTTTCGTGGATTTGCACCAAGAGTTTGGGACTCGTTTTTGGGGCCAGTTTTTGCACCAGAGTGATTGTGGGCTTTTCATGCTTGCTGATATGCTAAAATCTATCCACTGAAATCCAAAGGTATGATCCACAAAGAAACACCACAACATGTCTGACTATTATTGATTATTGGATATTATTGGTTGTTTAGGGATGTTTACGGACTCCATGTGAAACCCTGGCTGAAGGAAGATTTTACACCCAGCTACACGTAAATATTATTCTTGTTTTTGCAGTGTAAGATCTGCCATGATGGTTGGCATTCGCATTTTGCAAATTTGCGGACTTTGATAATTCGCCGCGAGGATTTCAGAGTTCAGCAGGGTCATCAATGGGGATCCCCCGTACTGGATCAGCTTCCATGGATCCAAAATTGATCATCAGTTGATTCGTAAATCCCAATGCTGAGAGTACAATCCAACAGTGGCCGGTGAAATTCGCGGTATTTGTTGGTACCCCAAGATTTCTTGGGAAATTCTGAATTCCAAACGGTGAATTTTTCTCCGAAGCCCTTGGGGTCGGACTCGGTTTAGTTTGCCTAGGACGAGGAGGCGGCAAACGAGGTGGCTCCAGTGGTTCCGCAGGCCAAGCTCATTGACCCTTGGACAACAAACATAGGGATGCTGACAAGTACCATCTGGTTATGACTAAAATAACTAGATAACTATGGAAAATCACCATTTTTAATGGGAAAACTCACTATAAATCACCATTTTCAATAGCTATGTTAAATTACCAGAGGGTAATATCTTGCTCAAATCGGATAAATCGAGAGGGCATGATAGGGCCACTTGCTCGCCTTCAGCTTAGCTGGACCTTTTGGATGGCGATGGAGAGAGAGAGAGAGAGAGAGAGAGAGGGGATATATATATATATAACACAAATAGTCAGAAATTACTTTTTGGGGAGTTCTTAGCAACCCCAAAAAAATCCGAGCAGTCTGTCCAGGATGCTATAGATGATATTTACCTCACCTATCTTTTCCATTTTGGGGTTGCTATATTATACAATAATACTGGTTTTCATCTAGTGTGCATCTAGATTTACCTTTGTTTGTTCTATGCGTTGCTTGAATTGGTCACTTGTTGATGTGTTGTTCCTTTCTCGCTTGGTCGCTCATGGAATGCCATCAAGAACATGAGGATATCTCTGATAAAACCAGAAACAAAACCCGCGTTGAAGCAGAAGAACTTAGGATCTGAATCTACGTGCCAATAGAAACAGAGATTTAACCACTATAACCCATAGGATCCATGTATGGTATATATGCTAACATTTGGGGTATATTGATGGTAAATGTTACCATATATAGCATACAAGAATCCTATGGGTAATTAATCATCTATGATCGGGGGATCAAAGCAACGAATCTGCGCTGTATGGGTCAACATTTTCCGCAGACCCCGGTTTTTCTCGCACAAGTTGCCCGATGGTGAGCAAGATTAAATAAGCAATATCCGATGAGGAATCATTTAGGCATGGGTCAAAACACTGGCCCCATCCTGAAATTGCCTGCGTTAAAATTGATGGTTGGTGAGCTGTCTTGTCCGCGCACTATATCCAATGATTCTTTAAGACACCGGCACGGCCTGTGTTCCATATCCTAGTGCTTGAACTGGCAGCCCGCACCATACAAAGGTATCGGGAAAAACATGTTCTACATTGTTCTACTTGAATAGGTCATGTTCCACTTGGTTCAAACCACTTTAAAAGCAAACTTTACCCTCTGGTAAACCAACATAGCTATGGAAAACCACCATCTTTAATGGGTAAATCACCTATTTCTATGGTTCATTTTCCATAGCAAACTTTTCGTTTACCAGAGGGTAAACCAGCTTCAAGCACATTTCAACGGAAAATCATCATCCCATTGTCTCGTTCTGGTCGGGCAGGGGCCTACATATCTGATTCCTGATATCATGATACTTGATGGTTAAACCATTTGTATAGTATTTTGTATTTATATATTTGACAATGGCATATTATTAATGGTTTATGATGTTAGGTTTCTGATATTATTAAAAGGTTAATATAGGTCAATATTATCAGGTTAGTATCATTCTTGATCTATAAAGGGTTAATAACATATATTTTTTACTAACCTGAACATACTAAACATTACTAAACCTTATATTCTTGATATTATCAGGTTTCTGATATATCATGGTTTCAATAACCCATAGGATCCATGTATGCTATATATGGTAACATTTACCATCAATATACCCCAAATGTTAGCATATATACCATACATGGATCCTATGGGTAATTCATTCAAGTTCCACTGACTTCGCTAGGACAGCGAGGAAGACCTCGAGCGTGAGGCGGCTGCCACAGAGCTGGAGAAACTCATGGTGACTGGCCCGGATGGTGTGGCCTTTGCCATGGGATGAAAGTGGGGGTAACTTAAATTCATGGATAGTTAGAACATGGTTATCAATGGGTGTTTAGTGAACAATAGTAACAATACTTACTTTGCCATAGTTATAAAATTAGTTCTAACATGTTCTAACCATCATCAATTTTGGATGTAAACCTATTATTTATAGGTGAAATTACAACCAACCCAATATTCTTCATTAACCTACTATTGAAGGGGATGGTGATAATTTTATACCAGACATATCCAGACATTTATTGTCAAATTGGGGATGGATTGTTGCATTGGGTCTACCACAGCAACCTATTTTCAGAGAAGCAGTAACTATACGGAGCACGGCCTTTAGAAGGCCGTGGGTTTTTTGTGATCAACGGTGTATCATGGATGATTTTTGATGTGCTCGTGCCAATAGGATTTTGTTTGATGTGATTTTTAAGGCCGTTAACCTCTTATTCTGGTGCATATTTTCAAAAACAGGCATTTCACCTAGACGAAACTACCATTTTTGGGGTTTGTGAGAATTCTCAAAATATTCAACCTGACATGTTTTGATTCCTGTGTTGGTCACAGCAACGCTTCGAGTTCTTCCAAGAGAACTTACAATAGCGTGGCATGACGCATGAGTGGAATTTCCAGGAGAACTTACAGTACCGTAGCATGACTTACATTGCGTGGCATGACGCATGAGTGGAAAGTTCCAGAGAACTTACAATAGCGCGGCATGACGCATGAGTGGAAAGTTCCTTCGAACTAACAGTAGCGTAGCATGACGTATGAGTGGAAAGTTCCAGAGAACTTACATAGCGTGGCATGACGCAAGAGTGGAAAGTTCCAGAGAAATTACAGTAGCCACGGAGAAGCATGTCCTTCCTCCGCAAGTTCACATGAACGTTATTACATGCCCCACCCCACCCCACTCCACCCCACCCCACCCCCCCGATGTGTACAAAACACCACGGCCTTCTAAAGGCCGTGGTCCAACTATACTCTTCAACTATGTGTTCAGCGCTAATCGAAAAAGTCTGGAAGGACGTGAAATTCTGAGTTTGAGTACATTTTGGCCCTTTGAAGGTGTGAACAGTTCGGGGAAATGCTTTGCTTGTAGGTGGGGATTGAGTCATGACTGGAGAAGCACCCTATGAATGCTAGCCCGAATCATCATGGTGGGTGTTTTGACCCAGCTTTGGGTAATTCCACGTGCTATTCCGTGGGAAGGCTCTGCCTGGTTAAACCTTCGAGATCTACCCAGCCATTTTGGATCACATTTCCGCTTGAAAACGGGAACTTTGGTGCGTTGGGTGTGTAACGGGGCTTCCTGCAGAGTCGGAGAGTATGTCCAGCGGCTCATGAAACATACCCAGGCCGATGCTGTTTAATTTCGGGAGTGTTGCAGTTTATGGACAATTTGGGTGTCTCCTTGTGATGTGCCACCTTTCACCGGTGTGTGCCTCTCTTGGTTTGCATCATATGGAACGTATAAAGCTGAAAGGGAACATTAATGGTCTGAGCACCAAGTCAATGCATGCATGTGTCTTCAAAATCAAGCTCAATGTTTACACTACTTTGTTATTCAAGACCTTCATTGTATTTTGTGTTTGTTCCATTGAAAGATCAAACAGGTCCCAGGGTGCAGCAAAACCAGGCCCCCGCCATGCGAACCGATGGTCGGAAAGTCACCGCCCTAGCTTATGAGCTGCATAGGTCGGTTCCGGCTGATCATTGGTGCGTCACCTATTGGGACCTGCTATTTCTGCGGCAAGAGGTCCAATCTGCCCTTCGCTGCGGCGAGATTCAGCCGGGGCTGGAGGACGATGTGTCGGAGGACTATGGGCCAAGCATCTACACCGTGAATGAGCAGTACATCAAGCCAGTGACGCAGGATGCCGGGAAGATGAGTTGGGCTCTGATGCGAAATCCAGATGGTTTGCAGTGCGACTTGTTCATCAACCATGCTTGGCAGGAAGGTGTCTTTGAATTTCTGGCCAAAGTGAGGCACAGTTGGCCAAGGAGTGTGCAAACTGCTTGGTGCTGCATGCTGGCCAACCCTCAAAACCTGGATATTGCCTCTTTCTTGCAGTCGCCCAAGTCGTCGCCTTTTGCAATTGCGCTGCAGGCTTCCAAAGTTATGTTGGTGGTGCCAAACCGGCAAGAGAGCGTCTACACTCGACTTTGGCGCCTGGATCAAACCCAGCCTATTCTTTGTTGCCTTTCAAGATCTTTCAAGCCTCCTTGAAAAATATGTCCGCGGAGAATGCACACTGGTAAACCATGATAAACCCATGGAATTTGGGGTACCTATATAATTTTCCATTATTTGCTGAAACTTCTTCAACACCATTTTCAATCCGGGGGGTTCAGCCTAGCCTGCCACCTAGGTGTGCTTATGAGGCTTATCTTGCCCAAGAAGAGGGAAAGACTATTCTCATCGCGCATTCCTCCAATCTCCATCAGATTTTAGCCGCTTTACGTGGGATGGCTTTGGCTGCCATCTTTGGTGCTTCTGTTGGCATTGTGGCAACCTTACTGAACCTTGGGCAAACCTACGGAGTTCCTGCGCTGGCGTGTCTCGTGGTCGGTTCGAGCCTTGTGATCCACGATGATGTCTGTCGAAGGGTCATGCACCTTCTGGGCGAGATACTCTGCTGGACTCAGGTGACGCACGGTTTCGTCAATTTCTTTGATCTCTACTCGGCAGAGGCACGGGTTGGCAAATGTTCTTGAAGACCTTAGGGAATACATGGGAATAATTACTTTACTGCCCTGACAAAATCTGACAAAGTATGTTGACATATCATTTGGATCGATCGATCTATATATATATAATAAACAATATATATTCGGACGTTCTATCTGGCATCTATTCTGGCATTCTATCTGGCATCTATTCTGACATTCTATCTGGCATCTATTCTGACATTCTATCTGGCATTCTTTCTGACATTTCCTTTGGCATTCATTCTATTTGGCACCTATTCTGGCATTCTATTTGGCATGTATTCTGGCATTCTCTCCGGCATTCTGACATATTCTGGCATTCTCTCTGGCATCCTGTCTGGCACCTATTCTTACAATCTCACGTTCTTTCTGGCAGGTAGACTTGGCATTCTTTCTGGCATGTGTTCGGGTCCATGTGTGCCCGGCCTGATCTGGAGCTCGGCCGAGCTTACCCCATCAGGTAGCTGGCACTTGCTGTGATATCCGGGTCCGGTGGTGCCCACATTGACGACGAGCTGGCGGAAGGAGGAAGGAGTGGTAACTTTCATTAAAATCTAGAGACCATCACCTGGCAGGTAGGAAAGTACGTCTTTTTCTGGGTAGCCGTGGTGAATTGCAGGCTATTCCTTTAGCATCCTTTTGAACACCAATGCTTCACTGAAATCAGTCATCATCATTGGGGTCCCATTGGCACTATGAAATGTGATATTCCATCGGGTTTGCCTCTCTTTTAGGGGGAGACATTTTGCCTTTGGGGCTTTCATCCTGGTGTGTTGCCTCAATGGCTTTGTCAAGAAATAGAGCACCACGAAAGTTCATGGTCAATCACTTGTTCCCCACCGAAATGGCATTAATGATTGGCATCCCCACCCTGAGGAGTACCCCGACAAAGACAAGGCCGTGCCTCACAAGGTAACACAGGTGCTACATTTGTCCTATTGGGTGATGACGTCCTTGGCCTTTTGCGTCATGGAGGTGTGGGGCGTTTTTTTTTGTGGGGGGGGGGTTGGAAGTTAAACAAATCACCAAAATGCTGCGTTTTTTTGCCATGAAAAACATGGAAAATCAAAAACGACCAACAAACACCAACAACAACGTGATTGTGGTAATATCTAACAACCCCCATAAAAATCGAGAAATCAACAACATTAAACAACCCTGCTACTAAAATAGTGATAAATGACAGTTTTACCTACTTGGGGGTTACTTTATGTTCTTTATATGGTGGACTGGTCCTAAAAGTGTTTGAATCCAAACATATTTCACCAATGACAGGTTGATCGCATCAATGCGAGATCTGCAGTGTCGGAAGCAGAGGAGTTGCGACAAGGGTACCAAGGCAATGGGGGATGTGTGCCACCCGCCATTTACCCATATGATATTTCCCATAAAATATTTGGGGAACACCATTCAAGTACCAGATCACATCACTATTGGAGGGTAATACCACAATTTTTTCGATTAAGCAGGGCTACCAATCCGGGGTCCTACAATCAATTATACAATAACAGTGAACATGCGTATGTTACGCCCATGTTTTCCCACAAAATGGAGGACAACACACACACAATTGATGAGGAATCGGAATTTATCCGACAACCTTTGAGTGGTTTCACCCATTTGATGGGCAAGACTCATTTATCCGACCTCCATCACAAGGGGGCTTTAAGGTTGGGAGACAACAACCCTGTTGCAGGTTCCATTCAATATGCCAAATGTTCGCAAGCAGCGGATGCCGCCAGCATCCGCCGAGAAATCGGTACCCAGGTGGATCGCGTTGACCATGCGATCCACGTTCTGCTGACGGCCGGCATGTCGACCCCAGCGCTGAGGGACATAGCCCACAGAGTGGACATCGAACATGCAGCATTTGCAGAATTTACCGGGGCAGTGTTTTTGCTGGGCCCTTTCGCAACAATGGCAGTCACACTGTCGTTTGTGGACCTGTTCTATGGCAGATGTTTGTGGCAGCGTGTGGTTCTTGCTGTGATGTCTTTGCTTTCCAGGTTGATTCTCTTTGTTTGGCTTAGTTGGAGCCATTGGGATGAGCAGCGCTTCATTCTGAAGGTCATGAACAAGTTTCTCTGTTTGGCAATGCTTGGCTGGCTGGGTCTGATGTTTTGCTTTCTTGTTTTTGGCCTGAGCTTGGACAATGTATTTTTGACTTGGCTTCTCATCACGGACCTTTGTCTGCTGTCCATGCTCTTGTTTGCCTTCCTTGGGGTGAGAGGCATTGCAAAACTTCCTTGCGGCTTCCGGATCCTACAGATATGCTTTAGTAGAGGCTGCAATGCATGCAATGCTCGGACAGTATCTTGCTGGTTTGTTGATGTAACACTGTATTTGTTAGCCTTTTTTTCAATTTTGATTTATGCTTTTGAGCGGGTGGCTGTGGCCCCAGGATATCCCAAGTACTGCATTTGACTTTGGGGCGCCAACAGCATAACCTGAATCACCAGCTGTGGTTTGCGGCCAGATTTTTTTCCGCATCTACTTCAATAATCTTCAATATCTGAAATACAAAAGACACACCCATTCTTCGACAAAAACCATGGTTTCTCACAGGACTTCTGGCAATGCTCCCAAAACCGAAAAGACCAAAACATATGTTTCCAGGTGCATCTGAAATAGTATATAGTGTACAAGGGTAATTTGACTTGGGCAAATCATTATTAACCCATGGATTTAAAGGTACCCTCTTTGAAGTCAACCCATGGCCAGCAGCTGGTGGTGCACCTCAGTTGGACCATAGCCATCGGGTCATTATCCTGGATTCAGAGCTCTTTAGCCTCTTTTGGATCACCAGAATTTTCATTCTGGTTGGTGGTTTGGAACATTTTTCCATATGGGAATGTCATCATTCCAACTGACGAACTCATATTTTTCAGAGAGGTTGAAACCACCAACCAGCATTGCTTTCATTCTATCATTTTTCTTTTCATGGGTGCTTTTTTGATGGTGATAGGAAGTGGGTGCTCTCTGCTGAATGGTGGTCCTCCCCCAAAAAAATACTTTAGATATCCTTATACAATGGTTAATGCGAACCACACCCTGATGCCACAATGCAACACAGTGTCCAGGTATGTGCACTCTCGAATCTAGCTGCCGATGACGATGAGTCGTCGGAAACGGAGTGATCTGGCACCGGATGATTCGAATCGTTCTGAATGCAGTGGACAGTCCCCAGTTCGACTGCGGAGACCGCAGAAAAAGGGTGCTTGAGTGTGGTTTATTCCGCGATCTCACCCCAAAAAAAAAAGTAGAATAATAGCCAAGCAGCTAGACTCTTGGAGATGGCGATGGGGAAAATAGCCAAGCAGCCAAACTGTTGAAACTACATATAACCCATAAAAACCGACCAAAGCAAGCTTTTTACCCAGCAATGGGGCCTGCCCTCAAAAAGGTCCTACCCATCCAGCAGTAGATTCAGTAGAGAATCAAATTGGACACTTGGACTTGGACCATGCCGAACCCGGAAAATTCATGAAAATCGTTTGAACACATTTCAATATCCATAGGATCCATGGTGCTGGTATATATGCTAACATTTGGGGTATATTGATGGGATCCATGTTACCATATATAGCATACATGGATCCTATGGGATATATTTGGTAATGTCATCTACACCCTCCCGTGATCAAACATAGGGAAATGCCCTATAAATGAGGGTTTCTAGCTGTGACAATCATCCCAATCATCGAACTAAGCGTGTCGTTTCGATGATTTTCCGGAAAGCCATGTTACCGCAGGCTAAGGCCATGAATATTCCCATCATATGCCCATTAAACAGCACTAAACACCATTAAACCACCATTAAACCACCATTAAACCACCATTAAACCACCATTAAACCACCATTAAACCACCATTAAACCACCATAGACTTCAGGAGTTCCAGAATTCCAACCCCAGATCCCTTCAGTCGCTCTCGAGCCAAGGCGTGGAACCGTCCCAGACGACGCTTTCAACCTGATGATGATCCCTTTGAAATGCCACTGGGAAACAAGGACAGCTGGGCCGAAGGAATTGGAATCGACCCTGTAAACATACAAAAAGATGTGGAAAATCATGGAAAATCAACCTTTTGTAGAGCATTTTCTTGGGGAAACCATGGGTTTTCCACATCTATGTTAGTTTATTCTAGTCTATCCCCAAAGTGGTCCTGAGTTGTTCCAGTGAAGACGATGCAACAGAATATTGCTTGTTCATGTCACCATACTTCTTCGCAAACGTGTGCATGCGGGGGTAGATACAAAGGAATTCACATCCATCTTATTGTGCATGTACTAAAATAAAACACATCTTATATAGCTGATGATAACTGGCTGTACTTATGTTGGAATAAATAGCTTCAAATAACTCAAACCATGACCAGTCAGAGATCTTTGTCTTGGTTCCTGACGTTGGCACAACGCCGTTGACGAGAGGACTTAGATGATGGTATGCTCCCCATCGACGACTTTGATGAGGAGATGCCTGGGGATGCCTGGGGATGGGAGGCGGCTCAGTCAGTTCCATGATTGTCCTTACCATCTGGTTATGACTAACAGTTCGCCATGGACAATCACCATTTTTAATAGGTAAACCATCTATAAATTATTATTACCATCTGGTTATGACTAACAGTTCGCCATGGAAAATCCCAACCATAAATATGGAGGTTTTAATGCTGGGAAAATCATCTATAAATGGGCCATTTTCCATGGCTATGTTAAATAACCAGAGGGTAAGAATGGTGATTTTTCCCGTACTTATGTTATAGAGGGTAGTTGTTGGACGGTGTTCCAAAAGAAAGTGGTGTCGGATGACTTTTTCATTATTGTTTACAATGCCTTTGGTGAGTGTTTGCTTCATTTTCCCGGGATCGTAGACATACACTGGACACCATCCACCGGACAATAGATTTCAATATATATATAATATATGTATATGTAATATTGTATAATGTTTGCAACCCAATGCCATAAAAGCATATGTCACAACTTCCATTTGAGGTTGGAATCCCCCCGCATTAATGGTGATGACTCGGAGAGCCACATGTGGGTCAAAACATGTGATTGCCGTATATTATTGGGGAACCAAGATCCATTAACCAACGATTTTAGGGTACCAAAGGTACCGGAGTTTTGACGCATACCCACAATATCTGGTGGTTTCAAACATTTTTTGTTTTCCGTAACATATGGGATGTCATCCTTCCCATTGACGAACTCATATTTTTCAAGATGGTTAAAACCACCAACCAGATATTTTATATGATGAAGATCGCTTAGGCCGCTTAGGCCGCTTAGGCCGCTTAGGCCGCTTAGGCCATTTCCTGTCCAAGTCTTTGAGATATGATGTGACCGATGGTGACCCTGAAACTGGCTGGGCTTCCCAGTGATGAGTTGGTGGGTAACCGCCATGAAATAGCGATAACTTACCATAAACATCCATAAACCCTATCGTCATTGGAGGTACCAAGTTGACCACGGCTTTAAGGATTGGGGGCACCGCCGGCAGTATGAACTTCCATTCCTACAATGCTCGGAGTCCGAAATGACAAATCGGTTCTTGTTTTGGGTACCGGCTTTGAAGTGCCTTTTGGTATCAACATGCCCAGCTGGTCCATAGGCAAAAACCATGGGAAAACCATGGGAAAACCATGGGAAAACCATGGGAAAACCATGGGAAAACCATGGGAAAACCATGGGAAAATGGGAAAACCATAGGAAAACCATAGGAAAATTGGTGGTTTAAAGACTTTTTTATGGTGGTTTAATGGGATCTAATGGGATTTACCCTCTGGTAAACTAAGATAACTATGGAAAAATAATCACAATTTTTGTATAGGTAAACCATCTATTTCTATGGGCCATGGCTTCCATGGCTATGTTAGTCATAACCAGAGGGTAATTCCAATAAAGTGTTGGGTTTTTGGATGGTGCTGGTTATGTTTCTGGTAGAAATCCATGTCGCACTCTAAATCATTCTGGCAACATAAAGCAACATTCAGAAGCCTTGTGGAGATTTCACCATGGCAATCCCTGTTGGATGAAACTGGCGAGCGCAGCAAAAGAATTGGGAATTGACCTTGGCAAAAAATATGGGTAGTTGATGGTAGTTGACCAGCAAAAGATGGCGATTGAAGCAAGAAGATTTTGGGGTGCCAATGGTAACATAAAATCGAGAGCAATTTCAGGGGGCCAAGATTCTTGGCATGTAAATCAACTGCAGGCATGCATTCTAAAAGGACCTACTGTTGAAATGCTAAAGCCCTTTGCCAGTTATCAATGGTTATAAATGGTTGTAAATGGGGTTATCATTCCATAAATGGGGTGATGTCACTGACTTATAACTGGTATTTGGGGTCATAACTGTACAGCACGATACTTAAACTTTAGTAGGACTTGTTTCTATCTAGACACCAGCTGGATGCGTTACGTGGTGATTAGTCACATGATGTTTGACCCATTTGTCGCTCTGGGATGTAAGAAAACAAATGAGGGGGACATTGCCAAATATTGATAACATTGATAACATCTCAGGGATACAGTATATAGCCACTGTGCAAATTTTGGCGGTGTCTACCGAATTCTTTTGATTTCCAGCTGTCCCCCATCATATCCCCATCAAAAAGGTGATCTCCCCAATGACAGCTCCGATTTCCCATAAGATATAGGCAAAAAATGATGCAAACAATGATGCAAAAGATGCTCTTCCAGAATGTATGCATATATTTTTCTATAGAATTATGTATGGTACATAAATTATGCATATTCTATCATCGTCTATCCCAACTGTTGGTTTTCTGAGTCGCGGGGCCGCGGGTCGCCTCGCCAGGCGGATGGTACCTGGGCCCTAAAGTGGAGATCCATTTGTGCCTTCAAGGATGGTGAGTGTCGCGGTGACCACGACACCTTGATGAAGGACGGCCAAGGGCCCCAAGGGCGATGAATCCCAGGGAGACGTTGCTTGGGAAATACCGTAGTTCCGGTGAAAAATCCACTTAGTTCACTAATATATAGTGGGATGTACTGGGCTATCATCTCATCTGGGAGACCCAAAATTACTCATGTTTACTGTTTAATACCTAAAAAAGCAGGGTCCATCACCTTAAAAAGTGCCTGCAAAATGGCAGGGTCCATCTTCAATTTCAGCAGATTCCGAAACGAGTTTCGTGAAAATTGACGCAGGGCCCCATCGTCACCATCCGGCTGAGTGTCATGGCCACGCAAACGAAGTGGATGGCCCTGCCCGAGTTCGAGGCGAGCCTGGTGGTTGAAGCTACCGTGGAATTTTTTAGGGCTTTGAAGGACCGGAAATTGATCATTCACGGGGATTATATATAATTGTTCTGTGTGCCAATTGATGGAATTTGGGGGGTTTTACCCCTGGAAACACGTTTGCTATTGAAAATCAACGAAATGTCTTTTACCCAGCTATAAAATGGTGATTTTAATTAAAACAATTTTTTACATTTTTGAATGCATTATTTCAGAACCCCACATGGATTTGTTCCAACGAGTTTATTGGGGAAAAAATCTCCCCAGAATCTCAGGATTTAATGTGAAGTGACGATAACAGAGAAAGAGGCAAGTACCCGATAAGTCAGGGATCTTTTGCCCCAGTTTCAAGGAAGATCGAAGACCAAATTTTGAGTGGGCCACAGTTTAAGAAGATTCAATAAGGCAGAAAATGGTTGCAGGATATACCTCTTTCTGGATCATTGAAAACTGGTTTTAGAAATCCATGTGAGCTATCTATAGAGCGCATGGCTAAAATCTCGACAACTATTTAATGGGTTGAGGTTGGCTACAGATGATTGCTCCGATCCCAGTCAAAAAATATCGTCGGGAGATATGACTTGGATATGAGTTCCCAACTGGTTTCCCTGTTTCCGGATTGTCGAACCGTGCGTAGATGTACCAATGGTACATATCCATGCTAAAGAATTTCGAAGGCAGGGCAAAAGCTGAATTGCCATTTGTGCCCCCGCAATGTTGGATATATATATATATTGATTATATATATATAGATATTGGACAATAATTGTTATGTGTAATCACTAATATATCTAAATAATATATATATATTCATATAAATACAATATACATGTAGTATCATAATATCTTACATTCCATCTCAAGACCTGCAGCCAGGTGGATAGTGCTCAGGCCGGATGCGCTTGCAGTGTATGATGGGGTTTCACTGATGGTGAAACCATGGTGAAAATGAGTACTTTTTCAGCAAAAATATGGAGATTTTCACCAATGTATGTGGGAAGTTTCCACGTAAGGATAGCTATCTGGGACTTGAACATCTGTATAACTTCGGTGAACTCCGGTTTATGGGGTGATTTCCGGTTATGCATGCTTTGAAAAAAAAAACGAAACCAAGCTTACACCGATCCTGCACAGTACTTCGACCCAAAGCAACCAATCCCAGAGCCCAGGACACACAGTTGCCTGCAAAAAAACAAGACCGTGGTTAAACTTAGTACTTCACGGATAAACTTAGTATTTAACGCGAATGCCAAGTTTAACTTGGCATGTGTTTAAATGCTAAGTTAAACTTCGACGTGGGAAGGTCTGGGAGTCTGGGATCATATATTCCCCAAAAATGGAGAGCCAGTTGGAGCTACGAATTGAGTTTCCCAACCAAATGATGGTTTTCCCCATCAAACACCGCGGTTTTCCCCATCAAAAAACATAGTTTACGTCATTTCTGCCCGGGTAAAACCATCCACAACCCACAACCCCAAGGCTTTTCAAAAAGCCACGCTCCAGGAGCACCCGGAGCATCCGACAGCGGAGGAAATTGAGGACACTGCTCCAGGTGAGGATTTGGGGGTTCAACCACGAAAATCGATGGATTTGGCCATGGATCAATGGTGATTTCGAGTTCACCAGAAGTGACATGTTTTTTCCATCAGGATAGTTGGTATCCGGAAATGGTGTTTTTTTTTCATGATTGAGGGTTGAAGCATGGTTATTGTAGATATGGGTATGGCATAGTCCCACCAAATTTGCAGGGTAGCTGGAAACCCATAGGTACGTAAGCCAAAATAGGAAATTGATGGAAATTGGCTACCAATTTTCCCGCCAAGACGTATCTGGGGTGGCCAGGGAGCAAACCTGAAGATCAAGGATCGAGAGGTATAAGGTGGTGCCGCAAATTTATATCTAAGCTAGATTTTGAACTCCAAGAAGTAGGTTTATGGATGTTTATGGAGGTTTGTATAAATGTTTAAAGATGTCTGTGGATGCTTATGGATTTGTATGGGATGTTTATGGATGTTTCTTAGTTAATGAGGGTAAACCGTGACATTTCATGAAATTTCATCCACTGGTTTTATCCACTAGAGACCTGCACCTTATGTCCCTTACTCTACCAGTGTCATTAAACATGGTTTGAAAATCCACCATTCATATTCATAGTTTTCTCATGACAAAACCTCCATTTAGATGGATGATTTGTCATTGTCCATTACTCAAATCAGGTGTTTTTTGGGGCACTCCCTGTTCATGGATTATGATAATCCCAATGAATCTTGGTTAATCCCCGAACCAATCCTCAATCCGGGGCTTTGAATTCAGATTGAATTCGGATTGAATTCAGCTAGTTATGCTCACCATGTTCCCAGGTATGTGTATAATATATTAATAGATTATATATATATATATGTGTGTGTGTTCCATAGAATTGTCCATGAAACTAACCAGGCCGTCCTAGTGGATGAAACCACATGTACCAATTAACTATCCATTAATGATAGTGGATGCGAATTGAGTTTCCCAACCACCCATTATCTTATTCCATCTCATCCCATCATGTAAATGGCTAACTAATTGGACGGTTAATATTGAGGTGATCATAAAGAGCCATGTTAGGCAATCTAACATTTTTGGCATAACCATGGCTATATTGATCATAATCATTGAATAATCCTTCAATAATCTTAATAAGATGTTCACCATTGTTGCTCATTTAACATCCATTGAATAATCATTTCATATCATTTAATGTTGGTAAAACAATCATAAACCACCCATTTGGGAATGGTTTATACAATCTATAGAAAAATAGTGATTTGGGGGATGGTTTATGGCATTGTTTTACCCACGTTAAAACATATGAAAAACCTAATGTTGATCATTAATCATTGAATAATCATCTATTAAGCATTTAATATTATTAATTAACCATTGAATATAATCACCATGTTACTAACTTTAGGCCCCGGCGGCAGGTTCCAAGAGCCACCTGTCCCAACTGGTGAGCAACGTTTGGGAGTCCTCGGCTGGCTCCGACACTGCAGCTGCCGCGCCTGTTGGAGACGCGCCGGAGCGACATGGCGCGAAGGGAAAAGGGGACCCTCCTGCAATGTGAGGCCCCCCAGTTATAAGTTGGTTTATAAGCTCCAGTAACTATAGTTATAAGTACCATAAACCATAGCTATTGGAGTTATAAACCAGCTTAGCTATCTTGGGGGCCTCACATTGTGGGTTTGGGTCAACATGAAATTGGGAAGCCAACGGGTACCCTCTGGAAAACATACAAAAAACGATGGAAAAACATCACATTTAATTGGTAAATCAACTGCATCGACTGGGCCAAAAATACCATTTTTGTTACCAAATTAATAACCAGGTTGTTTATATACCCCATCAAAGTTTCAGGGCGAGTTTCACCAAAATAGGGACTTCACCATCCAAAAGAAGCGGGGGAGATCACTGAAAATGTGGAGTTCACCAAGATGGCGATTTGGCCAACAGTGGCCGCTCCAAGATCTGAAACAGAGCGAATTTCTCAAGCAGTAGGGGGGATCAACTAGCGATCTTGGGGCCTAGAAAGTGTATCCTTACTGTATCTTCGTGGGGTATCTTGAAGGGTAATTGGTAGCCCCTGCCCGAGCTGATCCTCACGATGATAGCGTAGAAAATGGCTGATCCAAGGCCAAAACCAGAAATGATCGCGAATTCAAGAGAAATTGGTGATAGCATTAGATTGCTTACATGTTAGTAATTTATAGCATCACCAATTAACTTCCATTGGAATTCAAGAGAAATTGCTGATAGCCATCCCCAATGGAAGATGATTGTTGGGTTTGAGCATCGCACCAAGCACACTTTGAAAAGCCATGCTCTCCCTCCTCCTGAAATTCTGCGTTTCACTTGGGGGGCATCCAAATTAGTCAGTTGGTAATACTAGTAATAACCATTTTTGCACAAACAGCTCACTATCATCCTCACTATCACCATAATTATAACCCATCTATTTTCCGCCTCATCTATGATTTATGGGTTATAAAGTTATAAACCATAACCCATGTTTTTTTTTTCGGCTGTTCACCATGATATATTCCAGCTACTAGTGGGATCACCGATCGGTTTTCCCAAGTGGCGCTCTTTTTTGTATTCACCACTGGCGGTAGGGTCTGGGTTACATATCCATTTTTTATGTTCAAGCTATCGGTTTAATCCCAATCACATTTATAAAAGGGCTGAACCCTGAACGTGGCATAATGCTTTTCCCATGGTTTTCTCACCCTTCCACCGTACAATTTTTACTTTTTTCAGCACGGATGGGTAAAGGGGGTACGTGCATTTAGGATCCAACCAAAAATGTTCACACATTATGGATCCAATGTAATTTGTATGCCACCCCATAAATGGGATATAACATGGCCATGGCTTATGTCGCAACTGTGATGTCACTACCAGATATGGGTGTTTTTGAACAATGAAAAATGACCATTTCACATGCTCCTAGAGACCGCAGTTGGCAGGTCCCCACTCCCCGAGCATTTCGGCAGCCCAGCCACGCGCTGGGCCCCAGGCCAACATGACGCGCCGCGCGCCGCGCAACTACCGCCGGAGCAAGCCAGGTCAACGAGACGCTGATGAGTCGTTTTTTTGGTTTGGAGGTGGGATGGGTATTTCAAATCCAACATAAAAACATCCGGAAAAACCTATAAATACTTAAAATATAAATATGTATAAAAGGGATGTTCAAAATTTGTTACACATTGGGTATCCATAAAGTGGGAATTCATTGTAAACGCTAGGTTTTTTATCCCAAAAGGCCGTGGAATGAGGGAGCAAGATGGGAGGTTTAGATTTCGGCACCACATAACGGACTATTTTACATATGTTGTTTGCCACTTTTTAGAAGTTGGGATTATATAGAGGTGTTACCCAAAACACAAGGGACCGCAAAATTTTGCCACCCCACCTTTCCAGATGACGTGGTTTTAAAGGAATGCAGAACAGCTGGGAGCTGATGGGAAGTTGGTAGCAGGACTGAGTCTGTTCTTTTCCGCAATGAGACATACCTCAGGGCTATGGAGGCGCTGCTGATTTGGTTGGGACTTAGCAAGATTTGGCTTTCTATGAAAGGTCAAAAATTACCGGGTTTTTACGTCACGTATTGATTGGCCTGCCTGCGTGCATCCTAAGTGTGTAATGTCCTGTGGCAAAACAATGCCAAAATTATACCAGTTGTGGTTTTTTTACTGTTTGGCCTGCCCAGTGCAGTCTTGAACATGTTTCAGAGCGCTTCGTTGAATCTTAGGGTGCCGGTTGTCCCTCATTGACCTACAAATCTGCACGTGGAAGAAGTGGTCACTTCATAATTTCCCCAAATGGACAACAAGGAATCCCTGTAAATGTGGTGGCCTTGCCAACCCCAGACATTTCGATGCCAGAGTTGATGTCATTGAGTGTAACCCATGCTATAGCTATATTTAGGTTACAGCTATTGCAGGCAAAAAATAGCAAATTGGTAATGTGGTTGGCCCATGTACGAAGTTTTTCATCAGCTTTACTCTAATTGGAGGACCCCCACATTCCCCCACCACTGGTTCCCCCCCCCCGCAAGAGGGGTTTTCTCAGCAGCCAAGCCAAAGGTGATGGCTCTTTATACATATAATCATATTATCCCATAACAGAAAAAAACCATGAATATAAGTGTATGTTACTGTAATATATAAACATATATATATTGGTTGTAAGATCATTGTTATTATGCATCAATTACAATATAATATATATATTAACATATATATATATATATGATGATATGCCAGCATAAGCAATACTGCAATAATTATATGTAATCATATGATATCATGAGTATTGCAGAGCCTGTATTGCTGGTCAATCATGGCTGGTCTATGCTGGTCTCCTGACGACCTTTCACATCCGTGGCTGGTGGTTTATACCCTGGGCCTATAGCTTCCTGTTTGGAAAAGGATTGATGTTCGGAACGTCTATGTTATGGATTTGAAGTGCAATGATTTTGATGATTATGATGATTATGATGATGATGATGATGGTTATGATGATTATGATTATGATGATGATGATTATGATGATCCTACACATGATTTTCATATTCCAGCAAGATACACATCTTTTTCTCCAGCCATATAGAACTTCACTGATATCCGAGATGCCATTCAGGAGCCACTGGAAGCTTCCCAAACTTCGGCCTCGCCAGGGCGACGCAAGTGGCTTGGCTGGGAAATTCATGAAAGTTGCCGAACTAAAAAATTTAGCATCTATGTGGATGGAAAAATCATATATATATATACATACAGTATATACAGTATATATTTATATATAAGAATATATTGAACTATATGTATACAGCGTATATATATATATATGAAAAAAATGATATATGGTGATTTTCCATGTTTGATTCCCGGAGTTGATTTTTCCAGCAGCTGGAGGGTATCCATAGGATTTTCGCCAGTTGGGGACATCATCAGCACATGAAATATCATGAAATGGCTAGGTGAAAATTAGCAAAAGATGAAGGGCAGGTTCATTCTATACCGGTTGGAATGGCGTAAATGTTTCAAAAATGTAGGGAGCGCTTGCCTTGAGAGTTCTGAGGCGTAGCTTTGGCTCAACAGCAACAGCCTTTGCTCGATGATCTTGATGAACAAACAGCACCAGATGGTAAGCACTTATTGGCACCTATCATATTTCTATGTAATTCTATGTGTATATTGTATAATTATATATATATGTATACACATAACTCTGATAGAATGTCCATCCAAGAGTCATGCATTGCACGCACAAGATGTGCCCTGCATTTTTCTACCTTTTAAACCTCGCGGCCAAAACATTGGCAGCCATCTGCGCTGCACCAAGCGGTGGGAAGTGATGAGTTGGCTCGACCTGATGCAGTCCTATCTGGCCCCAGTGTGCAAGTGGATGTGCGTACCGTCCCATCCAGATCATCCAGCTACTGAAGAGCTGGTGCAGGTGATTTCTGGGAGGGGCTGACCGAGCCATGGTCAGCAAGCTGGATAGAGAGAGAGAGAGGGAGATACTCTATATATATCTTTATTATGATGATATACATTATGATTCTGGTGCCCAAAGATATATGTATACATATATATATATGTATCAAGCTGGTTGCTGCTGGCGAAGCATGGATATGTTCAATCCCTGCTGAGGGTGATGGAATTGAATATGAACTGCTGAATATTTTTGCAAATGGTGTTCTTTTTTGGATGCCCGATGCCAAAAGTGGACGTGCAAACCACCAAACCTGCAGAGAACGAGATCCAGGAGAAATCCTAGTTCTATCTAGTTCCTATATACATTATATACATTAATATATTATATATATATGTAAATCCTAGTCCTATCTAGTCCTAATCCTGTATATATATATATATATATATGTATATTTATGTATATATATATATATATATATCTGGTTGGTGGTTTGGAACATGAATTTTATTTTTCATATCATATATGGGATGTCATCCTTCCCATTGACTTTCATATTTTTCAAGATGGTTGTTGTGCAGATAAATATTATTTCAGTAATTAGGTATTCTAAAGACATCCCACTGGAAATTGGAAGATTTTCCCCCGGAGCCTGGCAGGTGCCGCTGGTCTCGGCTATGCCGTCCATGCTCACCAGCCAGGGGCCCGGCGGGAAAATGAAAGGCGCGCAAATCTGGGAAAGGGCACGTTTTCTGGGTTAATCTCAATTATTTTTTTGCTGCATGGGATATATATATATATACACGTATGTGTGTGTGTGTGCGGTATATGGTGTCCATTTATATATATATTATGTTTTTCTTTAATGTTATTATTATCATTATTATTGTGTTTTATTACTATTATAGATGCACTATCGTCCAACCATTTTCAAACCCCCACGCTTATTTGTTGTTTTTTAAAGATATTTGCGAAGAGAAGGGATAATGGGTATTGGGCTATGAGCGCAGGAATATGCCAGGGGTTGTGGGTGTCTAGAGCTTTGACAATCAAATATGGGGGTTTCCTACAATGGGGGTACCCCTAAATGGATGGTTTATAGTGGAAAACCCCTTGAACATGGATGATTTAGGGGTATATACACCCATTTTTAGGAAACCTCCATATTTTGGAAGATGAACCCGATTGGCTAATAATTCAAGGGGTTGATATAACAAACAGATCCAAACAGACAATAATGCCCCTGTGCATGGGCACAACGATGAATAGATTTCACAAATTTAATGCTGGAGAAGACATCAATGGGCTTTTCTGTTTTTGAGCGTCTCATGATATCAGAACATGGCATGCTGCTCAACGATTGGTTTCAGCGGTGAAGCATCGGATCTGTTTGACGTTTGTGGGGATGGTACTACCATATAGATCATGTAGCACTTGGCTTTCTTGGATCGGGATCACTTTAAGATGCTTTAACCTGCTATAGATAGATGGACAGATAGATAGACAGAGAATTAGATAGATAGATAGATAGATAGATCGATAGATAGATAGATAGACAGATAGATAGATATAGATAGATTTGGATAGATATAGATAGATTTGGATAGATATAGATAGATATTGATAGATATAGATAGATATAGATAGATATAGATAGATATAGATAGATATAGATAGCTATAGATAGATATAGATAGATATAGATAGATATAGATAGATACAGATAGATACAGATAGATATAGATAGATATAGGTAGATATAGATAGATATAGGCTAGGTAGATATAGATAGATATAGATAGATATAGATATATATATATATATATAGATGGATATTGATAGATACAGATAGATATAGATAGATATAGATAGATATAGATAGGCATAGAGAGAGAGAGAGAGATATAGACATATATATATATATATGAGCCCGGTCCCCGGACCCCCACACCCCCCCCCGGTATCCCCCCCCCACTCCTAACCCCCCCACCCCCCAAAACCTAGTATTTGCATGTTAGTTGCACATATACATACACATATACACATATATACTCCCCTTTCCACCCCTCCACCCTCGCATCTCTACGTTATTTGCAGCACTTGAGAGCCACGACCTCGTCAACGGACCTTGTCTCCTGTATATTTCTATCATACCTTTTTTTCGAACCGCCTATAGCGTGCCTCGCACATGGTTTACAACATATTTGCTACCTATGGATACGCAAAGCTTACCTATGCAAACCTAGACATATGTACAGTAGAAAAACAATAAATACATATATATATATATGCACATTCTAGATACTACAGATTGATATCTTGATATTGTATCTATCACATATTTCGTTTACATTGTACATACTGTACACGTATATATATATATATATATATATATATCGAGAGACCTTTAGGTACCATTTTGTTCCGGTTAATTCTGATAATTTTTAGAGCCTTTTGGATAATTGAGAGGATTTGAAGAATTAAATGATTTAATCCTTTTAATCCTTTTAATCCTCCAGAGCCTTTTGGGGGATTAAAAGGATTAAAAGGACTAAATGATTTAATCCTTTTAATCCTTTTAATCCTCCAGAGCCTTTTGGAGGATTAAAAGGATTAAAAGGATTAAATGATTTAATCCTTTTAATCCTCCAGAGTCCTTTGGGGGATTAAAAGGATTAAAAGGATTAAATGATTTAATCCTTTTAATCCTTTTAATCCTCCAGGGGGTCCGGAATTCCCGGCCCAAGCCCTTGAGAAATATATTCCTTAAATCCATCCTTTTAATCCTCCAGAGCCTTTTGGGGGATTAAAAGGATTAAAAGGACTAAATGATTTAATCCTTTTAATCCTTTTAATCCTCCAGAGCCTTTGGAGGATTAAAAGGATTAAAAGGATTAAATGATTTAATCCTTTTAATCCTTTTAATCCTTTTAATCTTAATCTCTTTTAATCCTTTTAGGGGGGTCCGGAATTCCCGGCCCAAGCCCTTGGAAATATATTTAAATCCATTTAATCCTTTTAATCCCTCCAGAGCCTTTTGGGGTATTAAAGGATTAGAGGATAATGATTTAATCCTTTTAATCCTTTAATCCTCAGAGCCTTTGGGAGGATTAAAGGATTAAAAGGTTAAATGATTTAATCCTTTTAATCCTTTTAATCCTTTTAATCCTGCAGAGCCTTTTGGAGGATTAAAAGGATTAAAAGGATTAAATCATTTAATCCTTTTAATCCTTTTAATCCTCCAGAGTCCTTTGGGGGATTAAAAGGATTAAAAGGATTAAATGATTTAATCCTTTTAATCCTTTTAATCCTTTTAATCCTCCAGGGGGTCCGGAATTCCCGGCCCAAGCCCTTGAGAAATATATTTAAATCCATTTAATCCTTTTAATCCTCCAGAGCCTTTTGGGGGATTAAAAGGATTAAAAGGATTAAATGATTTAATCCTTTTAATCCTTTTAATCCTCCAGAGCCTTTTGGAGGATTAAAAGGATTAAAAGGATTTAAAGAATTAAATTGCTGGGCTTTTCTTGGGATTCTGGGAGCTCTGGAGGATTAAAAGGATTAAAAGGATTAAAAGGATTAAATCATTTAATCCTTTAAATCCTTTTAATCCTCCAGAGCCTTTTGGGGGATTAAAAGGATTAAAAGGATTAAATGAATTCCGGACCCCCTGGAGGATTAAAAGGATTAAAAGGATTAAAAGGATTAAAAGGATTAAATGCTTTAATCCTTTTAATCCTTTTAATCCTTTTAATCCTCCAGGGGGTCCGGAATTCCCGGCCTCCTCCAGAGCCTTTTGGAGGATTAAAAGGATTAAAAGGATTTAAAGAATTAAATTGCTGGGCTTTTCTTGGGATTCTGGGAGGTCTGGAGGATTAAAAGGATTAAAAGGATTAAATGATTTAATCCTTTTAATCCTTTTAATCCTTTTAATCCTCCTCCAGGGGGTCCGGAATTCCCGGCCCAAGCCCTTGACAAATATATTAAATCCATTTAATCCTTTTAATCCTCCAGAGCCTTTTGGAGGATTAAAAGGATTAAAGGATTTAAAGAATTAAATTGCTGGGCTTTTCTTGGGATTCTGGGAGGTCTGGAGGATTAAAAGGATTAAAAGGATTAAAAGGATTAAATCATTTAATCCTTCAAATCCTTTTAATCCTCCAGAGCCTTTTGGGGGATTAAAAGGATTAAAAGGATTAAATGATTTAATCCTTTTAATCCTTTTAATCCTCCAGAGCCTTTTGGAGGATTAAAAGGATTAAAAGGATTAAATGATTTAATCCTTTTAATCTTTTAATCCTCCAGAGTCCTTTGGGGGATTAAAAGGATTAAAAGGATTAAATGATTTAATCCTTTTAATCCTTTTAATCCTCCTCCAGGGGGTCCGGAATTCCCGGCCCAAGCCCTTGAGAAATATATTTAAATCCATTTAATCCTTTTAATCCTCCAGAGCCTTTTGGAGGATTAAAAGGATTAAAAGGATTTAAAGAATTAAATTGCTCGGCTTTTCTTGGGATTGTGGGAGGTCTGGAGGATTAAAGGGATTAAAAGGATTAAAAGGATTAAAAGGATTAAATCATTTAATCCTTTAATCTTTTTAATCCTCCAGAGCCTTTTGGGGGATTAAAAGGATTAAAAGGATTAAATGATATAGTCCATTTAATCATTTTAATCCTCCAGAGCCTTTTGGAGGATTAAAAGGATTAAAAGGATTAAATGGTTTAATCCTTTTAATCCTTTTAATCCTCCAGAGTCCTTTGGGGGATTAAAAGGATTAAAAGGATTAAATGATTTAATTCTTTTAATCCTTTAAATCCTTTTAATCCTCCAGGGGGTCCGGAATTCCCGGCCCAAGCCCTTGAGAAACATATTTAAATCCATTTAATCCTTTTAATCCTCCAGAGCCTTTTGGAGGATTAAAAGGATTTAAAGAATTAAATTGCTGGGCTTTTCTTGGGATTCTGGGAGGTCTGGAGGATTAAAAGGATTAAAAGGATTAAAAGGATTAAAAGGATTAAATGATTTAATCCTTTTAATCCTTTTAATCCTTTTAATCCTCCAGGGGGTCCGGAATTCCCGGCCCAAGCCCTTGAGAAATATATTTAAATCCAGTTAATCCCTTTAATCCCCCAGAGCCTTTTGGAGGATTAAACGGATTAAAAGGATTAAAGGATTTAATCCTTTTAATCCTTTTAATCCTCCAGAGCCTTTTGGAGGATTAAACGGATTAAAAGGATTAAATGATTTAATCCTTTTAATCCTTTTAATCCTTTTAATCCTCCAGGGGGTCCGGAATTCCCGGTCCAAAAGGATTAAAAGGATTTAAAGAATTAAATTGCTGGGCTTTTCTTGGGATTCTGGGAGGTCTGGAGGATTAAAAGGATCAAAAGGATTAAACGGTTTAAAAGGATTAAATGATTTAATCCTTTTAATCCTTTTAATCCTCCAGAGCCTTTTGGTAGCTTCAACAGGGTTCCGGATAAAGTTCCGGGAGGCTTTGGTGCAGAGCCAGGTCAGGCTCAACAGGGCTCCGGGGTTCCGGAGAAGGTTCCGGGAGGCTTTGGAGCAGAGCCAGGTTAGGTTCAAGAGGGTTCTGGTGAAGGTTCCGGAGAAGGTTCCGGGAGGCTTTGGTGCAGAGCCAGGTCAGGTTCAACAGGGTTCCGGAGAAGGTCTGGGAGGCTTTGGTGCAGAGCCAGGTCAAGTTCAACAGGATTTGTGGCCAT